CAGCACCTGTTTTGATTTTCTCCCACCAGATGTACTTCTGCTCTTGTGGGCGAGTATCCAAGAGACGGTCGAGCGTGCAGAGTCTTCTCGCGGGAAGCAACAGTTCCACCCGGTCAGTCTACTTCACGACAGTGGTAGCCTGACATTAGAGAATACACTGAACCTCACCGCAGCGGCAGGCAGGCCTGCTCTACACACAGTTATACTCAAAGTGTCAAGGATGTCTTTGTAGCAGAGGATGTGTACCCATTTTCTAACTCCTCCCTGAAGATGTTGGTATTGGATCCACAGCTACGGAAAACCTGGCAGTATGTCGGGGGCGGACTCGGTCATGATCCCATTGCGTTAATGCGGGCGTATCTGAACATGAAGCAGCAATACCATGCTGCACTGCGAGGATCATAAATAAAGGTCTTTGGCCTAAATATATTTGGGTTAAGAGGGGGTGCACGATTTTCTTGCCCCTGCCCCAGTAAGTGAAATATTGAGATAATTTGATCGGTCATTTGAGAGCTTTCATTACTATCGCTTAGAATATCTATCTATAAGATTAAATAGTAGGATATCAAACTAGAATGGTTAAACTCCTGGGGGTCTGATTTTGGTGGATAATTCTTTGATGGGAGATGCCAAGACCAGGACTGCTGGATAGTCTTAGACACTTTTGAGCTAGATCGCCTTAAGGCTAGGTTTTCAACCTTAGATTTCAGGCATGCAAAGCTCGAGGCCTAAGTTAACTACAGTAGTACGGTTACATACTTCCGTATTTATGGCATTTGATTGGTTTATTGTCTTGGGCCATCATTGGATTCTGGGGATCCACCAACTTTTCAAACTCTGCATTTCATCGCTGTTTTAGGCTTAGGTTAAAATCCCTCGTCACCCCAATTTTCCCCAGCTCCCCAGCCCTCCCCCCCTCTCCACCCCACACGTATTGACGATTCCCAGGGCGTTCTGCCCACGTATACTAGAGGCATGCCAAAAGCTCCGGAGCCACCAGTCAAATCTCATCGGTGTCCACGTTGTGATCGTGTCTTCTCTAGATCCGAGCATCTTCAGAGACATGAACGATCGCGTAAGTCCATTGCATTCAACTTTTGGTGTACATATGACTTACATGACGTAAAGATACGAAGGAAAAGCCGTTCCAGTGCCATCGGTGTGCGAAAGCCTTTACACGGAAGTAGGCTCCCACTTCATGCAATCAAAAGGTACATAGCTTATGGAAACCACAGAGATCTACTTACCCGACACGACCGCCTTACTCATGGGTATGGGACTACATCAGAACCCGCATCTTCTGTGCCATATCCAGCTTTCGTCTACCCTTCTCCGCAGCCTACCACTTCAGCCAATGCTCTTTTGGATTCTCAACCAGGGACATCGGAAATACAAGCTACGTCATCGATCGCAAATCAGAGAGATACACACCCAAGCACAAATGATCTTTCGTTAAGCCCCAACTACGAACGCCCCCAAGGACCCGCAGTAGACGTGCAGTCGCATAATGGACATGCCGTACTGTCATCCCTTGATCTGAGTAGCCAACCACTGAACTTTCCACTTGACGACGCTACTGGAGGTTTTCCTACCAGCTCCATGGATGATTTCACGTCGTTCATGGATAGCGTGCCTATCCCAACCCATCCATTCTCTCCATCATACCAGCCTGTCCCTTTGTTTTTTCAAGATGCTGAAGCGATCACAGGCTTTGATTTTGGGGGTGATGGATACTCTTACATCGGGTGGCCGGGCGATTTACTACGGTCTTCCGCTCCTAAGATTAGCGCCTCGTCTGGGAATCTTGGACCATCTTCTTCGCAGTTCGATTCAAGGCTTCCGTCATTGCACCCCGACGAAGGAGTTGCTGACGATATATCGCGCTTTCCCGGTTGCAAGACCCAAAATCGTCATTTGCTGGTGTCTGCAGAGTGCCGACAGCGAAAGATAGATGATCTTCGGAAGTTTTCTACAATCACCGACAAAGAGTTCGCTCTCCCATCGCGACACGTCTTATCCCGATTTCTCGGGGGATATTTCAATGCTTTTCATGACCACTTTCCATTTCTCCATATTCCAACTTTCGAACCAGGGGAGGTTAGCGTGGAGTTCTTTCTAGCAATGATGTCACTTGGAGCTCGCTACACACGAGAATTGGAGATAAGCATCGACTTCTTCAAAGCTGCCAAGACAATCGCCTTTGAACGGATCCGGAAACACCGCGAGGATCGCCCTGCGAAGACTTTTGATCAGAACAAATGGCGGTCTAGCAATGCGACGTCGAGGCGACTCTCGAATCGGCGGGACCCGCTGCCGTGGATTGACGGCAAGGGTCATGTTGTTGAAATGATCGAGACAGTACTCCTTCTAGTTGCAGTGACGACTTGGTCTGAACCTGGCTCAGCGTCCGACGCGTTGTTGATTCGCGGCGTGCTGGACTCTCTCATTCGCGACGAGGAAATTCTTCACGCTTACGCAACACCACCAGGCGATTGGAAAGGCTGGATTTGCCATGAAAACCTGAAACGAACAATTTTCGTCGCCTTCTGTTTTCTGAATATCCACACCATTGCCTTCGATGTGCCCCCCTTGTTGTTGGTAAGCGAAGTGGGTCTCGATCTTCCATGTTCCGAGAGGGAGTGGAGGGCCGAAAGCGAGACAGAATGGAAAAACATACGCGAGACCGCCGGGCAAAAATGTCAGGATTTCCGAAGAGCTTTTGCATGTCTCTTTGTCGACGGCAATGAGCAGCCTGAGGAATCGAGGCTGGATCATGGCGGCTTCTCCTCACTTGGAGGATGTGCTCTCGTCCATGCTCTTATCCAGCAGATATGGTTGATACGGAATTCTCGGCTACCCCATCTCCGACAGTCAGGGATTGGTCTTTCAGCAGATGAGATGAACTCATTTGAAGTGGCGCTAAAAAGGTGGGCCGTCTACTGGGAGCGAAATCAAGAGTCATCGATGGACCCGTTGAGTCCTTACGGTCCCGTTGCTTTCACTTCTGTCGCACTCCTGCGCCTTGCGTATATTCGCCTCAACGTCGATCTAGGTCCGATCCGCTGCCTCAGTAGCTGGGACCCGCATTTGATTGCTCAGTCACTCCATGAAAGCCCGCCTATCCAACGATGTGAAAAGCTCACGAGAGCGGCTCTTCATTGCGCCCACGCACTCAGCATTCCGGTGAAACTAGGCCTTAACCATATTGCTCAGACCCAAGTGTTATATTGGTCTAACCAGCATGCGCTCTGCTCACTGGAGTGTGCGGTTCTGCTTGCCAAATGGCTCGAGGCCGTTACAGCGACAGACGTCTCGCCGTCCTTGACTCCCGCGGAGGAGAGGCTCCTCAATTTTGTGATACAGCTTGTCTCTGATACTGAATACAAAGTCAGCCAGGAGGACATCATACGGAAAAAGCCACTTTTAAATGCGATGACGGTACGGCTTTGGGCCAGATTATACCAGTCTAAAAGCGTTTGGGAGATGGTGGATCTTATTGGCAGCTCTTTGACTGTATATGCAGACTTACTGGAGCATGAGCGGTGATCCTAATTAACGTTTTCTTAAGATTCAATAAGTTTCAAATCACACCAGGGCCATTGAGGTGACTCAGGGATAGTCATGATCACTCGAGATTTACGGCGTCGTAGCAAGCAGGTCAAGCCGACGTTTTGGGCTGCTTTCTCACACTCTAGACGTACGGGTACCCCTATTCGGGTATCCTGCATCAGAGTGTAGCGGCATTCATCACAGATCTTGTGCATATGAACAAGAAACAAGCCCCTAAACCCTGGAACTGCGCACATTACATTGAAAAACATGAATATGCGGCATCTAGAGCTTGTTTCCCAGACCATTCCTAACAAGGTTAAATCAATTGTTGAATTAGAGAGGTGAATTACGGCCTACTGGGGGTACGTTAGCCAGGTATTTGGTAAAATATCAAAACTAGGGAGTTTTGGCGCGAGGTTTTCTGAATAATATAATTCACGGCCGATCTGGACACCCAGAAGACCATAGTATATGCAATGTTTCAAGTCACACTATTTCAACAGAAAGAGGACATTTTTACTTGATTTAAAGTAGGGCAGTATTTCTCAGTCTGAGAGGTAGCATCGCTCGACTGAAATTTAGATTATATGATTATTTGCTCGCATTACCAAAAATAGCTCCGGGGCAGTGACACAGACATATTTTTTTGAGTACTATGGCAAGTTAATTTATGTGATAAACATAGTTACTTAGAGTGAGGTATTAAGTACTACGGTAACTTTAGACCTAATACTAAGCCTTGAATGTTGAAAAATAAGTTGTAAAATGTAGTATTTACCGCGGTACGATGTTTAACAGACCAACAGACTCAACGGAAGGAAATCGTCCGGTGTGAATCTTGACATGGACCATAATACTCCGTAGCTGCCTGCAAAGTGGTAATTCCTTGGCTTTCGTGAGTTTCATCGAACTGAGTTGCAATCTGGAGACATTGGCTTCAAGATATTCGTTACCTGGCCAATGCGGGCAGGTTATATCCCCGACTTGCCGCATCGAATGTTAAGCCCAGCTGAAATGATGCACAGGGTTATTTAGCATAGTCGCTAGTCGGCGGATGCCATGGAATGAAACTTGAATTTGTTGGAACAGGCCTTCGAGTCGTTGCGTGGTTCTGCCCGACTTTCCATTACCGATCGCTTCCGTTCTTCTCTCCGAGGGAGTTCGCTCACAATTAGGACAAGCTTCATTTTTTTGTTGTCGCTATCACAAAGATTTGTCGCATGCACAGCTATTATTGTTGATAACAGTGTCTTTTGGACGAAGCTCCTCCGCAACATCTTCTGTAATCCCGTTGCTTTTCCGGATATGGTAGGGAAACTCGTCGGAACTTTATAAGAAGCTAAGATTTTTGTGGTCGAGGGTAATTTTGAGGGGGATGTGTACAGACTAGATTCGTGTTTCCCACTGGTCTAATACCATCCCTCATTTACCTAACATAAATATATATTACACACGCACATACCGGTATGATGGAGTAATTGATAAGATAATAATTTGAGAAGAAGGGATGACTCTTCTAGGGTAGGTTGGTTGGTGTATGTTACGGAGTACTAACGAAGCCAAAGCCGAATGAGTAAACGGGCGGGGGGATGGGTAAGCACAAATACAAAGCGGTACCCAGTTCGGACTGTCCCAGATCTCTGCTCCATCAAATTTGACGCGATCCCCAAGTTGGGGTTCCCCAAATCGGGGATTAGGCATTTACACATTCGGGGAACTAATCGTGGTAGAATGCATAAAGAAAGTTGGCATGATCGGTGACGGTCCGAGTAAGGCCATAATGCCGACAGAACTGTTACTTGTGATAGCACGGCTGCTGGGGCCTAGAGATCTGACCAATCTGGCGCGGGCAGTGCCAGGAATCGCCGTCCGTTTTCATCCAAAACACTGGCTTTCCATCAGAGACCAGGATGGTGATACGATTTTCCATATCTCTGCAGCCGAGGGGCTGACTGACGTGATTATCTCCCTTCTCGCAAAAGAATTTGATACTAGGTTGCAGAACGACTACGGGATGACTGCTCTGCACCTTTCCACAAAAAAAGGACATGAGGAAACAACAAGTTTATTGCTGCATGCAGGGCTAGATCCAAATATAGTCAGCATTGGAGGCGTCACGGCGTTAAATCTCGCTGTCAAGTATGAGAACTTAGCCATCCTCCGGCAACTGATCTCTTACGGAGCCAGGATCTCCGTGCTGACGGTGGGAGATTACAGCTATCTACACTGGGCCGTGCATTATCATAGCCCTCGCGCTTTGGAAGTACTCCTTGAGTATGGAGCAGATCCGGAGAAGCGAGATATTTTTGGTCGATTACCCTTGCATTACGCTGCCAACGAGGGGAATACAGAAATCGTGGAGCTTCTATTGGGGGCAGGGTCTGATCCCTTCTGTCCAGATCATGACGGGAATCAAGCATTGCATCTTGTTCTTCGATCGCATACCTTGTGGCTTGCTTGCATGCTCAAAGAGCCCACTTACCGCAACATTCTGCTTCGAGGTTTTCCGGGTCGGTTTCGGTGGCTTTGGGTAATGTTGGGTACAGTAGCAAGAGTACTTGGTGAATTGGTGTAACGGTCGCTGATCCGCAGGCCGTAAGTTCAGATAAGTTATTATGTCCCCATTGCAGTTTTATATTCCGGTAAAACAGTATCAATAAATTCGAAGCAGTACTGGAGCAAATCAGTTCAACCACACGGAAGTGCTGAGTAGAATCTGGTTTCAAAATCAGCAGCAAGTGAATGTTGAAGTTAAAAATGCGTTCCCTTGATTGATTGGCTTCTCGCATTTGTCCAGATTGGAACCGTGGCGACTCAACTGTACCATTAAGAGTGAAATTTTTGAGAGCACCTTGATTATTACCAATCCTCTGCAAGAACTACTAACTTACTGTACCTCTTGAGTACCTCTTGAGGTTCATCGATACATCTCATACATCAACTGGGCTTTGAGGCATTCGATATTAAGGTGCTGCTGGTTTCCCTCACTCTGCATTTGCAGCTTCGAAAAGTCAGTCCCCCTTTCTTCACGAACAAACGAATTGGCTGTTGGTTTTCCCGGAAACCCCCCGTTCCCATTACAAATGGACGGCCAGGCGCCCCAAGTGCCGGCCATACGACACTCGGCATTTGAAGTATCGTGGCCAATGGTGGATTTAGAGTTTACCCGACAATACGAGGACGTAAATCTATTGAGTGACACCAACTGCGTTCCTGCGGCCCAGCATTGCAGGGAGGAATCATCCAAGGATAGCCCAGTATCCTGGAAGATTTTCTCGAAGCATGAAGATACAGGGGCAGTCACCATGCAGCTCCTGCGGGACAGCTGGAGTAATTTTGTGGAAAGAGACATGATTGGGGGCCACCCGTCGCATTTGCGGCATGGGTCAGGGCCCATCGCTGGAGGTTAAAAGGCAAGCCATCCACCTTTCTTCCTTCTTCACCTTTCCAGACCTTTTTGAGGGTATAGAGAGGTCACGCATTCGCTGCAATTTCACTACGGTCGAGATTACAGCCAGTGTGCAAATCCTGGAGCGTGGTCCAGGTCGGATTAAGTTCCACACGCAGACTTCTGTCATGCACAAATCCTGGATCAAGCACCAGGTCAGGCTGCGATGACGTGTTCCGCGTCCGCCCTCCAGCTATTGACAGATACCTCTTCGCGGTGCTGGAGACTATTACTCAGTTTAGGCTGAGGAAGCCAAGGTCTGTCCTCAAGTTTTACACGACATTTCCCCCCCCCCCCGGCCCTGTGGAAATGGCAACAACTGTTAAGAATCCAAATTATGCAATTATCAACAATGTTTAAAATGAATTTGTGTAATTCATCACTCCCTTTAATTCTCACGCTATCTCTTATATGGTGTAGCGTAAATAATCATCGTGGAACGACTCGATAGTTAGACTCAAACTTGATGGGGACAAATAAAAGACCGCGGCACATTTAGTCAACACATTCAATATCTACTATCAGTTTTAACCTGTTCAATTCAACCCTGTTCAACTCAACCCTGTTCAACTCAATATTTTGATTCCATGCATTATCTGGAACCGGAGTGGGGGGAGACGGGATGTGGGTCGACGATGGAGCATTCTCTGGTGCATTGGCGTGGAGATATATATATTGTGGGGTAGTGGACTAGTGGACCTGGTCGGCCAGAACTACAGCAAAATAACGTTGAGCTTGCGACTGGGAAAACAATGTCTGAACATGAGCTTGGTGCCATGGCATCGCACCTTGGCGGGAAACTTGCCACTGGTGCTGCCGATTGTAGTGTTGTCGGATCCGATCAGTACTCGTCGTACGGAAGTCACATTGTTCAAAATGGCAGAGATACTTAAGCACGGTCGGCAGCCCATGAATCTCCTCCGTCCCATCGGGCGGCTGCACCGCATCGCTGTTCGTAGCCGCCACGTTGTGCATTTGAGTGTTAGATTCAATTCTCCTTCGCTGATCGCTTGGTGTTCGATGCTTTTCAAACAGATGGCGTGCCAGATTCTGGCGGGTGTAGCAGCTGCCGTGGGTAGTGCACAGAGCCACCCGCCATTTTCGCAGGACTTGCACATATGACGGAAGGATGTCACTTTCTCCACCAACCACAGATAGTGACGTATTAATTCTTGACTGAGGCATATTTTAGAGGTCGTAGGTCAAGATGGCATGAAGAAAGTAATAGTATTTTCTGTTGTTGTTACTATCTACAAGTTATGAATACCAGCGGGATTGCCCCTGAATACCAGCGGGTGCTAATACTATTCTAGTTTAGCGCCGGGAACGTTTTGTTAGTAGGGTTTGTGAACACCGCTGGTGTTCAACGTGGACTATATACAGGTATATCCGACGTATCCAAATATAATCCCGCGCCAATCGCGAATGCCCTGTATCGACACGCTGTGCCAAATACGTCCGTACTGCGTCCAAATCCGTTACACGTATACCGGCTCCCTTCATACGCTGTGCCCACCACTGGTACCCATGTTGTCGCCCATCGGCCCACTCCCAATGGATCAACATCGCCATCATCGGATACAAAAATTGCCGGTATTCACACTGCTGCGCACCCTGCCACCCCGAACATATCGATTGCGGTAAACCGCACCGGTAACAACAATATAACCCCGCCTCGTACTGGATCTGGTCCCGAATGGCACGCACCCATCGTTTGCACGCGGCACTTTGGTCGTTCTGACATGACCATAAATCATGATATACCTCATCCGCCCCCGCCTGCGTGCACAACTAACATCGATTGTTCTACTCCCGTGCCTCTTGCGCTAAAAACTCTTCGTCTGATAACTGCTGCGCTTTCACGGACCGCACCGCCGCCGTAATCGCCATCTGTACTATCTGCTGCCGCTGATATCGGTGCTGGGCTTCGATAGGAACCTCGTGTGCGGACGGGCTGTCGGGACGGCTTGGCTTGACTTCCTGCATCTCGGCGTCACTGTCTGGATCGCTGCCCTCGATCACGGACTCGGCGGCTACCCAATCGGGGTTACATTAATCGCACCACTGCTCGGGTTGATCTAATTGTCGGTCCCGGTCCCCGCATTGCTGACGGGTATATCCATCAATCGACCTATCTAAATAACCATCCAACACCACGCGACGACACCGGTGATCACCGAATATATACTGCCGGACTAACTCGAACTCGGCTTGCTCACTAGACGTGTTCTGATTAAACCATACCGGCACCTCGTCGAAACCGTCGGGCTAGATGATGATAGCTTCACTAGGCTTTTGATCTCGTCCCGCACGGCCACTTTCTTGTGCGTAATCTAACAATAACCGGGGGAACCCAATATGAATGATGTATCGAATATCCGGGATATCTACCCCTATACCCAACGCGCCGGTGGCCGCAATCACCCTATTTGCCGCACTCCGGAACTGCTCCAAAATGCCTAACTTCTTATCCTGGTCGCTATAAAATGCGGCATATCCTAATATCTCCGCCGCCTGGGTCACAATGCGCTTAGTGCTACCGTACACAATTACTCGACCGGGCCGGTGTGATCCGAAGGGTAGATAGGGTATGCCCTTCTAAGTATAGTAAAGGAGAGACTATATACACATGCGCGGCCGGACGGGGCCTCACGTGACCAGAGACCGAATGGGGCCTCACGTGACCGAAAGTGATCGGAAGGGGTCAGTGGGTCAGGCCCACTGAAAGGGAGCCTAAGGCAGAAAATGCTCCCGGGATCTCATCCTCCCCCACTAAATCTAATCTCGACCCGAGATCATTGCATACAGGCATGAAAGGGCACATATGTAACCAAAGAAGGGCAAAAATGGAACAAAGGAGACATACGGGGTTTGAACCCATGACCGTAAACAAAGGAAAGTCGAAATCCGTGGATAGATTTTCCAGAACAAATTAGGAAGGAACCGAAAGTGGCTCTTTCCTCCAGAAAGGCATCATTCAAAGAAAATCAACAAACAAAGAACTCGTATACGCGCTTCTTCTTCCACCCTCTCCAATACAACTCTCCTTCCTACACACTCTTCGCATTCGCGTACACACGCAAATTTTCCTACTTCCAATCACTTTTGATCACTCTTGATCACTTTCAGCATAGGTAAGCCAGCTTCCAGATCGGAAATGAAGCAAAAGGAACCGGATTAACGCGAATGATAGTGCGCCTTCGCTCTCATAGCGCGGTCGATGATCCGCCGAGGAGTTCCTCTATAGAAGGCTCCGACGGCGCGCTTTTCGTCCCCCAAAGCGACGACGACAAGGAGTCTTCTTTCGCTGCCTCTATCAGCGGAAAGGAAGCTCCCAATATCTCTAACCTGATCCTGCCGACCACTGAAACATCCTTCCGGGCCCTGAACGCCCCGGTTTCGGGCTTTCCCTTCCGGCAGGCCCCTTTCCTTAGAGGCCCAGGAACCGACGGCCCCTTCCCTTCTAACGACTCAAAGGGCGATATCCGCAAGCAATTCCGGGCTGGCGGCGACGAAAGAAAGGGTAAGCGGTTAATAAGGCGGAAGTTCCTTTCTAGCTTCTTCACAGGAGGAGACGGTAGAGGAGGTTCTTCTAAAGAAGAAGAAGTTATTAGTGCTAACAGGAGGAAAGACAAGGACACTGCTAGCCCCTCTCGGCCTATCAGCAAAGGAAAAGAAAAGGCTCTAGTCCGGGAGGAGTCTTCCGAAGATAAGTTAGGTAGCCCTGCCCTATTTGACCCGAATACCAAACAGAAGCGACATACGAACGAAGGTAAGACCTATTCTCTCCCTTTCTATTATAAATACTAACTTCCGTAGCTCTAGATAGTCTTGATCAGTTTAGCGACCCTATTCTAAAGTTTTTCTCTACTCCTATTAAGAAAAAGATCCTGGCGGCTAAGCGCGTCCGTTATATAGACTAGCGAGAGGGCGAGGCTAAGGCCGTCAAGACTAGCGTTCAACGTCGCGCAGCTTACGTCCAACAAGCTAGGACTGCCGCCCCCTTAGGGGCCGATTGTGCGAACTACGGGAATCTAAAGGGTCCTTTCGCCTCCTGTCGGGTTTTGGTGGTTAGAGGAGATCCTTACTTCCAGGGTTCCTGTAGAAATTGCTCGTTCAATTCCGGAAGCAATACCTACTCGCTACGGCCAGGCAGCGATCAAGAAGGGCTAGCTCCCTAGGTAAAGATAATCCTAGCAGCCTAGAATCCTAGCTATTCCCTCGTCCGTAGAACTCCTGCTGCCGTAAGTGAATATCTTTCCCTGCTCAAGTTAGCTTTTATTAACAAAGGTTTCCAGAAGCGGGCTAGAAGCACCGCTTCGCCTACTCCTAAGCGCCTACGTAAGGAGGACGAGGATTCGCCTACCTCTACCTAAAAGAAGCTAAAGGGCACTCCTAAGAAGGATACTACCTAGAAGAGTACTTCGAAGAGGGATACTACCTAGAAGGGCACTCCTAAGGGAGACACCGCTACTAAGAAGGGTCCTGTCGCTACTCCTAAGAGCAGCAAGAAGGGCAAGGATACGGCCGAGAAGGAGCTTCTGCCTCCTTTCAAAAACAAGTAGTATAGCTCCCCCCTCGACGACCCGGATATTTAGAACCTAGAGGAGGATCCGGCGGCCGCTATCGAGGCCTACCGAGCCCTTTCGGGGACTAAGGACCGTCTAGAATACGACTAGAAGATCCTAAAGCAGGCTCTCGTTGCTCAAGGAGCTATCAAGGATTCTAACGCGGAGGATAAGGAGTCTAAGGAGGAGCCCGCGGTCAAAAAGAACCCTTTTTTATCCTTTGCGAAGGCTATAAAGGAGAAATAAAATTCTCTAGGAGTGTACGTCCTATTTCGGGGTCTTCGGCAAGGGAAATTAAGCTTTCGGTTGCGTACAAGCTAAAAGCTAGTAAGGAGGAAAGGAAATCGGTGGTTTTCAGGCTTCGTAGTTAGATTTCTTTGTTAGATCTTTGTTGAATTTAATCTATATAAGTAATAACTTCCCTTCTTCTAATTATAGGTAGAGAAGCCTTCTCTACTAGGGTATTACGATAGCTAATAGCCCGTCGAATAGTGTCCTTTCGTGAGTATTAGCGTCCCGAGGCCTACTAATCATAGTACGAGGAACGTCTTCTATCGCACTATCCTACTCGCTCTCGTTGCTAGAAGCTTCTAAAGAAGAAGAAGACGGAAGTTCTTACTAGTCCCTCGTCTTCTTACCCTTCTTCTTATTACTCACGGTAATTCTCCTTCGGCGACGATCGAGCACTTTCTCCGCAATTGCGCCCTCTCCTACCTACTTTAGGCTAGCACCTGCGGCCTAATCTACCCTAAAAGCTTCCTATTCCTCGCGAGTGAATATAGATAGATCTTGGTAAGTAGGCGGAGAGTCGTCCCGAGCGAGGACTCTCTAGAGCTCTTCTAGCTTCTTTAGCCGTAAACCCTTCCGCCGAAGGGCGCTCTGTGTAGCTAGGGACGCCTATAAGGACTTAGGGTCCGTTATATTTGCTTTAATAAGCCGAGATCCGTTAACAAGGTTGCGAAGCACGCGGCCGTTCGGCTCCGCTAGCGCATAAGTACCAAGTGGATAGGATTACAAGACTCTAAAAGGTCTAAACTACTTACTTTCGTACTTTTACGGCGATTCGTTGCGAACAAGTACCTAGTCGTTAACCTTAAAGCTGGTTTTCGTGACAAGGCTATCACGGATACGATTCGTCTTGATAGCACGCGCCAGGAGCAATTCGTTAGCTTTCGTTCGTACATTATTAAGATTTTGCAGCTTATTAGCCCGTTCCGCATAGGGCAGAGTATCTCCAGACAAGTCGTCACTAGGTAGTCGCGGGTGAATTCCGTAGATAAGGTAGAAGGGGCTATAGCTAGTCGTAGTATGTTCTCGGATCCTTACGGCAACAATCGCTTACGCGAGGTAGAGATCCTATGCTTTTATTAGCTTACCTATTAGGTATTTCGTTAATATACGACCTAACAGTCTATTCAGATTTTCCACCTTTCCGTTCGTTCGGGGGTGGTAAGGCGTAGTAAGTCGGTGTTTTGTCTTCAAGAGCTTAAGATAGTAGTCGACAGCTCCTAAAAGGAGGTTTTGGCTATTATCCGAGATAAGTTCTATAGGTGCTCTATAGTTCATAAAGATCTATTCGTGCAGGAAACGACCTAATTCCTCCTCGGTCGCTTCAGGGACGGCTTTTGCAACCGGCTAGCCGGTAGCATAATCGATCGCCGTAATAATCCATCTATTCCTATTCGGGGTCGTTAGTAAGATTCTAATCAAATCGATCCCCTATCTTTAGAACGGACGGAGTCCGGAAGTAACTATATATTAAGGAGGCTCCCTCTCAAGGGATTTCCTCGAACCTTACGAAACTTAACAATTCGGGCACGTATATACGGCGCCTTCAATATCCTTTCGTATCTATAGCTACTACGCTCTTAGTCGAATAACCCTATTCAGGCTAGGCTAGCCTAAATAGCTAAAATCTTCGTGCATACAGTTTACGAGGTCTCTACGAAAAATAGGCTCGAGGTATAGTGCTAAGAGCCTATCGTCGTAGGTGAAAACGAGTAGCCGGTCTATCGCGCCCTCGTCAATTTAGTCGCGCAAGCTCAAGCTCGCGGCGTACTTCTTAACGGACTTCGCAATAGTTTTATCGGTTAGCATCTCCCCGGTATCGAGGAAATAAACAGTCGCAGCCAACTACTCGCTTTCAGGGACTTTCATAACAGTCGGTGAAGCTACCTGAATTGCGGCAAGAGAGACGTCCTAAATCGGCCGGGATAGGGATACGTTCGCAGGGCCTTCTCTAATAAAATCAGGCCTACGGCTAAGCGCATCCGGGACTACAGCGTCCGATCCCTTCCGATACTATATAGCCAGGTCATACTCTTGAAATTTATATACCTATCTAGCAAGTCGCTTGCTATAGGTCACCGTCGTCTACAAGTATTATAAGCTTGTATAATTAGTAATAACTATAGTCTAAGTTCCGTTCTCGATATAGCGATCCTAGAGGCGTAAGGCCTCTTTAATCGCCAAAAGTTCCTTCTCGTGAACGGGATAATTCAACTCAGCCCCCGTTAGCTTTCTTCCGTTAAACGCAACGGGGTAAAGTTTTCCGTCAGGGCTAATCTGCAGGAGAACTATACTAATTGCCTATTCGGAGGCATCCGTTTCGATAACGAATAGCTTAGTACGGTCGGGTTGCAACAGCACCGGAGCGGCCGTCAGCAATTCTTTAATCTTGCGAAAAGCGCTCTCGCAAGCCACCGTCTAACGAATCGGGCGAAACTTCTGCTTCCGTAAGTCTATATCCGACTCCTTGAAAAGTTTATAGAGAGGGACGTAGATCTTCGAGAAGCCGCGAATAAACCGTCTATAATATATAGCGAGGCTAACGAACTAGCGTACCTCGTGGACGTTCTTCGGCCTTAGCTAATTCTTAACAATATCGACCTTAGCTAGTATCGGGCGGATTTGCCTGTTTCCAATAATATACCCACAGAAGTCTAATTCCGTCGTCGCAAACATATATTTATCGGGTTGTGTAATTAGTTTTTCTCTTTCTAATACTTCGAGTACCTAGCGGAGATAATCGTAATACTCCTCCTTAGTTTTAGAAAAAATCAGAATATCGTCGAGGTAAACAACCACGAATTTGCCTAGAAAGGGTCTCAGGGCCTCGTTTATAATCGTTTAGAAGGTCGCGGGCGTATTACAGAGGCCGAATAGTATAGCGAGCTACTTATACTTGCCCTATATCGTGTTGAACGCCGTTTTCGGAATCGAGCGTTCGTTTACGCGAACCTACTAGAACCTAGACGCTAGGTCGATTTTCGAAAGGACCCGAGCGTCTCCGACATAATCTAGAAGCTCCTAAATCCTCGGTAAAGGGTAACCGTTCTTAGCAGTCAACTAGTTCAACGCGCGATAATTAATACACATTCGCTACTTCCTACTCGGCTTCTTGACAAAAATAACTAGAAATCCCTACGGGCTAGCTAACGGACGGATTAGGCCTTTCTTGAGGAGAAGATCAACCTAAACTATCTGCTCGCGAAGCTTCTCGTCCGAAAGGGGGTAGGAGTTAACGTTAACAGGACGAGCGTCTCCGGTATCGATATTATATTCGATATTTCTCTCCGGAGGGAGACTTTCGGGTAATTCGTCCTTGAAAACATCACTACAACGTTGTAAAATCCCACGAATCTTTAGATTATCGTAGTGAGGTAGTACTACTACCGGCTTAGATCTAGGGCTCTTAGGTTCTCTGATAGCTAACAAAAACCCTAAAGCTCCCTTTTTCTTCAGCACGCGGCGAACATTCCTTCCGCTTAAAAGGTTGACCTAAGCTTCCTCTAGCTCTTTATCTTCTAATAGGCTTAGGGGTTCTACCTAATACGAGCGTTTATAGTCTCGCAGGGTTAGTACTAACGTTGCCTAGTCGATATAGGGGTTTTTAGTAGCAAGGAAATCTTTGCCTAGAACGAATTCGAATTCTAGAAGGTCAAGGATCCAGGCTTACGTATAACCCCTCTAAGTTCCAATACTAATTAGCAGCCGTACGGACGAATTCGTGAAGATCGTACGTCCGTCTAGTATTCCAACACGGAGAATAGAAGACTTCCGAGGAGCTAGGAGCTTCGACTCGAATTTCTTCACGGTAGCAGCAGAAATAAAAGTATAGGAGGCACCGTAATCTAAGAGGGCCCGAACGTTCATATTCTTGTCCGGATGCCTAATAGAGAGCTTATAGAATAACAGCGAGCTTCCTATTGCGTAAAGAGAAGCCTCGATCACCCTTAGTTCCTCTTATATCGGGTCTAGAGGATCAAGATCGGGTAACCGTAGTACCTCTAATACTATCTTTATACGGTCGACGAGCGTATCTAGTTCGTCCGACCGTCTCCGTTTTTTGACTTCTAATCATTTCCGTTCTTTCTCGGATCTCCTCGTCTATTACCCTTCTAGTAACAATCCCTACGGATATAACCGAAACAGCCATATCCGAAGCACCTTAGACCTTTTCTATTATTACCTCGCCGGCCATCGCCCTTTCAGAAGCTAGGTTTCTAGCCCGGTATAGCACTTAAGTCTATATTCGTGTCGCTATCTTGGTCTTTCGCTTAGCGTTCAACGTGCCTAGCGATTATCGCCCTACGCTCGTATTAGATAAAGCGTGTAATAGTTTCGTCGAGGGTAGTAGGTTATCGGGGATCCTTCGCCTATTCCTTCTAAAGTTCAACCTTAGCGCCCTTCTGGAGACGTTGTATCAGAATTTCTTCGGAAAGTTTGGTTTCGGTGTCGATCGCGGCCTGCCGGAGATTCGTAGCATACTCCGTAAAGGCTTGATAGATACCCTGTTTAGCTTCGAAAAACTTGTCCTAGCGCTTTTCGCTACCTAAATGTTCCGAAAACTTATAGTTAATCTGTGAGATATAGGGCAAGATGCCTAAACCGTCATGCAGTATATCAAGCCAGATTCATAAGGCCTATACAAGATGGCTGAATCTCTATAAGCTTTATGCTATACCATCATCACTACGGTCAATAACATCAAGTAAGACGTATACAACAGTATACGATCTACATCATCACTACGGTTAATGACACGATCTACATCATCACTACAGTCAATGATATCGTACAATCAAGCAACCACCGATCAAACAGCTACTACATAAGATCACTATGCATCTAGATCTATCTGCATGAGATCATCATGCATCATCTAGAATGATCACATGCAAGAGACAAGTTGATTATAAATATGCCCTGCTTTCTCTACCAAGATAATAATAATGTTTAAAACATATAAGCAAGATTTAATACAATCAACCAAGCTTCAGTCCTACCTTACTTTGTCTCATTTTATCTTTATGATTCTAAGCCGAATTGATTTTATCCTTCCTATTCAATCAAAGGAAGAAGATCAATTAATCTTACTTCCTCTCTACCTAACCTGCGCAGTATCGCTTGCTTATAGGTTATAAGCCCGAATTGATCCTACTTCAATTCGGCTTATACCACTTCTTCAATCTTCTATCTTCAACGAAGAATCCTTTACTTTTAAGAGAAACTTCTCTCTCTTAAAGAGAAACAAAAAGCTCCTCCGACTTCTTATTTTCAAAAATTTATACTCGATTTTTACCAGTCGCGTCTATTTCTCTATACGAAACACTAAGAAATCTCGACTTTCTTGACAAAAACAATCATTTTTCAAATATTCAATCAAGTTTTTTGAACTCAAAATGATCAACAAACACAATATCGATCCTCTCAAAGGAGAAGGAAATTATATTGCCTGGTCTATCCGAATCAAGGCAATTCTTGATCAAGAGAGACTGATCGATACGATTCTACATGATTATACAAAGCTACCTACTATCCAACAAGATCAGATTCCTAATCAACACTAGTCTTATAAAAAGGCGATTACCCTACCACTAAATCAACGATCACCTGATTGTAGAAATACTGCAATTTAGTCAGAAAGAATAAGATCTCGCAGACCTGCAAGATCTACTAGCCCTACTATCTCTAAGATAGGTCAAAATGAGCTAGTTATCCTATCTGATAAATTCAAAACTATTGATCAGATCAATCGAGACGCTTTATTATTAATCAAACTATTATGCAAGGATGGCCCACTCTTTTGGTTAGGAGATACCATATCGGCCTACCAAGCATAGGTTACCTTGGCTACCCAATATCGACCTAAAGGCTTTACCACCGAATTCCTTGTGTTGAAAAGCCTATTCAATAGTCAATTAGGCGATTTTGATAGTATATATGATTATCTCACTGAGATAAGACGCCTGCTAATCGAACTGGCAAGCCTAGGAATCGATTTCCCAAAGCAAATCGTATTCGCATGGGTTCTCAACAATCTCGACCAATCGTACGCACCGATTGTTCAAAATATTATCCAATCTCTTCGTAGAGATTCTGATTCTTATTCAATTGAATCGCTATTCGCCAATCTAATTAACGAATCGCGCGGTCATATTCAATCGAGCGAGCAAATCTTTATGGCTACTAGCCAAAGCAATCGTTAAAGTAATCGTCAAAGCAATCGTCAAAACAATCGTCAAAGCAATCGTCAAAGCAATTACTAGGCTAATCATAAGCCTAACTATCAGGTAAATCACCAATCAAATCGTCAGGCTAATCAAAATCGTCGAATTAGCAAAAAACCATGGAGAAAACTGTCAAATTCTGGCAAATACTATACGTATTGTAATATGCGAAGCTATATAGTAGCTGATTGCTGGTATCTGCATCCTTCTAGTAGACCAGCTAATTAGATACCTAGGGCAAATTGGCCTAGATCCAATCAAATCGATCATCAAAAGATTGATAAACAGAAGAAGATGATCACTGCAATGCTTGATGAGCAATCTAACGAGGAAGAAATCCACGTCACTAGTCATGTGACAGATTACCCCGCAGAAGCTGAACATCAAGAAATTTCGGCTAGCAACCTACTACCTACTAGCCTATTGGCTAATAATCTAATTGATCTTGATGGTGATATTTGCTATACACCAATCAGTCCAATTGACTATCAATTAGATTATCAGATAAGATCTGATATACCTATGACAGAGGCACAGCTAATCAGGCATAGCCTACTAGTTTATGATCAAAACCTGATGAGAGACTACTCAAATCTGAGTAATGAATCTATAGTGAATACACCAAGAAGTCTCTCACTCTGCGATGAGTTCTCGCATAAAACCGATCAGGTAATTTATCTACCTATCAAAACAAACCAAGAAACCAATTCTGATATCACTATAGAAAGTGCATATAATCTAATAAATTCAGATCTTTCTACTACAAAAGTGATTTTCATTATTGATACAGCTGCCACTATTTGTGCAGTATCTAAATTGGATTTGTTTGATAGTGTATATAAAACTAATAAAACTGTCATGTGGGGAAATGCACAAAGATTATCTATCGATCTTGCTGGAGATATTATCTTCCAGACGAATACCAATCTAGTCTATAAATTGACTAATGTGCTCTATGTCCCACAATTGGGAATTAATATATTAAGCACATATGCACTGAAAAATTCAGTATCTCTATTTAATAGAGAAAAAGCTACTATTTTCGATCAATATCGAAATATTATGCTGATTAGGCATAAGCAAGATAATCTATATCGAACTACCCTATATGTGATGCATACAAAGCCACATAAGGAAGATTCTGGCTAATCAAAATCAAAATTAAAAGATCTATCTAATATGATTTATCAAGATCAATCTATCCAAAGTACTAGTAATATTACTCTCTGTATATTTCCATTTGGGCGGGAGCTGCCAGAATCGGCGTCGTTCGACGCCGAAAATGGCGTCGTTGGCCCAGGGGCTTCACGCCACGGCCCAAGCCGCGACTCGCCCACGCACCCACTACTGCACCGGCGGCTCACCCAACAAAACGCCCACGACCCCTGGCCTCGGCGTCCCCACCTCCACCCGGGCCTCATCACCTCGCTTCTCACCCACCGCTCGCCCCTGGCTCACCCTCGGCTCACCCACCGCGCACCTTCGGCTCACCTCCCATTTCTGGCCGATGCCTACAACGTCGAGGTCTTTCAATGCGTGGCCACAATCGAAGATTGAAAAAATAGTTCGCGCTATGTGGGTTATTCTATATGATTATAAATAGCGCCCCCCCGTCCCCCTAAAGAACGATCATGCTCTTTATAGATCTATCCCCCTCTCAAATATACCCCGGTCCATACTTCCATATTGTACTGCCACGTTTGACCTTGTGGGCTGGATTCCCTGTATCGCTGCATCACTCTACGTTTCGATCCGTACTACGAACACAGCAAGATGGCGAGGCGTCGGAGTCGATCTGACGACGGAAGCCCTCGCTCCGAATCATTTCGCATGGAGTCCGAGGCAAGTGACGCCGACTCCGAAACCGACTTGTCAACCCCGGAACCACCCTCGGTGTCAGTCCGCAGAGGTCACTCTTTTTCCCCTATTAAGAAACGCGGACGCAGCCGAGGGTCATCGACTAGTTCCAGCAGCCTGTCCGATGATGACGAAGGATGTCGAGCTCGCCACAAGAGGGGAAAAAAGAAACCCAAATTAGGAAGATGGCTAGACGATGTGAGAAGGGTTCAAGACCGGCAGAAAAATGACACAAGTTCAAGCTATACCGATGGGGGGATTCTTCAACGGATCCAGATATCCAGTCGGATGATATATCATCTGATAGCGATAGCGATGGCTATGCAGATGGTACGAAGACCCAGATTGCGGCTATGGAGGATTATTGGGAAAGGTATGGAACCCGTACATATCCTGCTTGGTCTATTGCCTAACTTGCACATAGATTCTGTCGGAAACAGCATCAAAAACAAGGTCTATCTTCCGATTCGACATGGAAAGACCCTCACGACGCTCTTCGGGAGGCCGGAAAGAGAGAACTCACCAAGTTCCTCTACTGGCGCTTGCGAGTAAAGCGCGGCCGGGGTGGGCGACGGTCAAAAGGTATTAAGAAGGCTAGTGCTCTTGACACGAACTGGAAGATGTTTCTTCGCTATTACGAGAAAATCAATGGAGACCCAATGCCCGATGATCTAGGAAGAAGAATGAGAAAGGTTGGACTGAAATTTTCCTATGATGGATATATTGCTGATAGAATGATTTCGGAATAGAGCATTCGAAAAATCGTGAAAGAGAAGGGGTTGATTACCGACGAAAAAGAGAAGCCACCGATGTATATTGAAGATGTGGTCATCTTGCAGGAAACGGTTCTCCGCACCATGGAAAAGCGGTTCTATATTGGACTTCAACGGATGCAGCAATGCCTCTACAATCTTATGGCATGCTTTACGGTGAATCGAATCAGTGCCATGAGAAAGCTCCAATACAAGCACCTGCAGTGCTCAATCCAACGAGATCCAAAAGGGGGCCGCCTCGGATTTTACTCGAAATCACCTACAAGTTTGCGAAAACGCATCTCGGTGTGACACAAGGGTATGAATTGACCAACGCTTTCTACATGATAAATCGCTTTGCGGGGTGTAGATTGTAGATCACTAACGTTGAGCAGAAATACTTTCATAATTCCCGAGATCATTCACGACCCGTCGCTCATGTTGAGCCCGCATGAGTTTTTGCTTGGAATTCTTTTCGATGACGACGCTTTCCGTGCCCCTGGAATAAAATCCCGGGACGACCTGAGGAGACTTTGGCTGGAAGATGGCCGACAGCAGCTTCCATTACCACTGAAAGCTGAGAAGGCAAATCACTATGTTTTCTGCAAGGTCGAGGCAACCCGCGGCGTCATTCGGGTTATTCGAGATCAGCCAATCTCGACTGCAGCCTTGAGTAGGCAGTATCAAACCTTAGGGGAAATTGCTGGCTTTCCGATCCTTTACACACATTGTAACCGGTACGGTGGTGGGACAATCCTTAATCAGAGTAGTATGTTACCCGGCTTTCGATTCTTGTGAGAAGGCGAGAAACAGGGCTAACGAAGGAAAGGACTTGTGAGCGATGCACAACAAAATTTAATCATGAAACACGCCAGTATTCGAACATTCTTGAAACATTATCTTCCCCGTCGTATCGGTACAGACATGCAGGCATTGATGAGAGGTCTCGAACCTGACTCGGCGATGATGAGAGCGGTCACTCGGATGGGGCGATGGGTTGACACTCGACGGCCTCGCGAGCTTACAGATGCCCAGAAAGCAAGTGTTGAAGCGATCCCGGAGCTACAGGACGCGATCTACAAACGTGATACCTTCGCTCAGAAACTTAAGCAAAGCCGCAAAAAGAGCCGCAGCAGACTGGATCGGCTCGAAAAGCTTAAGAGGAACGTGATGAACACACGGAGTCGGCTACTCTACGATCTTCGTAAGCGCGTGAGGGAAGAATTTGATAACAGCCAGGCCGTAAAGGATATCCAGCGACAACTTGCTGCGGGTACCGCGGTTCATGACGAGAAAACTAAGGAGCTACTGGCGGCCAGAGGAAATATGCTTCCGGAACAGATCTACCTCCTGGAAAAACTGATGACATGGCCGACTTCATGGTCCTTGGAGCGGGAGTGGGAGCGGCGAAATGAGGCAGTCGAGGCTGTTCGTATGTATTGCGGCGTGCGAGAGGGTGGGCCCCGAAGAGGACGACGACCGAAGAGGCCTACTCCGGTCGAGGACGTCGCGACACATGACCCTCTTACGCTAGCCACACAAACCCCCCAACGGTCTTTGCCGCGCGATGATGCTTTACGGGAGGCGGAAGTGCATGTCCGGACGGCCGCAAAGCCTCTAGGATGCTTTCAATGCTTTGGAAACATACAAGAGTCCGACCACCGCCGGATGCAACACTATTCTCGGCACAAGCATCTTCTACGCCATTTCAGGGATACACATCTAGATGACCGTCACTGCAACTACTGCAACACGCCGGTTGAACATGAAGATGGCTTAAGAAGGCATGCCCATGAGAGGCATCGTCTAAAGACCTAGGCCTTTCTACCAGTCTTGAGAAACGAGCTAGATATGGACAGGCGCTGTCGGCCTCGTCTGGACAGCTCAGGAAACGCTACAGCCTAACGTCCAATGGTACAATGCAGCTTGCAATATTGCGATCGCACTAGTGTCCAATTGCCTGCCGGGGCTGACTCCGTCACTGTTGGTTCTCAGGTATATAAAGGGCATCCTCCCCCCGCTGGCTGCTTGCTCTGATGTTCTCTTTTACTCACACCAGGCCGGCTTTTATCGGTTTTCCTCCCCTGAGCGTGGTGACTAACACCAAGATGGCAAGCCATTCCAACGCGATTATTATACCCGATGACGAAGAGCCATGTCTCGAGCCAGGGAGCTCACGACCTCGGCGGTTCCCTCGCCGTGATTACAGTTACCGGGATTTTGAGAGCATGATTGTTGAAGCAGTCGATGATGAGGCGGATACGACTCCATCACGCAAACGCAAAAGAACCGAAACGAAGGAGCCGTCTACTTTGGTACCAGTTCCTCACAAAACCTTCTTCCTTCATTTTACTTAACTAATAACGGGCCAGGATAACGCTTTTGAGGAGCTCCGAAAGGCAGTCAGCCGTGAAACCCAACGCCTACGAGAGAAAAATCGAATATTTCGGGATAAACTTCTCCAGGAGAGGGAGAAGCACCAAAAGATGCAAGAGGAACTTTCCCAGCAAAGAGAAAGGCGTGTTTTAGAGTGCAAGATCTGCTATATGCAGCCAGATCACTGGGTCGTCATTCAATGTGGGCACATGGTCTGCCGATCATGCGCAGGAAGTCTTGGAACGATGGAGAGGTGTCCTATCTGCCGAGCACCAATTACGGGATTTATCGGATGTTACCCTTTTGCAGGCTAAAGCATGTATATCGTGTTGCGGTTAGTTTAAGGGCTCGAGTTTAAGCACTGAGTGCCGTTTTTCCGCGTTTCTTTCTCCACTTATCTACTCCGTACTTTCGGGAACGGCTGAACGCTAAAACATCACGTGAAGGACCCTCGAGCACGGAGTCAGGAGGCCAAAACAGTATGGCCTAGTATGCAGCAGAGTTAATAGGATCAAAGAGGTATATATTGATTGTTCCGGGTGGTGATCGTAGGAAACAGTGGGCACAGAAGTATGTGTATAGCGAAGGGGTCCTAACTAATTAGGGTTAGTAGCTGGCTAATTGGAATCTACTAAAAATTTCCTGGGTTAAAAGAAAATCTGCTGTTCTGATTGACTGCCTCATGAAGAATCCATGTAAATAGACACGCAATGATGCTTAGCCGCTTAGAGATCCTTTTCAGTTCTTTGAATTGGTGTTGGGTAGTAGGAGCCCTAGAACGGTTAGAAGCCTTAGGACCAAGGAGGCTTTTGTCACATACTAGGTGACAGCTGAGGAACGACCAAAATCCCGATGGATCCGCTGAGAAGATGAAGACCTGTCCAGATTCTCGAATCCGTATGCCCAAGCAAACATCTGCTTCACACATCTTGCTGAACTCGTGCGACTTATTCTCTAGAGTGATCTTGCGTCGATCTCTTTTCTGTCGAAATGACTTCTTACTCACGCCGGGGAGATTGGATTGTGCACAAGGGGTCCTAGCCATTATAGGAGGCGAGTAGGAGTTGAATACTTAGAGAAGGAAAGTAACAGCCGATATGACGTTTCTGTGAGACGTAAATAACTAGCAACTTCTCAGATTGAAAAGGGTCGAATGATTCTTTAAAGACCACGTTGTTAGGATCGCGGGCTAGGGGACCGTTTCACTCCCAGCCCCACCCGCCGTCATGTTTCAGGGTAGTCACTCTACAGGCAGCGTGCGTTCGGTCCGGCAACCCTCGACATTCATAGCGCTTCTGGGATTAGCCATTGCCCGAGAATGATATGAGAAGGAACACTACGTAACAAGACATAATTTCCCCGAACTATAAGTAACGTTTCCTACCTCTCCTGCTCTGTTCCATGCTCTATCACTTCAGCGTCGCTGGTTCGACTACCCGCCCTCCCTTTAATACTACTTTGTCCTTCATTCACTATGCGGCTTGTCTTTCCTTTCTTCCTCAGCCTAGTATGCCTTGTCAGGGCTGGTACCATTATAGCCTCTGACAGTGCCAATACCGCTGAGCTTGAGTCTCGCGGAACCAGTGGATATCGCTCCGTTGCCTATTTTGTCAACTGGGTCAGTTCGCATGACGTGGCCCCCTGTTTAAATCACCCAGAACCACTTACTGAATATATATCATTCATCAATCTAGGCGATCTATGGCCGTAACTTTAATCCACAGGACCTCCCTGCCGATAAACTGACGCATGTGCTATATGCCTTTGCCAACGTGCACCCAGACACTGGAGAGGTGTATATTTCAGATCCTTGGGCCGACATAGAAAAGCATTACGCTACCGATTCATGGAGCGATACTGGAAATAATGTTTACGGATGTGTGAAGCAACTCTTCCTTCTTAAGAAGAAAAACCGGAATTTGAAGATCCTACTGTCTATTGGGGGCTGGACTTACTCGCCTAACTTTGCTAGCCCCCTCAGCACTGCTACGGGTCGTGCAAATTTCGCTTCCTCCGCTAAGGACCTAGTGATGAATCTTGGCTTCGATGGTATTGATATCGACTGGGAGGTAAGATTCACATAAGATAATCCCCTAGTGGAAGAGGTATACTAAAGAACACCTAGTATCCCGCGGATAGCACTCAGGCCGATAATATGGTTGCAACGCTTCAACAGTTGCGCTCGGTATGCCATAGCAACCAATCTAAACTTTCATGTAAAAGACCTGAACTAACAGGGGAATATAGAGCCTAGATACATTTAGCGCTGCAGAAGCAAACAACTATCACTTTTTGATTACCGTTGCATGCCCAGCCGGTATGTACTACTAGGCCCTGCAAGTTCCTTGCTTCGTCCCTGATCCACATACAGGTCCAGAAAACTACCAGAAGCTCCACATATCTGACATGGACAAGTACCTTGACTTCTGGAACCTTATGGCTTATGATTATTCCGGTAGCTGGGACACCATCGCCGGCCATGACGCTAATATCTATGCCTCGACTAGCAACCCCTCTAGCACGCCCTTTGACGCCGACCAGGCCATCAATTACTATACCTCACACGGAGTAGCAGCCAACAAGATTGTCATAGGTATGCCGCTTTATGGTCGCTCGTTTATGAATACCGATGGGCCTGGTACGTCTTACAGCGGCGTTGGCAGCGGCAGCTGGGAGAATGGAGTGTGGGATTATAAGGCGCTGCCCCAGGCTGGGGCAAAAGTCAGCTACCTCGACCAACCTTTGGCCAGCTACAGCTACGATGCCTCACAAAGAACGATGATAAGCTATGATACACCTCAGGTTGCGTACAAGAAGGCGGAGTATATTATGTCAAGGGGTCTAGGCGGCGGAATGTGGTGGGAGAGCAGCGGTGACAAGAAAGACTCTGATAGCTTGATCACGACAGTGTGTGCCCTAGTCGGTTGTTTATTTTCTGTTGGATCGTCACTTGTCAGTGCATTTTCTAACTGAATGTTTCACCTTTAGGTTGTTAATACCTTCGGCGGGGTCGGGGCTCTAGAGAAAGTTGAGAACGAGCTGAGATACCCATCCTCCTCTTATGATAACCTAAAGGCTGGATTCCCTTCCAGTTAAGAGGCGGTTTCTAACTCAGCTAAAAGAGAATACATGATTGACAGAAAGTGTCTATTGTGCTTACATACCAAGGAAACCATAGGGGAGCTGGTTTATTATGTGTACTTTAAGTTGACGTAACCTTCGCTTATTTAACAAATTCATTATGGAATCTCTTTCACAAGCATAGAGCTCAGAGAGTTGCTGGAGCAATCTTAAGTTAGTGCTTTGCAAAGCTAAAATCCAAAATATGTTCAAAGAGCAATAGGGAACCTGTTACGGTCAAGAGCAAGATCAAAATAAAACTATACTATTCAACGAAGGTATCAAGAGAGGGAGGAGAAAAACGGAAGGAACTATTGTAGTGGGGATTCAGGTGACGATTATTTGACGGGGCTTCGTGGTTCTCATTTTTCATGTACGGAGTGAGTCCTTTGGGTTTGTTTGCTTAGTTTGCATGACGCATCGCGATGTCCTTTATCTAATCACATGATACACTAATCCGGATATGGCTATTCCCGTAATTTTAAGATCTGTTCCTAGGTTGAATGATTTAGGGCTATACGTGTATTGACCTAAGTAAGCCGTATGCTCCTGTATTGTCGCAGCCACGAAAACCCCGCTCCATAATACTCCGTACCTCCAGTGAGTATATTCTTACTTACTTACCTACATGCGCACCCGAGTCATGTCTCCCTACTCCGCATGGTCCAGTGTATTGCGGTGATCAGACCTGCAGCACCCGAACACGGGCGCCAGGGGACTCGAGCGTCCTATCTCGAGCGCCCAAACCCCCCTCCCCCCCCCCCCCAAAACGACCCTTCAAAAAAAGGCACGAAATCTTGAGTTTTGGCAGCGAGAAGTCATTATCCACACGATATGTTATAATGCCCAGCAGGCCTACACGCCTTAATAATAATACAGCTTGGGATATTCCCCTCCAGGAGGGGCTCAGAATGTCCTGTATTGTGATTGTGAATTGTGATGAAACCGATGCATATCCCTGCAGTCAGGGCACCGAGCCCTTGTCGATCATGAAGGGTAAAAAAGGCTCGCACATATTGTATCTAGTTCTTCTCTTTCCTTAAGAATCAGTTTTGTGCTCAAGCTGATAACTTCTTTTTACCGGATCACTCTGTCCCATCCTCCTTCTAGGCTATCTTCCTTACCTTGTCGACAGGCTGACATACTCTGCACCGTGTGTCGTAACGACAAAGGATTTTTGAGATAAAAGGATGTGATACATCAGCTCACCAGTTGAACAATGCTTCCACTGATATTTTCATAAATAATCTCCCTTTCTCGTCGCACCTGTTTAATCACATTCTTCTAATAATAATTACTTCCTTTATGGCAAAACCTTCCCCATGCTCTTGCCATTAGGGAGACCCTATCGAGGCCTCTCTACCTGCAGCGTAACCCTGCCCAGTAATTCATCGCTTCGTGTGACGCACGGGCCTTTAGTCTCCTAACAGCGCGATCTGATAACTTTGGAGTCTAGCCTAGGTCGCCTAAGTCGCCTGATCCTTTAGGCTGTCCTCAACGTGGCTCGCATCCTGAGGTGAAAGGATCCTCATGAAACCTCCAGTCCGAGAGATCCTAGAGCGTTGAAATAATGACTTCCGCCAGCATGGGACTTCGTATTCCTCACGGATATTGATCTACAGCGACAATGCGCGAATAATTGCCCACGATAGGCTTTGTCGAGGCTGTAATATATACACACTACATATACATACAAGAATATACCGTGCATGCATGCGTAGTGTCACATTGAAAAGCTTGCCGGGATTAATTGAATTGAAAATCGATCGATTGTCCAATTCTTCTCCATCCTGTGCTTATCATCTCCTTAAATAGATATAATAATGCAGACCTAGCCAACGACAGACCAACTGCTCCTCCAACTGCAGTTCACAAGAGAGTAGAGAAAAAAAAATACACGACGCTACGTGGCAGTTCCTATCTCTTTGACGTATTATCTGCACAGGTAGCTTCCCAGCGCCACTAAAAAGCTAATTTCAGCACTGATCATCCTGTTCGTGCATTAATCACACTTTTTGCGGTGATATTCTACGGACAAGTTATTTGCATACGTTACTATCGGGTGACAAATCGGTGGGGGAGCAGTTTTCAGTGCGTTTCATACCTCCACTTTCGTTCGCATTGCGCGTATAGAAAAAGTAGCTGAAATCGTCGGCGGCTTAGCGTCCCATTTACCCTTGAACTTAATGGGGCCAGCTCTAATATGCACACATAAATACCTCATCGCTACCCTGGTCAAAATTTTCCGTTTGGATTTGCAGTTCATTCATTTGATATCTTGGTAGATCCTTATCATTTCTAGGTTGAGCATTGATAATGGGCTCGACCACATCGACTACACAATGGCTGCATTCCGAGGTCCTCGATCGAAGCCTTTGGGCCGACAACCCGGAATATCTCCTCACGATCCCACCGCGGATTAGTAAATATAACGAACGATCCGACGATGCAAGCGTTCAACTTCAAATCGACGTGGCTGGTAAGGAAAATGTTGGAGTTGTCGATGGTGCTATTACTAGTGTTGGGGGTTTAGCTGCGTTGATGTATCCCGACTGCCTTCCGGACAGAATGGCAGTTACTTCATATGTGCTTGAGACAACATTTATTTGGGACGGTAGGTACATCACTTGCTTCTAGTATCATGAGCCTTCGCCACTGACGGACGACAGATCTCAATATTCCGGAACCAGATGAGGTAGGATCGGATCCACCGCTCTTGGTGAATGGGTTTAAAACTAACCCATATGCATGGAAAGGTGGCCATCAAAGATTCCGAGTCAAATACTCGAAAGGATGTGAACATCTTTCACCACCCTTCCATGAAAGCCAGGCTAAAACAAGCGTTCTCTAAAGGGGTTGCTGCAGTGAGTAGGATCGATCCTATTCTTGGGCCCAACGTCCTCGAAACTTGGAAGGACTGGAGACTTGCCGAAACAGACATCCGTGGCAACTTTTTTAAATGGACAAGCTTGGATCAATACGTGGAAGTTCGTGTCCGCGATATTGGATACCCGTACGTTTGCTATTTTCACGGAAATCAACGCCGAGATATCACCAAACTTACTATACTTTAGCTGTGTTATCGCCATGGGGTTATTTTCATGCAACCTGAAAATAACTCCAGAGGAAGAGGCTATAGCACTTCAGATTGCCTGGCCTTTGCATGCGCAGGGGGTTTATTCCAACGACTACTACTCCTGGTTTAAAGAGTTAAGAGCTCACCAGGAAAGTGGCGGGAAAATCCCGATCATAAATTCAGTCAAGTTGCTACAGCGCTTAGAAGGCCTTTCCGTGGAAGAGGCAAGAGCACGACTGAGAGAGAAGAGCCTCGAAATGGAGGCAGAGTACCATCGACGCAAGAAGGAGTACTTCGAAGCCAATGCGGACAAGGGTATTTCCCCTGCCCTGGTTCGGTATCTTGACTATCACGAGGAATACGCCACTGGGCATGTCATATGGTGCTTGAACTCTTATCGCAACAACTCCCCTGGTGGAGATGAGTATCGCGCTTATTATGCAAAGCGAGTTGCAGAGGGAGCTATCTTCTGGGACAATCCATCACAGTCGGAGGACATCCTGACCGATGGATACCAGGTTCGGTATCTCCAGAAGTAGCTGTTCGGGGGAGGCGTTTGGTCGAATCTACCGCTCTTGGGCGGGTTGATGGTGGTCTTGGCAGCTGCGTATAGATGGTTGCAATTCATGCCCCTGCTCACGCCAATATTCCAAAGTCAAAAAGCGAAACCTGAACTCTAAATAAATGGGATCGGCAAGTCCGGAGGAGAATACGATAAATTCGTATGGAGCAATATCAAGTTAGAAATCAGAAGAAGGATGATCAACGGAACCTCGACGGGCTTAGAAGAAGAGAGTTTTCATAGGGAAGAGGCTAGCCAACATATCACAAGAACTATCTACTACGGTTTTCACTTTCATAATATATGAAAGTAAGCTGCCGCTGATGGGCGATCTTGAACACCACGCTGATAGCGTAGAAGATTCCAATGAGCCCCGGTACATGAGCTGACCACCGGTCTACGATTCAATACAGTCTTCCTCAATACAGGGCCGCTCGAAATCAGTTTCACCTCATTGTTCTCTTCGATTCTTGCTCAAACTCTATTTTGAAACACGCTAGTCTATTTTGAATTTAGTCCCTTGTACGATCGTGAAACGTATTTATGGATAAAGTCACATGATTGTTTTTCTTTGTAATGTACTGAAATAAAGTGCATTGCTCTATATCTGGCATTTTCTGATCGTTAACTAAAGGCTTCCGTATACGGGTAGTAGGTAACTGGCACTGCGTGGTCACTACTCATTATGATAACAGACAAGGAGCCAACGTAGCATAACCCTCTATATAATAAAATGGATATATCAGGAGTATGAGATCGAGAAGATTAGCTCCCCTGACTAACTTTATCGTCACCTGATTGCGGGGTAAACTTCCAAGTTGGCAGTGCCGACTCTTGGTACCACCAAGCATCGACCTACTTTGAGGGCTATCATGGCAACCAATATATCATATGACGGCCCTAATTCGGGGCTTCAAATCGGACAAAACCATGGCCATATCACTGCGCAGTTCTGTAGGTGGGAGAAGAACTCGACTTTAACATAGTGTGACTAACCAGTGTGATCGCGAAGCGCAATCGGAAACATCATTAAACCAGGCATGTTTGCGGGATCTACGAACGACTAATCCCCACGATGACAAAGACCGTATTGAACAAACCAAAGGAGGATTGCTCATAGACTCATGTGCCTGGATTTTACATAACGAGCAATTCAAACAATGGCGCGACAAACCGAGCAGTAGTCTTCTCTGGATCAGGGGTGATCCCGGCAAAGGTAAGACGATGCTTCTCTGTGGCACCATCGACGAATTGCTTCGATCCGTGGGGGATAATGCAAATATCTCGTTCTTTTTTTGCCAAGCTGCCGACATTCGAATCAATAATGCTACAGCCGTTCTCCGTGGCTTGATTTATTTACTTATCGAGAAGCAGCCTTCTCTTCTCTCTCATATACGAAGTCGATATGACCAAGCAGGCAAAGCACTGTTTGAGGACATAAACGCATGGAGTGCCCTATCGAAGGTCTTTACCGATATCTTAAAAGATCCAACTTTACGGAATACCTATCTGGTGATCGATGCACTCGATGAATGCACAACAGACCTCCCTTACCTTCTTGATTTCCTTGTCCAGGAATCATCCGCCCACACGCACGTGAAATGGATTGTTTCGAGCCGTAATTGGCCCGAAATCGAAGAGCGTCTAGACACTGCTACCCGAATAGCTCAAATCTCATTAGAGCTAAACGAGGTATCTGTTTCCGAAGCCGTGAAAAATTTCATTCAACACAAGGTTCGCCTATTGGCGAGGGTCAAAAAGTATGGAGATGAAACCCGTGATACAATCTGCCGTCACTTATCGTCAAACTCACAAGGCACTTTCCTTTGGGTAGCTTTGGTATGTCAAGACCTTGATAGAACATCGCGGAGGCACGCTCTCAAGAAGCTGGAAGCATTTCCTCCTGGATTAAATGCTCTATACGGTCGGATGATTGACCTTGTTCGCAAATCGGAAGATGCCAAGCTTTGCAAGCGAATACTAGCCATCATGTCAATAGTGTATCGGCCTATCGCGCTTGACGAACTAAGTCCCTTGATCGAATTCCCTGACGATATCTCCGATAACTACGAAGCTCTATCAGAGATTATAGCGATTTGTGGCTCGTTCCTGAGTTTCCACGAAGGCACTATAACATTCGTTCACCAGTCTGCAAGGGAGTTCCTACTGAGAGAAACGCGAAATGAGATATTCCCTAGAGGTATAGAATCTGAACACGATACACTGTTCTCGCGATCCCTACAAGTCATGTTTAAGACACTTCGACGCGATATCTTTGACATCAAATTTCCCGGATTTCCGGTTCAGAAAATCACACAACCTAGTCCGAATCCATTAGCAGCTGTACCATACGCGTGTGTCTATTTGGTTGACCATCTTCAGGATGCTTGGAGTAATAAATACGATGATCATATCCTTGATGAGAGAGGGTGTGTGGATGCTTTTCTACGGCAGAAATACCTTCACTGGCTGGAAGCCCTTAGCATTCTGGGAAGCCTCTCCCAAGGCATAGCAGCTATGCTAAAGCTTGAGGGTTTAGTTCGGGTGAGTTTTCGCCTTTTTACCGAAGACGATCTCCACTACTGACCATGGAACCATCATGATAGGAAAAGTGTGATCGAAAAGCGCTTCGACCCCGAATTCGAGACGCATCCCGATTCATTCTCTACCACAGACTACCAATTGAAAGCTGCCCCCTTCAAGTATACGTTTCACCGCTCATCTTCAGCCCAACGAATAGTATCACGAGGTTTTGTTACCAGAAAGAGAGGCCAGATTGGATTTTAAATGAGCCACTGTCAGACAAGGATTGGAGTCCATGCCTTCAAACTCTCGAGGGCCATTGTCATCAGGTCAACTACATTTCCTGGTCGCAAGATGGAAACCGACTCGCATCAGGTTCACATGATAACATGATCAGGGTCTGGGATCCAGCCAACGGTCAGTGCACCTTGATTCTCGAGGGGCATAATGGTTCAATTTACTCGATCACTTGGTCACAAGATGGGAGTCGACTTGCATCAGCGTCTTTCGATAAGACAGTCAGGATTTGGTATCTAGCTTCCGGTCATTGTATATTCACCCTCAAGGGGCACACTGGCCCGGTCATGACGATTGCCTGGTCACACCATAGTGGTAGGCTTGCATCAGGATCAGATGATAACACAGTCAGGATCTGGGATCCGGCCAACGGCCAGTGTATATGGACCCTTAAGGGGCACAATGGACCGATCATATCAATTGCCTGGTCGCACAATGGAATCCGAATTGCATCAGGGTCAAACGATAAAACAACCAGGATATGGGATTCGGTTACCGGTCAGTGTATCTTCTGTCTCGAGGGGCATAGTGACCCGGTCATATCTGTTGCCTGGTTACAGAATGGGAACCGCCTTGCCTCAGGATCGCGTGATCACGTAATCAGACTCTGGGATCTGGCCACTGGCCAGCGCGTATCAACCCTCGACAAGCATACACAGTGGGTCAACTCAATTGCCTGGTCGCAAGACGGAACCCGAATTGCATCGGGATCAGATGACGGAACGGTCAAGATCTTTGATATGGTCACTGGCCATTGCATTTCAATTCTTGAGGGACATAGTGCTCCAGTGGTGTCAATTGCCTGGGGGTCAGATAGAAGCCGACTCGCATCAGCATCCTGTGATAAGACAGTCAGAACATGGGACCTGACCACCTGCGAGAACGTCTCGCCCTCTGAGCGGCACACTGCCTGGGTCACGAAAATTGGCTGGTCACACGATGGAAGTCGACTCGCATCAGCGTCCTTTGATAAGACTGTTAGGGTCTGGAATCCAGCCACCGGCCAGTGCATATCAATCCTCAAGGGGCATAGTGGTCCGGTTATGTCGATGGCCTGGTCACACGATAGTCGCAGACTCGCATCAGCATCAGGATCAGGTGATTACACGGTTAGGGTCTGGGATCCGGTCACCGGCCAGTGTACATCAACCCTTGACGGTCATAGTCAGCAAGTCAACTCAATTGCATGGTCGCAAGATGGAAGACGCCTTGTTTCAACGGCCTTTGATTACACAATCAGAGTCTGGGATCTAGCCACCGGCCAGTGCACGGTAAAACTGGAGGGGCAAAGTGGCTGGTCGATTGGTTGGTCGCAAGATGAAAGCCAATTCGCCTTAGCTTCCTTGAATAATTCGGTCAGGATCCTAGATTCCTCCACTGGCCAGTGCGCGTCCACCCTCAAGGGGAATAATGGTCCGTTCATGGTGGTTTCGTGGTCAAAGGATGGAAGCAGACTCGCATCGGGATCGAGTGATAAATCGATTACGGTCTGGGATCTGACCACCGGTCAGTGCGAACGAACATTGCCTATCCACTCCCCTGACTTCCTTCAGTTCGATGAACTCGAGCCTAATCTTCTACACACGGCAATCGGTGCAATCAATCTAGCACCCACTGGCTCTGTCAAACCCACTCTCCACTCCTTGCAGTTGCCAGATATCTGTGGATTTGGCTTGAAAGATGACCATTCCTGGATAACTTATAATGGTGTTAACCTCTTATGGCTGCCCGTGGACTACCGACCGGTCCTACTCTCTCTTTTTGCTATATCTGCAACAACCGTTGCAGTTTGCTGTCCATCAGGTCGTGTCATATTCCTCGCGCTCTCAGAGCTCAATCCTCTTTCTGTTGTTTGATCAGCACATTCAGCACATCTATCGGATCTGTTTCCTCTTTCTCCTGACACATTATTGATGGCGAATAAATTCTTTTGCGGAGGCTTTTTGAGAAGACAGACATAGTTTAGCCGTGGACCTGACCAGTGGTCCGGCTTAATTTTGTTAGAGAATTCCCCTACGGCAGAGAGCCCACATGCGGGTGCCGTGGATCGTGTGATATATTTATTCTCAATTGACTTGAGATGTTCGAATCCAACTCTATAGAACATTTCCTTTCTACACGTACAGCAGCCATAGTCTAGCGTTGTTAAGAAACACCCCACCAGATATTATCTCTTTAGTTGTGCACGTTTTTTACGCTTATTCAACAAGGTCTGTGAGCTGACTGAGAGGGGTTGACTGAAGTTGGAATGTGTGTCATCGTGGCCAGACAATCGACTTGCCCTTTTTTCTTGGCTTGTTTGGCTTGTTTGTTAATAAGGAGCTTCTAGAACAGTAACGCATACGAGACAATACAAAAGCTATTTTCATATACGTATTTACAACGGTATTAGAATACCGCCAAGGCTGGCGCCAGGGGCAGCCTAACTATAATAGGTAAAGTCTGATGCAAGGTAAAGTTCGAAAACAAATTAAATTGAAAGAAATAGGTGAAACTGATTTCGAGCGGCCCTGTATTAGCCTCACGGCGTCTACAGTCCTCCCTTATCGTACAGTAAGCAATTCCAGAGGAAGAAAAATTATGTTGAAGATTGTAGAGGCATATCAGACCGAGAATAGTGTCATAATTTCTTGTGCAGAGGTACTGTGAACCACGTCTAAGTCTTCGAAGAAAGTTACAATCCATAGGCCTGCGACACTGTTTTAGTGTCGCATATTGTTGCTCTTACAGCCATTCTCGAAATCGCCTTGACCAATACACTTAGAGCAACTCTTTTCTGGTCCCAAATCTGAGGACTGTCATAAAATAAGGGATGTACTGTACCAATGCATGTGCTCTTAACTAATCAAAGGAGATTCGCTTAGTTATTGACCTACGCTAAGGCCTTAGCGGTAAGGTCAGAAAATCGTTTCTCTACGTGTATTGGTCAGGGCGATTTCGAGAATGATCAAAAGCCACAATATAACTTTGCGACACTAAAACGGTGTCGCAGGCCCTATGGATTGTAAATTTTCCAACGACTTGGGCGTGGTTCACAGTTCCTCTACACAAGAAACTACGACACTATTGTTGGCCTATAGTAACAGTAGCAAAGTTAATCCGCCTTAAAATCAAGAAAACTTGGCCAAGCGACCTGCTTTTCCATGGGTAGCTTTTTGTACCACTAACTAAACAGTGCAAATTTTTATGCAGGGGGAGGATACATGTTCAAAGTTCTTTTTAGGTCTTTTATTGCTTTGTGTGGTTGGCCCTAGTCGGAAGAAGGAATTGCAGCCCCTAATTGTGAAGGCAGTAGAACACTAAAACGTGTACGTGGAGACTGACCCCGCGCTGACAAGGCCTCTAATGAACCAAATCCTTTCCCGCCGACATGATTTTGTCGCCTGCTACTTTGTAGACTTGAAAATTGGGGCGAGTTTGGTTGTCGTCTCTTACTCTAATGATCATTCAGAGGACAAGGATTTCCTAGTAGACTCGCAACGAGTGGGATCTATCAAAGATATTTAAAAAGGCTGCCTCCCATCGTTAGCCGATTTAGTCGGCTAGAAACACGGATTGCTTTCCTTACAGAGACTGCACACTAACGGATTAACGTCATAAGATTTAGCTATGTTGGGGCAAGTCTTAAAATGCCTTCCCTTGGCCTTGTCTACCGGTTCTTTGATTTGCTTAGCGATTGTGTTCTCTGGATGCACGTCTACTTCTTCTCCTAGTGACTTATATTTCATGAAGGTTCATATAACGCGACAGCTTTTTGAGAATTAAACTGAGCATTTACAGGTGAACTTGTCTTCGTTCTCTACTATTGACTTCACTCTTCGCCGAGAGATCTCGGTCCGCGGCCTGGACTCGGCTACGGCCACATCGGAAATCACGAGCACAGGAGGTAATGTTATAAGCTCTGCAGAGACTGGTGTTGCACAGGCTTCTGCAGCCGCCCAAACGGCAGCGAGTGAGGTCAACAATTCTATACAAGAGATCTCTAGTGGTCTTAAATCTAATCTCCCTGGCTACTACTCTGTCGGACTGTTAGGGTATTGTGAAGGACATGATGATAAGGCCACCTATTGTTCCAATCCAAGTACCTCATTTTCCTTCAACGTTACCGATTTATTTGGCAAGACTTCCCCCGAAGTATCTGCCCTGATCCCTGGTATCGGAAGCAAAGCTTTAGGTGGATATCAGTCTATCGCTCGATGGTCCATTTCAGCCAATATTCTTGGACTCATATTCTCGTCTGCAACCATTATCTTTGGAATCACTACTTTGATGTTTTCATGGGGAAGGATATTTCTCATTATCTCCCATCTGGTATGTTCACGCTCCCAACGAAGCTAATGATAATTTTTGACCGTGGTGTAGCTGGCTACAATTTTCATTATGGCTGCAACAATAAGCACTACCGTCATTTACGGGCTTATGACCGGCGCAATCAAGGCAATATTGCAAAGATTTGGAATTTTTGCAAACTTGGGGGACCACACATTTACAGCGGCATGGTTTGGGGTGGGTTTTTCTTTTGGAGCTTTGCTGGCATGTATGATTGAGCTGTTTTGTTGCTGTATTTAGTCCACAAAATAGGTAATCAGGTATCTTGCAAAGTTCAGATTAACAATGGAAAGGAAAATTGGAAGACTGCAGTACAGGGATTCTCGAAATTGTGTTGCCCAGTTCACGCTGAGACTCCTTTGGCCCCACTGCCAAGACCTTAACGTGGATCATCAATTGGGTAATGAAACCTTGTACAGTATTGTATCTCTCCTTCCGGAAGAATACGTCGTACACTTTCAGTGTTGGTTACACGTTGATGGTCGCTGTACTAGCTCAGGGGCACATTACAGCGGACTGCAACTTTCTGTTGCGGGCCCAATGAATGATCTGTGCTAAGACCTTGGCAGTCGGGCTCCCGGCCAAGAAAGACAGTCTCAAGGCAATTTCGAGAATAGGGCCCTGTACAGGACGTCCCGAAACTGGTGCAACAACCTACACTCTTCGAGTGATCCTAGAGCCCCACCGCTGAGAGACACTAATCTATATTTGGAATTTTCCGGAGTATCCCTGTTAGTCCGACATGTATTTCTACTTACGTATATTACAAGGTACTTTCAAGCATGTATTCGCTTGTAAATAAAATACATTCGACACCTCCATACCCCACCACGAAAACAAGAGGCTATCTTTAACCTTCAATCACAAGCGGCCGAACCAAGATGGCGCCAAACCTAGCCCCTTCAACGCATGAGCTTATCTATGACATGATCCACAGTGGGGAACTATCTGTATCGGAGATGGCTGAGGCTGCTGGCTGCCACAGGAGTACCATCCTGAGAATCTCTTCCAATATACAGATGTTTGGCAGCGTCAAAGCACCGCCTAATAAAGGCGGACGGCCACGTAGCATCACTCCAGTCATGCTAGAGGCTTTATGCGATCACCTGCTTGAAAAACCTACCTTATACCTAGAGGAGATGGCGATCTTTCTATGGGACGAATTCGCTCTTCAAGCAACGAAATCGAGCATCAGCCGTGCCCTTGCGTCCAAAAGCTGGTCAAAAAAGACTGCCCGTATTAAGGCTCAAGAGCGCAACCTAGAGCTTCGTGACGAATACTCTCACTATATCTCAGACTTCAAGTCTTACCACCTTGTCTTTGTGGATGAGTCTGGATGTGATAAGAGGATAGGCTTCAGGCGGACTGGGTACAGCGCCAGTTCAAGTGTCTAAATTCCATCGTGATCAGCGATATCAGATACTACCTGCCTATGCCCAAGATGGTGTTGTTCTGTCTGGAGTATTCCAAGGCTCAACCGATGCATCCATCTTTGAGGATTTTATAGAGCAGCTTCTCCAGCAGTGTGGGAGGTGGCCAGAGCCAAAATCCGTGTTAGTCATGGACAATGCATCCTTTCATCACTCTGACCAAATAGAAAGGATGTGTTCGAACGCCGGGGTAAAGCTGGTGTACTTGCCTCCATACTCTCCCGACTTGAATCCTATTGAGGAGCTCTTTGCCGAGTTGAAAGCCTTCATTCGGCGAAATTGGCATTCCTACTCAGAAAGTCCCGACCAAGGATTTGATACCTTCCTCGAATGGTGTGTTGATGTCGTCGGTGCAAGGGAGAAGAGTGCAGAGGGCCACTTCCGGCACGCAGGCCGGACTATTGAGATAATGTAGTACAGCTACATGAGCTAAGTTTGAAACAGATCTCTTTAGTTGACCCAAATACTTCACACCTGGTCTTTCATTTTCTATGAATGGAAATCACGTGCCGTATCAGGAGTAGTCTCGTAGACTCCCAATTTGACGGACTGCCTACCCCACCTTCCATGGGCTAACCCCACCTTCCACGGGGCTGAGTTGAATCATTCATTAACCCTTCTCTTGGAGGCAGCTTCTTTCCTCGGATCTTGACCAGAGAGACGCGGCCAACAATATTTCTTTTTCCAACTTCCGATTTCTTCGCATGAAGGGCTACCTGTTAGAGGGGCTAGACTGTTGGCTTGCGCTTCACCGTGTGTTTTACCACATCCATCTCACTGCTATCCCGCCTATCTCGCTATGGCTATGGCGTCTATCTCTATCAGTGGAACGAACTCTGGAGTTCAAATCGGACAAAATAGTGGCCATATCACTGCACAGTTTCACCCCCCAACTGGTAGGTTTTCCCGAAGCCATGCTAGGGATATACGAACTTATTGGATATCTCTGTCCCAGAGCAACTTGAAAAATCAGCAAACCTAGCCTGCCTTCGGGATTTGCAGACGACTAATCCTCGTCATGACAAGTATCGTATCGAGACGGACAAAGGTGGACTACTCAAAGATGCATATACTTGGATCCTCGATCATGCTGATTTCATACGATGGCGCTATCAGAAACACAGTCAACTGCTGTGGATTAAAGGGGACCCTGGGAAGGGTAAAACAATGCTCTTGTGTGGAATCATCGACGAGCTCACGAAGTCCGCTCCTGAAACGCACGCTGTCTCCTTCTTTTTCTGTCAGGCCACCGACGTGCGGATCAACCACGCGACTTCGGTCCTTCGAGGCCTTATATCTATGATGGTCGACCAGCAGCCAATCCTCATCTCCCATGTACGGAAACAGTATGACAAGGCTGGGAAGCAGGTCTTTGAGGATGTCAATGCGTGGGAAGCTTTGTCGGAAATCCTCGCTAGTATCCTCGAGGACCCACTATTACGGACAACGTATTTAATCATCGACGCTCTCGACGAATGCACTATGGGTTTATATCGACTTCTTGAATTTGTCGCCCAGAAATCATCGGCATACCCACATATCAAATGGATTGTCTCGAGCCGCAATTGGCCAACTATCGAAGAGACACTTGATACGCTTTCACAGAAGACAAAGCTATGTTTGGAATTGAACGAGACATCCGTCGCTAAGGCTGTCGCTATCTTCATTAATTACAAGGTTCAGAAGTTGGCTGAAAAGAAGAAATATAACAATGAAAATCGTGATGCTGTGTTCCAACATTTGTCGTCCAACGCACATGGTACCTTCCTCTGGGTGGCCTTGGTTTGCAAGGAGCTTACTCATGTCTCGAAGAGACACGTTCGAAAGAAACTACAAGATTTCCCTTCTGGTCTTGACGAGCTTTACAAGCGAATGTTGAACCAAATCCGCGGACTGGATGATGCTGAACTCTGCAAGTCTCTTCTTGGAGTCATGACGACCGTTTACCGCCCTATCACGTTTGACGAATTAATGTCTTGTATCGATTTACCGGAAGACATTGCACACGATTATGCAGAAGCCTATGAGTCTCTAGAAGAGATCATAGGGCTTTGTGGCTCTTTCCTAACAATCCGAGGACGCACGATCTCTCTAGTTCACCAGTCAGCCAAGGACTTTCTCCTTCAAGAAGCAGAGATTTTTCCCGGCGGAGAAGACATTGTACACTATTCTATTTTTTCAAGGTCTTTACGCGCTATGGCGCGGACACTACGACGCGACATCTATAGCCTCGTCCACCCAGGCTGTCCAATCGAGCAGGTCAACCAGCCAGATCCAGATCCACTAGCCGCAATAGATTACGCGTGTATTTACTGGGTTGATCACCTTTGTAGATGCTCTCCAAACAAGAATGCGATAGGAGACCTACAGGACAGTGGCCCAGTTGGCATTTTCTTCCGCAATCACTACCTTCATTGGCTCGAGGCTCTTAGCCTGTCACGGAACTTATCAGGGGGAGTAGCTTCGATACTAAAGCTCGAAAATTTGCTCCAGGTCTGTTTCTACTCGTATAGTTCAAAGCACGACTCTGATAATATTCCCTTAGATGACACAGATGAATTCACAACTTATTGATAGAGTTCGAGATGCATGCCGGTTTATCTTATACCATAAAATGGCAATCGAGCACTATCCACTTCAAGCATACGCTTCGGGACTAGTATTTTGTCCGGTTAGCAGCATAACGAGGATGCAGTTTCAAGAACAAGGACCAGCGTGGATAAGTCGAAAAAACACGATGGAAGAGGATTGGAGCGCATGTCTACAGACCCTTGAGGGTCATAAGGACAGGGTCAACTCGGTTGTCTTTTCCCATGATTCCCATCTCCTCGCCTCCGCTTCAGCTGATCGCACTATCAAGCTGTGGGATACCAGTAACGGCCGATGCCTACAGACATTCCAGGGCCATAGCGAAATGGTCAACACGGCTACCTTCTCTCATGATTCTCGGCTCGTTGCCTCGGCTTCATGGGATCGCACCGTTAAGGTATGGGATGTCAGCAGTGGGCAATGCCTACAGACCTTCCAGGGCCATAACGACATAGTCGAGTCAGCCGCCTTCTCCCACGATTCCAAACTCCTCGCCTCAGCTTCAAGCGATCGCACTATCAAGATATGGGATACCAACAGCAGCCAATGCCTACAGACCCTCGACGGTCATAGCGACACGGTCAGCTCTACCTTTTTCTCCAATGATTCCAAGCTCCTCGTCTCGGCTTCTCTAGATCGCACTGTCAAGGTGTGGGATAGGAGCAGCGGTAAATGCCTACAGACTCTCGACGGTCATAGCAACTTAGTCCACTGGGCCATCTTCTCTCATAATTCCACGCTCCTCGCCTCAGCCTCATACGATCGCACCGTCAAGGTATGGGATGCCGATAGCGGGCAGTGTCTACAGACCTTAGACCGCCATAACGACATGGTCAGCTCGACAGCTTTCTCCCATGACTCTCAGCTCCTCGCGTCGTCCTCGTGGGATCGCACGATTAAGGTGTGGGATGCGGCCAGCGGCCAGTGCATACAGACTCTCGAGGGCCATAGGGAAGGAGTCAAATCGGTCGTCTTCTCCCATGAATCCAAGCTTCTCGCCTCAGCTTCCTGGGATCGCACTATCAAGGTGTGGGACGTCTGTAGCAGCGGGTGCCGAGGGACTCTCGACTGTCATAGTGATCTTATCAACTCAATCGTCTTCTCCCACGATTCCAAGCTCCTTGCCTCGTCTTCATGGGATCGCACTACAAAGATATGGGATGTCAGCAACGGGGTTTGTCTACAGACCCTCGAGGGCCATAGCGACATGGTCAGCTCGGCTATCTTCTCACATGATTCCAAGCACCTCGTCTCGGCCTCAGACGATCGCACTATCAAGGTGTGGGATACCAGCAGCGGTCAGTGCCTACAGACCCTAGAGGGCCATAGGGAAGGAGTCAAATCAGTCGCCTTCTCTCGCAATTCCAAAATCCTCGCCTCCTCTTCATGGGATAGCACCATCAAGCTATGGGATACTGGCAGCGGCTATTGCTTACAGACCTTTAAGGGCCATAACTATATAGCCAGTTCGGCTCTCTACTCACATGATTCCAAGCTGTTCGCCTTAGCCTCAGACGATCACACCATCAACGTGTGGGATATTAGCAGCGGTCAATGCATACAGACCTTCCAGGGCCATAGCGACGTCGTCAACTCAGCAATTTTCTCTCATAATTCCAAGCTCCTCGCCTCAGCTTCAAGAGACCGCACCGTGAAGGTGTGGGATGCCAACAGCGGGTTGTGCCTACAAACCCTCAAAGGTCACAGTGACCTAGTCCGCTCGACCGTTTTCTCACGTGAATCCAAGTTCCTCGCGTCATCTTCCCAGGATCGCACCATCAAGGTCTGGGATGTTGTCAACGGCCAGTGCCTACAGACTCTTAACGTTGGAATAACCAGCTCTGTGAGATTATTCGACATTACGAACTCATACCTTGAAACTAGTAATGGCACCCTTCTTTTATCTTTACTTGGAGATATGGGACCGACTAACAGCATGGATCCGGGAGCCGCGCGATATGAGGGTTGGGGTATAAGTTCCGATGGTACATGGATCACTTGGAATTCTGAGAATCAGCTCTGGTTACCACCTGAGTACCGGCCACGTGGCTGGTTTACTTCCGCGGTCTCACCATCGGTCGTATGTATTGGTTGTGCTTCGGGACAGGTACTGTTCTTCACGTTTGATTCGCGGAAACTACCAAGTTTCCCTGCCAAGCGCTGGATTCCTCTTAAATAAAACTTCTCTTACTGCGCGTTCAAACAGTGATTCTCGAAATTGCCTTGACCATTACACACTGAGACTCCCTTTCTGGGACCCACTGCCAAGACCTTAGCACAGATCATTCATTGGACTGGCAACAAAAAGTTGCGGCCCGCTGTAATGGTACAGTGACCCTCAACGTGTATCCCACATGCACAGCGTGCGATGTATTTATTGTCTTGCAGGAAGAGATACCATACAAGAATCTATTACGTAAGGGTCCTCAAATTACTGTGGGCAGTCCGATTGATGATCTGCGCGAAGATCTTGGCAGTGGGGCCGAGAGAGTCTCAGTGTGTAGTGGTCAAGGCAAGCTCGAGAACAACTATGGAAAATTCTAGATTCCTTGGGTCGCTAATACATCTATTAGACAACAATCGTATTTTAATTAGGGTAAGTCACGGTATTGATACTTCTGCAGGAATATTGATATTCCGGAGCTATTCTCAATGTAGACTAAGGTCTATTTGCAGTGGGGCTAGAGAGTCTCTCTGAGAGTGCAGGTGGTTTCACCAGTTTCGGGACGCACTGTAACTAGTCACCTTGAGATATTCTGTCTTTTTATGTACTAGTGCTATTCAGTTTCTAATCGTTCAGCCTAGGAATCTGAGACATAGTCGCAGGTCTATGTAAAAGAGGGATGTCCCTAGGAACGAATCAGATGTGGCACGCAATTTGGGTTAGTGCGGCAGACTTGAAAAAACGGTTACTATACATAAAGTAAATTGTCGAACGGAAGGAGTCGTCAAATACCACTAAAATCCTTGTGGGATAGGCTGTTCATCGTCTATCCAATTCCCTAAGCATTCGTATGGTATTCGGGTTAGGTCGGAAGAATGGCGCCGTAATACACCGCAACTGGATGATACAGACTCCAAAGAGTGTTTAGCCACACTTGCCTTAATCAATGGACTGATTTTATTGAAAATCCTCAGTACTAGCCAGTACATCAATTCCTCATCTTGACATACTGTAAATCATTTGTTGTATAACTTGTTTACTTATAACGGCTTAAATCAGTAATCGATTCCAGGGAACTTCATATACAAAATGAAAACGTCAATATCTCTTAGACTATACTTGATTTGTCAAGATCAGAAGGTACAGAAACGGAAACAATGTTAAAAGATAACAGTAAGACAGGGAGTCTTCCAAGAGAGTGAACGAGATGCTCGGTTCCCGAGAATGTCGCCTATCTTCACAATATCCTCTATACTTAATCAGACCGCCGAGCAACCACAAGTAGATACAGTTAGCAGGGAAATAGAGGACGGATTCAGAGCCGACGAAGCTGTAGGTGAAACCAGAGCTGTAGGTGAAACCAGAGCGGAGGATGACTTCGTGGAAGGCTCGGATATATAGTCGGACGCAGTGCATAAGCTGCCAACCTTCAATCCGTTACTCAGCGTACACGACGACTCGTCTCCATTCTGATTGAAGAAGGTGACCAGCCCAGTCTGTTTCACCTCGATCGATGCAGCTGGTAGACCATTTTCCGTGCCGCAAGCGTCCACGTTAAGCACAGAGTAGTCTTTGCGGACACCATTTATGACTTCGCTCAACTCTAGAAGTTCGTCAATACTATATTTTAATTTTCGATCAAGCAATTGCCTACTTGAACAGTCATCTCCGTCGAGCTTGGCAAAAGATGCAGAATATCCAGTGCAGCCATGGTTATCCTTAGACCATATAAGGCATTGGCCATCATAGTCGATAACTTCGAGAGTACCACCAAAGGAGGTGCGTACATAGACGCTAGCAAGAAACATAGAGATAGAGAAGCGCATTTTCTTTGATCTCTGTAGCAATTGAATAAATTTTGAATGAAATCCAGGATATTATACGGCATCTGCGGGTTATATATTTTGGTTTATTTTGCCTTACACACTGCACATACCCTTTCTGGCTACACAACTTGTTCGTGGCTACTTCGTATTCTGCAACACTAATTTGGCCCGCATCCCATGCGGACAACCACTCGCCGATCATTGCGGGTTTGGGTTCCGAAACACCATTTGGCTTGTAGCCCAGTCGCCGTCATGTTTTGGGTTCGGCAGGCGGGGCAGCGCCGTGGAAGCAGGAAACCTAATGAAGGTTAGTTCGGGCTAGGAGATCTAGCCCGCCGTCATGTTTTAGGATTGAGGTACTGCGGAGGTCGGAATGAGCCTGCGACACCATTTTGGATCGAGTGGTATAATGCAATGTCAGCAGCATGGTTCTTACGGTGAAACGCCAATAAGGTTGAGATCGCCGAAGAACAATATGGTAGTTTATGAAAGGGGTTTGATTGAAGAAAACACGGGACGCTGCAATAAATGTTCGATTTAGGAGTGGAAGTCGATGTTGGCATCGATACTTTAGTTTGCTGATCGCAAAGATAGTTTGCGAGGCTGAAACGAACGCGGAGGCAGAGAGAATCAGAAGGAATTTGTCAAGACGTTCTTTAGCGGCGGAGTTGCACAACGCAGAGCTTGCTTAAGCCCTAGGACAGGCTATATTCTCGTTGCGGGTTGTAATTCAAGGTATTAGGATATATTGTGATGCGTCGTCCCAAGGATCAATAATACACAAGAGAAGTAGGCCTCATATTTATTGTAATGAGAGACTTAGAGTGCGCAATATTACAGTAGTCAAGTACGCTATCGGCTTTAGTGGGCCGTGGTTCGCCTGCAAGTACAAGCGGCCCTCATATATGATCTGTGGAAATCCACCTTACGTCTGACCTTCGCTAAGGACTCTAGGGGGTAATCGTTATCAAGTATCGGTCAAGCCGATTTCGAGAATTATTGTAATATCCTGATATATTCTGCTCTTCTAAAGTAAAAGCAACGACTGCGCTTGTTTTGTTTTTAACGTATGTCGTCCTCTGAAGACTGTCTGCTTAGCCCAGGACGACGCTTGCCAGACCCCTCGTCTATGTTTCGCTTTCTCTTTCCTGTTTGAATATCATAGTTGGAAACATATTCCTGCAGCCTGTCCAGTGAGATCAATCCGACCTCATTTTTCCCTTGAGCTGGGTTCTCTCTTCTGCTGACCAACAACAAGCGCTCTTTCATCGCCGCTTCGTAAGTCTTGTTTATATCCGGCGTCCCAATGCCGAACTCATTGATTAGTATGAAAATGTGCTCTCTGGAAAGGTCCTGTAACAGCAATCGCAGGCTAAGTCCACCTTCCGTGCTCAACTTATAATACGTCCGAAATTCAAAAAGAAAAATAACTATCACCTCTCGCTGCGACTGGAACCATATCCTAAGAATCTCAGGGATCCTGTGGCGCACAGATAAATAGTTTTTACTCTCCATTGGGCCAATACAAGAGAGATCTTCGAAGCCTGAGGCTAAAGGCGGTGGGGGATCAGGTGTTCCACTTGGGTAAGTTTCCATCTCGACTGGCTCACTGGGGCTGTCCCTCGTTATGATACGCAAATCAGGACTTCGACGCGCATCAGGACTTCGACGCGTATCAGGACTTCGAGAATACCGACTGGAGGACTGGTCCGGCGGGACCTCGTTTGTTTCTATTTGCTCTGTCATAATAATATCGAGATTAGGTTCGGTTTCTTCCACCAGGGCTTCGAGACGGCTGATGATAGGATTTAGCGCGGTGGGAGCATCTATCAATGTTCCCTGATTAGGCTGAAGACTAATTTGCTCTGTATAACCTTCTGAGACCGTGTCTGTCTGACTCGAAATCATTGTCTGGATGTCGCCAAAGAAACAGTACAAAATTTCTCTTGTCACGCCAAGGGAAGTTGGATATTGTGCAGATGGTTGACTTTGACCAAAGACCTTTTCTAGAAAAAGATGTTTTCGTTGCTGATCGTGTTGGTCTCGCGTTGGACAGTTAAACCTGTTTGTAGCCGCTGCTTCGGGGTTGATCGTCGTAAATTCCACGGCATCGAGATCTTCTTCCGAGTATCTTGGAAGATTGCGCAGAATTTTGTGCAGCTGGCCTGACAGATATTGAACTCGACGCTCTTCGATTATGTAGAATTCCTCTCTACATAGTGACTCAATAAACCCTTTAGCAATGCTTTTGTATATGTCTTCATTTGCCAGGGCGGTGATCTCTTCCGTTTTGAATCCTAGACGCTCAGCCAATTTTGCTAATTTTCTCAGGCTGTGATCCTCGGTGGACCATCCAAAATCATGTAGATCAATTTTCGCGCGACGCTGTTGATGGATGAAATGTCTGAACGCAAAAAGCCAAAGTTGCATCATGCAGAGTGGAAATGAATTTGCCGATTGTTGCATGGTTCCAAACTTGTGCTCTGATTTCTGAATCTCAAATGTACTTCCATCTATGCTCCAGTGACGAAGCATAACCTGTCTGAAGCTTCCTGTGAACTTTGGACAGAGGTGACGGAGTGCTTTTGCTGGTTCCTCAAGAAAGAGGGTATCTTGAGTCAGTGTGTTCAAGGATATGATCCTCCCAGGTGTGGAGAGAAGACGTTCTCGCATAGCCTGACGTTGGCTAACTCCAGTAACAAGGGCAAATATCTGTCGCGACTCTACAAGATTCAAAATGCGGCGGCGATCCTCTAAAGAGTTTTGAGGCATCAATCCTTCAACTAGGTGGACAGAAGTTGGGTCCACAAATGATGCATCTTCTCCCTCGAAAATTCGGGACCATCTTTCGTGTATATGGCTTAAGTAACGGTGTAAGAGCTATGCTAATTAGCGAGTGACATAAAAGGAGATAAAAATGACGCTACCTCTGGACACTTTAGTCCGAGCATTCTCTCAATTTGCGTTGTCTTTATGGGCTTCCATAAACCCACAAATGGCAGGAGTCTATCCAGACTTTCGAGAAGAGCTGTGTCGCGCTGTAAGCGCCGGATGTCTTGACGCCGGCCGTCAGATTTCAGCTTTGCTCGCCATTTCCTTTCCTGGGCACTGTTTTGGGAAATCTGGTATAGCCTCAGTGTGCGATAAATCTCACCATCAGTAAGGTCAAGACTTTTTGCCGACTCCTCTCTAAGCTGAGTAAGAGCCTCAGAAGGAATCGCTATAATCCCGTTCAGAGCCATTTCAACACAGAGCTGAATCTATACATACCATCAAGATAGAGGTCTACTAGCCATCTTCTCTCCCCAAACAACTCTGCAGCCTTTAAGCGGTGTTTCCCATAGACACATATCAATTGTACATCGCCTTCAAGGAGTAGCAGTGGCTGATTTGTTGGGTCTAAGAGGGACTCCCGAGAGAGATCTGATAGCAAAAGCGCCCTTGACAAAGTTTCCTGGTCTATCAGCGCAGCAACTCTGTGTTCCGGCTCAAGGTTGCCGCAACCCTCAATTTCAAAAATCTTGTGAATTCGCGCCACGTTCCGTTCATCCAATGACCGGGATCCAAGGACTGAATTTAGTTCAAATTTCAAGCGGTGGAGTTCAATAATCACACATCCCTGGTAAAACTGAAGCCTTTGGGCGGCGAGGATATTGGTGCGGTGTCCGAGAGGATTGTCGGAGGCGTCCATTTTGTTGGGTTCTGGGTGAGCGGCAGAGTCGGGTCTTAACTAGGGCTGCGACACTATTTTGGTTCACTGACACGGCTAAGCCGCCTGGTTAGCGGTGGTAATAATGCAAAATACCGGTGGCTATCAAAATATGTGTTTGGAATTACGAAACAAGGAACGACAAACTAATAAACTTAGACCTGAAACACGACACCGGGTTTCCGTATAAATCATCGCTAACCCTCCGGTGGAAAGTGCGTGTAGCAACCGTCACTCTCCTACCTTTGATTTAAACCGCCCGAAGACGCGAGACAGAGTTTACGAAATGGACTTAAACACGAAGCGAGATACTATTCTACCAAATCAATTGTGGCGAGGAGCAAAAGATGTCAATAACACTGGGGTACAAGCAAGCCCGCCGATAAAGGTGCTCGAAAAGAATCCTGCATATCGAATGGGGGTTCCTATTAAAGCAAGTGAGAAAAGCGCGACCGTGGCCTATTCCAAGAAAATCTCTCCGAATAAGTATCATAAATCCTATAATATTGATCAGGCTGGGCCGGGAGTCATAGCGTTGAAAGACACTGAGAACTTACCCATTTGTCTGATCAAAGACCACGGAGCCCGAAATTCGCGATCTCTTCGAGGCTTGCAATTTGCTAGTCATAGGAATCTGGTATCCTTGATTGATCACTTTCTATCTGGAGAGCAACTTTATTTGGTCTATGAGTATGAGCACTTAGCAATCAGTCTCGGTTGTGTTGCAGGTACAGTTCAGTTCAGTGAAGCAGACATAGCGACAGTCTGCAGAGAGATCCTAGAAGGACTTAAATATATCCATTCGGCGTTGAAAACTGGGTATGGATTGCTAGACTTCAGCAATATTCTTCTTACTTGGCAAGGCGAAGTCAAACTCGGTATGTCCTCTCCCCATGATTGGAATATTGCTAATCACGAGAAGCGAACATTGGCAAATGCTTACTGGATAAGCACTCCTCCAACACGATTCAGAAAGATATTAAAGACATTGGGTCGATTGTGGTGTTCCTGAGCGATCGTCCCGCCTCAATTCGTGACTCAAGCCACGACGTCGATATACCCCCTCTTTCAGGGCTGGCGCATTCATTTGTTCAAAAAACCAAGGAAGACACAACTATCGAGCAGTTAGTAAAGGTTAGTTTTCTTGGCTTTTCTATATAGCATCGCTAATTTTACCGGAGGAGGAATTTCTGCATCTTGCCAACCCTGGGGGAGCGTGGAGTTTGAAACGACACTATTTCGAAACATTGCCTTTAGGAATTCGCATTGGGAGTCATGTTAGTGGGCGCCATGAATAAGCATCTGGAATACCAATGGACAAGAGATCCAAGGCATGACAACTGTCCTATATCAGCTATTCATTCCACCCTGAATCGTCATTTTGGCCAATATAGGAGGCGCAGAATCTGAATTGAAACCAGACAAAACAAACTAGAGCCGTATCTCCCAACCTTACAGAATTCTAGCAAAGATAACATAAAATCAACATTCAACTACATGATATATATTTATACCCCGGTTTAAATGTAGAAAACTCACTGCGGACACTGATGGCGACCACCGAGCCCATCATTCGTCGCCGATGGGAGGCGAATGTCATACAGCCTGGGAGAATGCCTGGGAGAATGCCAAACACGGCAGAGAGCTTTTCAAGCTCGGGGTGAGGCCAGGGAAGGCGGACTCCTGCAGAACAAGTCACTCCCGCAGGAGCCGGTTTTCGGTGTAGTCAGTCGTCTTAATTGACTGGTGGACGTGGCAAAGTCACCGGTTCAACTTCAACCAGCGATGGTATTTGAACACACTCTACAGGCTGAATCGGAGGCTGTAGGGCGTGCGAAGCCTCTTCGCCTGTTCGATACGTGCGTGTTCTAGATCGGAGACTCCCGCAGTGGACTCCTGAAAGACGACTAACTCGCAGGAGTGCTTCCAGTTCTCGGCTTAGTCAGTGGTTTTACTGATCCTGCGGGACTAGGGACTCTTACAGGACTAGAGACTCCTGCAGGACTAAAGGACTAGAGACGTCCTTAGTCTCCGCGGTATTCTCTAGTCCTGCGGGGGTCTCTAGTCCTGCGGGAGTCTCCAGTCTTGCGGTATTCTCTAGTCCTGCGGGAGTCCTTGGTCCTGCGGGGGTCTCCAGTCCTGCGGGAGTCTCTAGTCCTACAGGAGTCCTTGGTCCTGCGGGGGTACTGACTTTAAGCCGAGAATTGGAAGCATTCCTGCAAGAGTTAGTCGCCTTGCAGGAGTCCGCAGTCCTGCGGGAGTCTCCCCCTGCGGTATTACTGGTCATCACTTGTGAGGTGTCTCTATAGCTGAGAGAACCCCATATATCATCTTCGGTGTAGCACAATAAGTGGGAGAATAATAATTATAGTATATAATTAAAGAAGTGGCCAGAATCATTTGCTACAGTACCCCACCGGACTCCACAACGAAAAATGCTGGAAAACGATGGACTATCTAAGAAAGTCGCCTCAAGGAGATACTCGTAAAGCTTCTGTGTCATTGCGCATCCTGGTCCTAGGTCCACACTCATGGCTTCAAACAAGCTCGTAAACTTCCAGTTTGCCCCCAAGGTTGAAATTCAGTTTCAAATAACTCCACTCCCTTATTCACGCGAGACCTAACCAGATTGCGGACTTCATGCCGCACTAGATCCTGTGCAGAAACTTTGACTTCATGTTAGGCACTCCTTTATACTTGAACCTGATTAAGGTTGAAATCGAACCTGACACCAAGAGTTTTCCTCTTTGATTCACTAGCTCGCGGTCTAATTGCTCCTTCCAGTTCGCGCGGCCACTATGCACATTGATGAGGCCGTTATGCCCGATATGCTCGACTTCGGTTTCTGACCTGGTGTGCAAAGCGTCATAAACAGAGACTCGAAGCATCTGCGGCAACATTAGTAAATGACTTTCTTGAAAGAATGAAGCGAGAACTGACGTATCCCTTATCTCGCTCCACCAGGATTTGTAGTAAGTCTCGCGCGCTCTCCCAGTCCCCTATCTTATCTAACTCCCAGACCAGTGATATCCTTTGGGTTGATACTTGTGCCTTATCATAACCGTCCAAAAGCTCCTTAATATAAGACAACTGAGCTGCTATGCCAATTCCAGTGGTGACCATAAATATATGTCCGTAGTCACCAACTTTGCCAGCTAACTTGCAATTGACGGAAGATGGGCCGAAAGGACCATCGATCCAAGCAGAACATTCTGTGTTCGGCTCAACGCGATCGAGAATCCTTCTTGTGAAACCGGAACGCGGACGAAGTAATATTGAGACGGAAACCGCCTGCCCTTGTATGTCGTTTTCCCACCAGCTAATTGCGAATGGATGTGTTTGAAAAAGGTAAAAGATTCCCACGTGGGGAATACCTAAGTTAATGCGCTGGCCAGCATGCACGGCCCATGGCCTTGGCAAGGACAACGTTATTAATGCAACATCGCCAATGTGAGGCTCTAAATTCAACCGAACATGGCTCCTTCTGAAAGCCACATTCCGATAGATGATGCGGCTAAGCTGTAAGGCTCCTGTTATGGTGAATGTGCATGTATATGCTATGGGGAATATCCAAATGCCCCCTTGAATCGAGTGGGTGTGTTGCCAAAGTGAGTAAACCATTGCCACCGCACATCCCATGTGGGTGATGAGGAATACTTCGTAGACCCTTTTTTTGACAAAAGGCAGAACAGCCAAAGCCAAGAACATACATGAGGCCCGTACTAGATTTCAGCATTGGCACTCGCTTCGTTAAGACTAATGAACTTACAAGAAGTCCATAGAACTGGAGCTCATCTGCCCAAGAGACCAGCTTTGTCCGAGCAACTACTATGATATGAATAACTGCCTCAATTAGCGCCACTAACGCAAATGAGCGATGAAGGAACCCATAGGAACGAAGGGAAATCCCGAGAAGCCGAGCCCCGAACTCGTAACCACCACCCAGAAACATCGGAATCAGGTTGATGAGTGACAGCTTCGCAGCCCTCGTTCCCGACTCTTCAACCGAGTGGACCTGAACGACATTGCAGATCCCAGTGCAGGCGAAATAAAGCATCATGAATATTAATTGGGTCCTTGAGGTAGATCTGGACCCCAGGAAGGGCCAATTAAACCGTGCATAGATTATATGGCGAAATAAGAATGGTCGAATGCGTGAAGATATCAATGGCGAAGTTGATAGGAATGAATAAGTGCGAATAGTAAGATTATACATCACAAATGCGAGAATGGTAAGACTGAGGACTGTGCCGTAGATTGCCTCCGGCGTAGTTGGAAATTGGGTGATAGTAGGAAATTTCATTTTTTTGATGAAAACAGAGACTCATCCATGTAACCGGCAGTTATCAGCATTATATGTATTTATACATTCTAGTTACATTTCCTATTCCCCTCCTGGCAGTCCTTGAGCGACGGTAAAAACATTCTAATCTTAAACTATGAAAGTATGGCCCGAGTGCATAGCCTAGCTGTCTAAGGCTAATGTTGAGGTTTTGTGACGAGTGTCTGTGTGGTTGAACGGCGAAAAGAACCCCCCAACATTACGTGGAGACCATGTTCCAGCTTTAGCAAAGGTCGGAAATACTCAAGCGGAACTCTTGCTTCGGTTCCCTGAGATCCATTTATGACCGCGACGGTATTTTCATGTCCGCAACGGTGAGTTCATGTGCGCAACAATATTTTTGTGCCTGCGACAGTGTTTTCGTGCCTGCGACAGTGCTTTCCTGTCTGCAGCCTACCTTAATATCGAGGACCCACTCAGTGGGGCTAGCTCTCACTTTTTCCACGGTCCAGTGGTCAGTTGGCCCACTGTGATGGGGGAGATCCCCACCACAGTTCCATGAGTCACGTGCCAAATCGAAAGGGAGTGAATCACTGGATTCCCCCTCGGCTGACGCCCATAAAGAGATTAAAGCCGTCAAATTATCATGTCTATTTTAGCCACAATACCATCCCATCGTGTCAAAGATGAATCAGCTTGAGGATTTAAACAGTGCGTTCTCGGCGGAAGATGATGACTGCCCTATCCCAGCCAGGTGTGTTTTCCTTCGCCTTTTCCGTCAGTCTCTCAACACTAAAATACTATCTAGACGTGGCTTTCTCCATGTCGGGCATCCCTCCCAAAAGTATGCTCTGAATTGGAAGATTGACCAAGCGGGTTCGGGATGGCTAAGCCTTGGCAACTATTTTGGGTTCTCAACTGTCTTGATCAAGAAAAGAAAAACCAGTGAATCACAGATTAGCCCCACCAAACTACAAGTTGCATTCCACGAAAATTTAGTGGGGCTGATAGAGGCTTTCTACGATAGCACTGCTATCTATTTAGCTTACAACTACTATGGGGTTGCAGTCAATCTTTCGCAAGTCAGCTTAACCCCCGCTGTACGGTTAAGCGAGGCCGATCTCTCGAGCATCTGTAGGAGTGTTCTCAGAGGTCTCGAGTATATCCATGAACAGCTTCAGATAGGCCATGGGAATATCAATGGTGATAATATTTTATTATGTTCCGATGGGGCCGTTAAAATAGGTAAGCAGTGGCCGGTATCGTTACAGACGACAAACTAAGATTGCTAGCAAACATTGGAGACAGCATGATTGATGACGGTCACAAATCGATGGATCTAGACCGTGAAAAGGTTGGGTTACTATTGATCCAACTCAATGATCCACGGGGATCTGAGAAACAAGGCAGGGCCAAACAATCTGGTCATAAGCTGTCTAAGTACGCGATCCACTTTATAGAGCATGTTAGCTCAGCATCCTATTCCTACTTATTCGAGGTACGGATCCCGTGAAATATTCTTCAGGCCAACAATGCTCATGGTATACAGCATGCGTTCTTGCAGCAAGTAGACCCAGAGAGTCGGACTTGGTATTTGATCCCTCATTATCTAGATACAATTATGTACTTGCGCGTCTTTTCATAGAAAGAGGAGAAGATTATCTGGTTTGGAGACTTTTCAATTTTGTACTTTCAAAGTCAACCGTATTTTTCGAGCTTTATGCTGCCTATCTAGCTATATCCGGCGGGGCTTTTGCCCCTACTCCATACCTTGCTCAATTCCGAATACTTTCTAAGAATAACGAAGCGGGGAATATTAGACATTGCGATGGTGATCAGGGCCAGGAAACATCCGATTATGATCCCGTTTCAGTCTCACCAGTTTCCGCCGTTGTATATAAAGTCCAAGTAGAGAGCAGACCACAGACAGACCAGATGCAATCACAGTCAAAACAGCCATGATAGACCAACCGCCGCCGTGCGCTGTATAAAGACTTACAAAAGTAGTAAGAAGACCGGCGAATGCATTCAAGAGCGTGGGACTGACGGAATTAGTAGACATTCCCTTCGAAGTGGAGCTCTATACCAACATCAGAATGCGATTATTAATCCAAATATAATTTCCACGATATTTCCAAAATAGCCCTACCATCACCGCCAAGCCTGTGAAAAAGAACAAACATGCCAGCGCAAGAAGAGGAGGATTTTGGATAGTATTTAGGATCAACTCTCCCGCTTCATTGTCTGCGAGCCCATTGCGGATTGTGTCGGACTTTTGGAGAGAAGTAAAAGTACCAGGCACCACTAGATAACCCGCAAGAAGAATCCAATTAGCTGCACTAGCCAGGATATTGTACTTCCAGGGGATTTCGTCCGCTTCCACAATCATCCGAACGTATGGAGACTCGTGGGACTCATAAGATGACCCGAGATCTTGAGTATCCGGAACTTGAGTTGCCATTTTTCGATTGGTGACTAGAGTGAGTTATCGCAGAAAGAGCGGGCTTTTATTTTCTAGATTGCCTGCCGCACCTGAAACGGCTCGCAACCCAACTTGTAAGTCAAAAACCTAAAATCGGCTTAGTCATTCTACCTGTTTCCTCTAACTACCTTACAGACAGACAACTGATGTTTTCTGTTATCACGAAAGAGCGCAGGTTATCTATTATGATCCAGTTCACGATGTATATTCTCCAAAGCTTCGTCATCGGCGACAAGCCCGGCAGGATCCAGATCCCGGTAGACATCCTCTAACGACTGAAAATGCTCTAACCGGCTAGCGAAATACCGAGTAAGCCGATTTAGATCGCTCTCATGGTTCTTCTGCTCTCTTTCCATTTTGCTGGAGTCAAGACTGACCTCCATTTTGCGGAAATCAAGGCGTTCTAGACTGGGATAGTGCTTTTCCTGCAAGTCTCTTAGTTTGAGGGTGGGTCTACTAGGCCTCGTCCGACTCACCAGGACCTCGTCGCAAGGAGGCCATGATTTACCATCGGTAGATTTATAAACATATGTTCCTCGTTGAGGATGATCGATAAGGAGGTAGACATTAGCACCGCAGAGCTTTGCAAGCTCATGAGCTTTGGTTTTTAATGTCTGAGAACGGCTTTTAAATTTTATTCGGGGGTTCCTGTTAGGATCAGGACCGCCCATAGCTTCGACTATCACCTAACAAGAGATTTCGGAACAAGAAAGAGGCAACGGATTTCACATCGACGGCAAGAATGAGAGATTTATATCCTACGGCTTTTGAGTTTGCTCTGTACAGATTCGACATGTATTACACTAGTGCGCGTTTCCTAGGGCCAATATCTCCCGAGCCTCTTGATTCGCGCCTGCGTCTTGTACCCTTGATGGGGCTTGGGACAATGTCACAGCTAGGGCATGGCTTTCGACAGGGGTAGCCATGATCATCTTGACCAAATGGAGATTGCAGGCCTTGTCGTGAAACGAATGACGCCACGCTTTCTGGGAAGCCGCCAAGTCGCCACCGCTTTTGAGAGTAGCTCTGCAAGTAGATATTCACTGTGTAGTCCAAGTGGCGGGTCAAGAACGAGATAGGGCTGTTATAGCAGCCACATGAAGGGCAGATACTATCTAGCCCTGCAAACCTGTCGATCAATCCACCATCTGAGACATAACTAAGCCCATCTGGGTAGAGATGCTCCAAAGCTAATACAACCTTTCGGGCTGGCCCTTTACAGCGCACTGACCCATGACACCAGAATGGGGTCGCAGTATTCTCTGGCAATGAGCCAACGACAAAGAAGAAGTTAGAGATCAACATTGTGGTTGCCGCCTCCCGGGCCATTCGCCCGCTGCCAATCTGGAGGATGACAAGATTGCGATAGTCCTCTATCGCGTCGATTGCATCAATTGCATGAGGTGTATCTCCGAGAGACACATCCAAGCGGTGGCTGTCTCCCTTGACTGAATCACTCAAATGATCTCTCCATTTCTTCCAATCGTTATCTGTATTCATAGTAGACATCCACGCATCGAACCCCCGGCGTATGAAGCTGTCCCGAAAGACGTGGTGGAAATGCGGAGTCTGGCCATTCGATTGGGGCTTTCCAGTGCCCAAAGACAACATTCGCGTGGATCCTATGGCTGTGGGCCAGATCTGGTGGGAAACCTGATCTGCAATCGCCCCCGCGAAGTTGTACTTTAGTCCACCGTCCTGAAAGGAGCCAACTCCCAAGTCCGCAGGGGTGAAAAAACTTTACAATCAAATTGATTAGCCCCACTACCGCGAGTCATGCATGAACTTAACCTACAAAGGGGCGGCAGCTGTGGCCCTGGCACTAGATATTATAAGTTAGCGCTAACATGCACCAGGCCGCTTGCGGGAATCAAGCCTACGCACGCTCGCCACACTTTCGGTTCGTCCTGTATATCATCCGGACGTATTATTCGGTAATCTATTCGTATTAGTAGGAGAACGGAACAAAGGGGAACCGTTGGACTTGCCGCGTCCTTCCGTAGAGTCATGCGACGCGTTGAAGTTTCCTATCACAAAAGCACTTGTATCTCTCGAAATGCTCGTGGTTACTACCCCAACTTTGGGGCCAGAGTGGCTTGCCCCGGGGGGGTCTTCCCGTGATGGACAAAAAATACGACGATCCTCTCCAAAAGCCCCTTTCAGGGCAGCATCGAAGACCCGTGAATCGTAACAGCTGTCATGTAGGAGCCATTGGACCCATCTAGCCATTTCTCCGAGGACTGATTTGACACCAGGTATGTGACCAAGCAGCAGAGATAACAAAGAAGGGCGTCTTTCGCGAAAAATCCGACGTGCCAAGGTCTCGAATCGCTCCGAGCAATCAGCCACATCCCAGGACATCGTGAATAACCCCAGGGCAATGTGACCCCCTGTGAAATCTTTGGTCAGGATTTTGGAATTGAAAATGGCATTGGTGCATTATGAGGTGCCTAACTGACCTGAGCTTGTGCCAACCGCAAGAGCTACTACGTCTTGGATCGAGCACGGGTGCAGGTGTTCCTGCACTAGTAGTAGGAACTCCAATGGTATAACCCCGCGAACACCCCCTCCGTCGATGGCAAGAATAGTGGGGCTCATAGTTGGCGGAAGAACATCGACAACCAACGGTCTCTGGTAGAGACAATAAAGACAACCTTTGATGATGAATCGGTACTCTCTCCCGGAGACAGGGACCCCGAACACCTGAGCACAACGGTCGCATACTGTATGTTCACACGCTAGCACGTGTTGTGCAGAATGGAGAAGACAAAATAGACAAATTCGATTACTTCGGATGCGACATACTCGACCGCTGAGTGATTTGAGTTGTTCTTCCCGCAACTCTGCCGCGGAGATTTGCCTCTGCGAGGATCGGTTGGATAGGCGGGAAAAATAAAGTTCAACTAAAGCAGTTTCTTTCACAGGGCACATATCGGGCCACATTGCTTTGGAGCTGTGATAGGCTCCAATAACCGCAGGCCGATACAGAACTCTAAATACCTCACGGGGATTCGTCGCTGTTGAATGTCAGCGTCCGCCTGTTGCATCGCAAGGCAGGACCCACCAAGTATATTGGGTACATAGTGGTCCATGAAAAGGGCCGACGCGATCGTATTGGCCAATCCGGGTAGGGGGAAATCGGCACGTTGACCGATTTCAAGATAATGCGTCAGATGCGGCTCTATGCACAAACTCACGGGGCGATCCTTCCTTGTGGCTGTCACGAAATCAAAAGGATTAGCAACATCCTTCAGTGTGTGTTGGATCGCCAATAGAAATAATGCGGTTAAGTGCCTCCCATTGGGTCGAGCCTGGAATTCTTGTCGAACGGAGGAGATATCGTCGACTTGTTCCGTAATCGACGCTTTGAGTCGTTGAAATTGCACGGTGTCAGATAAATGACTGTCCTGCAGGTATATAGTCATAGAACTCGAGAACAATCCGGACAGATCATCATATCCACTTTCGTGGATCCTGCGGGAGATCGGCCCTATATCTAGCTTATCAACCTCTCCCTTCTCCACTGTTGATCCGTATATGAAAATGACTCTTGGTAAGTGTTGCGGGGGGAAAGTGGACGCAGAACGAAGTTCTAAACAGCCGACTAAAAAGTGTGCTGCCCTCTCCAGGCTGGAGATATCGTCGATAAAGATGCAAACCACATCGGTAAAGAGAAATATCAATCGTGACCACAGAACTAGCAATATCTTGCCCCCTGAATGATTATCCCAAGAGATGGGATGGCCTACGCCAGCCTCTAGTCTCTTGGCAGGATAAAAGTCATCCGTATGCAGGATGTCGCCATCAGCCAACAAGACTGGCCGCCGGCTCTCCAGAGAAGCGATATCGTACCGCAGTTTGATTAGGGCCTCAGATTTATGTCTTTTTATGTTGTTCAAGGGGTAGAGCTGTTGAAGAGCATGTCTCTTGATTTCTCCACCAAGAAACACGCATAAGGATGGATATTGGTTATCTTGGTCAGAGAGCTGGGAAACCACACGTTGCAGTCGACCGTAGTCCTGCACCGCAAGCCTGGAATCTTCTCCAACCCCGACATCAAGCCAGCCAACATCTATTGAATTTTGCATGATGAAGATAATACGAAGTCACTTGCATATTGCTTTATGTATAGAGATCATAGGGGAGAATATTTAAATATTATTGCCACCTTTCATCTTGGCAGCTCGTTTTAGAACTAGGGTGAGATCTATTCCCGCCCCTTCCGCCCGCCCAACCCAACGTTCGCTGTAAACAAGGTATCCGTCGAAGCACAGAGTTCTCACCCTGCTCTCACCCTGTCCTCACCCTGGGGTGCTGTACTTTGTCAAGATCCACACCGGCCAAAAAAGGAAAGGATCGCAAGTCCAGGCCTTGTAAATGGACTAGGATACCTCTGTGGAGTCTTTTTCTTTGTTTAAGTAGATAACGAATCAACGTTCCTAATTTTCCAACAACCGCAGACCATATTGTAGTTGTTGGAAATCGGGCGCCTGGAGGCTAGAGAATAATTAAAAGAACAGGCGCTGACACCTGGTGTTCTTCCTTATTCCTCCTCATTGCCCAAGCCATGGCTAACTTCGAGAACTATCCCGCCTACCAGCCGCACATGGCGTTCAATATGCTAGATGACCACTGGGAGCTTCATGACCCCTTTATCTATCTTACCTCCAATCAGAATGCTTTCACAGAGGCAGACTGTGCCGGACAAACCGGTTTGATTGGTTCTGCTCTGTGGCAAGGCATCGACATTGGGAATGGCGATTTTGAGCCAGGGGTATGTCATGAGCCCTACAGAGATTCTTTAACGACAGAGGTCTACGGCGATGCGTGCGACTCTACACTGGAGAAGCTCAGGTAACTCCTTTCTTAGAAAATGTCTAGGCCACAGCTAAGAAGCTAGTAGCCAACCTGACGGACCTACATCACCCTCGACTTCAACCCGGACCCACACTGCCGAGGGGACTGAGACTGTTTCAGAAGAGCTAGTACTCTCGATGAAGCGGTTCACTACCACCATTAACGAGTGTGGCGTACTTATGCAAACGCTAGGCAACAGCATCGAAGACCTGAACAGCCGCCTCGACGGTATGGAAGGTCGTCTTGACAGTATAGAGCATCGCCTTGAGGTTGTGGATCAGGGAATGGACAGCTTAAACTCCAGGTTCAAGACTATCAATGGGTACCTACTCGAAGTCATAAAGCGCGAGCAAATGGCAATGAGAGAACTCGGTGACTTAGCAAGTCGCTATCATGAGAAGGACATGGATCCGTGATTTCTGGCTCATTACAAAGTTGATTTCATACGTTGGAATACATTGCAGCAATTGAAAAACACTTAGTATAATAGCACAGCCATAATATCAAGAGGAACTAAATCACAAAAGTCTTCTCCCTGTCTACTCCTGTTTACCCAACCAGCCTTTCCATCCGTGACTAACCCGTAGCTCATTTGAAATTCAAATGCGGTCTCCAATCTCATACCTTGAGCTAGACTCCCAAAGCATTAAGTAATCCTGCTCGGACTCATTCAGACGTGTAGTTGCCCGAACAAGGGCGTCTTCCAGAGAACTGAAAACACCAAAGATGTCCTCTTGGAGCTGTAGGAGTATCTGCTTTGTTTCTTTATGCCATTGCAGCTCTGCTTTGAGATAGCTCATCTCATACGCATATTCTTCCCACTGGGTCTTGGAATCTGGCGATGTTCGCTTTGCACGCTGCAATCGGGACGGGAGCCTCTCAAGGTTGGAAGATGTACCCCCATAGGATAAAATTCGATGGTCTGCAGGAGTAATTTCCTCGGATATAGGCTTGAGGCGTTGGCCAGACATTCGGTTCATTATGGGGATGTATTATGAATTATGCGGTTACGGTAGGAGATGCAGAACCACTTCAGAGAGAAATTAAAGGATGCCTTAAGCGGGGCACGTTCCTATCCCTAAAAGTAGATGTTTATTATTATAGATACCTTTCTTCACCCTATGACGTCAGCCAGGGTGACAAGCAACGGGTGTGGAAAAGGATCAAGAGAAAGCAGCATAATTCTTTGGATCCAGACCTGGCGCCACCGACAGCAGAAAAAAATACGTCTCGAGGTATCTTCGAACGCCGGCATTACAGAAGTTGACGAGGCGATCACCAACCCCGCAGCTATGCCCTGTTAGGGATGTTTTGGCCAATAATACACGAGAGTGGGTGTTGGGATCTACAAGGAAACTTCTCAGGAGAAGAACTGGCAACTTGACGTGTCCGCAAAAAACCATGAGATACGGAAATGGCCTACAACATCAAAACGGCCTGCGACATCGAAACTGGCCTGCGACATCGAAACTGGCCTGCGACATCGAAACTGGCCTGCGACATTGAAACTGGCCTGCGACATCGAAACCGGTCTGCGACATCGAAATCGTATCGATCAACAGAGGACGTATTTATTTATTTTCCTCTAACGGTGGTCGAATGCTCATCCTCCTCTACAGAGCCATGGTCATTAAAGAAGTAACACTGCAGCTACCTGGTTGCACATTGTTATTTACAGCATCTGGCTTTTTAGAAGATGTCTTTCCTAACCCAGCTACAAGGTTTCGAACCAGCGCCGCCATCCGGGAGTGCCAACCATCAGGTGAGGCCCACAATTAATCCCTCGGATATGATTAATGCTAAGTCATAACACAGGATGATACCAACACCCCAATATATGAGCAGAATACCTTCTTCTTGATTGAGAAGTTATTGCGCCAAGAGCAACTATCAAAATATTACCAAGGACAATTAGAGTCTAAGCTTTACAACGATTCTGCAGAATACCAAAAGCTACGAGCCCATTGCCTACAACTGGAGAGAGTGGTTTCTGGGGTGCAGCAACAAAAATCGCACCTTGAAGCTTCGTTGGCCCATACGGCAGAAGCCTGTCGGGTCATGGCCAGGGACCTTGGCTTAGAGAGAACCAAAGTGCAAGAGCTGGAGACTCGTCTCAATGAGTTGTATCCAGCGATTGATTCATTGCTTCAGATATTAACACCGGAAGAGAATAAGGCCGGTCTCCAAGATAAAGCAGCAAATGGGCATCTTCTGCTGGAAAATCAACAACAACAAGAGTTGATTGCGTACCTTCAGTCTACACTCCACGATCGTGAGCAAGCCGTGAAAGAACTAAGGATATCATTAGACCAAGCCATCCAGGAGCTACGTGCAGGAGATCCCAGTCAATTTGAGCTAGGTAATTACACCGTCGATGGCGAATCAAACGGCGAATCTTCGGAAGGATCGTGTGTTGAGATCATCACAGAGAAGCCTTCTTCTAGTGCGGAAGTGTGATCTGGTATTTTCTTTGTTATACATGACAGTATCTTCCAATTGAATATCGTCGGGTTTTAACGGGCTTTACCTTTGGTCCTGTGGCGTAATTTAGTGTTCACGATGACGATAAGCGGAGGTAAGAGCGCTCGTCGTTCAGAGGCCAATAGAATAGCTTCCGTGACCTCTGGCCAGGGGTAAGACCCTGCAGCGCGCGCTTACTTTGATTCCGGCATCCCCGGAACTTTAAATCCACAGCGAACACATTTATCCTGGGTTTAACCTAATCAGACTAACTTCCGTGTGTCCTAGACACGACCGATCAAGAAGGGAATTATTTGCCCACTTTATTGATTCGCCTGTCTGTCCCCACCAACAGATCACGCTAACCCGAGCACAGTTAAACCTATGTAAAGGGAAATCTACACGAGGAGCACGGTACTCTGTATGGCGAACCAAACCATGCTTTAATAATCCAGATATAGCCAATACCTGAACCCCTGTAGGCGCCGTTGGTGAACTGGATTCTAGTCCGGGTCTATAGCCAGAACGATCCATTCACATGTTGCGAATGGTTCCACGCCGAAACGAGGCCAGGAAAGCACGGTGGTTGTACTGCTGTCCAGGCCGATGGAGGCGGACAATGTGATTGGGCGGTTACTATCAAGGATGGAGTGGGCCTTACTAGGGTAAAAAAGCTACTCTTTGCGACACTAAAACAAGTGTTGCGGACCCTGCGATTTGTCATTTTGGGGTAGTGCAGTCGTGACGGTGAGATTAGTTCGCTGCGACATAGTTTCATGTCTTAGCTTTTCTTTCGAGACTTAGACCTCTCTCAAAGCTCCTCCGAAGAGCTGCAACACTATTGTTGTTTATGGGAACACTAATAAGTCAATCTTCGAAAGAATAAGAAAACTTAGCCACGTGATCTGCTTTGACTTATACTTAGGGGCTTTACACCGATAACGAAAACACGCAAGATTTATTTTTTACAATATTCCATGTTCCGAATGCATTTTGTTCATTTCCTTCCTTTGTGTAGTTTTCCTGCACTGATTATCGCGCAAACAGTCAGCCTCCTGCTGCCTGGGTTTGAGGGGCGTCAGCTTGAAGCGAGCATTCTAGAACAAGTATCTATATCCATCCTGCCACGATTTGCCTTAAGCTAACAAGAGAAAGATCGGAAATGTCACAACGTTCCTTGTTACCTGTCCGAAAACTGTGCGTGCCTCCGACTGTGGTACAGTAGCGACCAGTATCGCCTTCCATGCCGGAAACGTGAGAGTACTTCTTTCAAACCCTAATCACATGATACAGCAACCCCGATATGGTTACTTCCGTACTTACTTATGTGTCACAACCGCGTACGGTAACGAACTTAACGCGTGAAGTGCTGAATAAGATGTATTATCGCGTATTGTTACGGCTCCTAAAACAAACCCTTTTTTTGCTCTTAAAGCTGATTTGATCTGAGATACGTCATGACATGATCCTCTGGAATGTCTATTTGCCTGTCACTTCTCTACATGTTTCGTCAGACATCAGAACTCCTCTTCTTCCTACAGTTGTCGCTGCTTACAGCTGCTACTTTTTACTCATTTCTGACTGATTCATTCTCTCAAAATGTATGTGCCGGTCAACGGATTCCCCAGTTTCTAGATCTAGGTTTTATGCGCTGACGTATCAGCTAGCACGTGTCCGGAATTTGATATGAAGCTCACCAAAGGAAACAGACGACTCCCCTCCTGGCTCGATCATTTCAATGCTCGCGATCTAAAGATGTTGTTTCGCTGTTGGGCCGCCGCATGGGTGGCTGCCCTGTTCATGTTCATCGTCCCTACGCTACACACGATTAGAACAGAAACGTTTTTCGCCTGTATTGTACTCTTCATTCTGCCTCCCTCCGGTATTCTGCTTATCTTCATTCTTGGAGAATTAACTACTCTTATTGGCATGAGTCTTGCCTGGGCATAGGGGTCATTATCATGAAGGCAGCTCTAGCAGCTCGTTCAGCATCAGAGACGCAGGCTCAATTGACCGCACTGCAACAGCAGGCGTCTATTCAGGCTAATGCCTCTAGCCAGAGTATTGCTAGCGAAACGGACGTGCTCATATTGAATAGGTTTATGCTAGATGCTGCAGTGACTGCGGTCTTTTTCGTCCTGATTTGTCTCTTTCTCTATTTCATGGTAGGCAAAATATGGTCCCGGATTCGTCCTATCGAATCTTTGCTGTTCTTGACGTCAACTGAATGCGTGGCTCAATAGGCACGACTGCGAGCAAGCAATCCGAAATTTGTTCTGTTGCAGATCTACGCAACCATTATCTTAGATCTTTTTCTTACCCTTGGCCTATCTCGACCCTCTTTCTACGGAACTCTCCCTATCTCCCTGATCAAACCTGCAGCCATTAGTGTTGGGCTTGGTTTTGCTGTATCCATAGTGTTCTTCCCACAATCCACCTCTTATACCTTCTTGGCCGCCTTTGCAGGGTTACTTGAACTTGCAAAGCAGCCACTAAAATTTACTATATCCAGCCTAGAGAAAGATTCGAAAGAGCTGGATCTACAGGCTCTTCAAAAAGTGAAAGCTGAAATGGTCGCAGCATACAAATCAATGGAACTGGCAATTGCTTTTCTACCGCTGGACTGCTCAATAGGTCGCTGGAACGCCGATGATATCAAAAGTTTGAGAGATCCGATACGCCAAAGCATAATATCGAGCTTGTCACTACTTGAATACCATTCCGCACGGCTCGTCGGACAAAAGAGGCTGAAAGGCTTCCCAGTCAGTTCTGATGCAGAAGGCACATTAGGCTATACAAAGGAGCAGCTGCCCCGCGAGATCGGTCGCTTTCAGCTGATGCAAAGTGCACAATTCGTCCAAGCACTTCGGAGTCCTGAGAGTGAAGCCCTTCGCTCGGAGGCCGTTAAGGTACTGCGACAATCCATAACAGATATTCTCCCTGCCTGCCTAGATACAATTACGGCCGTCTCCGAGTGTATACATACACAAATCTCTAGGGGATGGCTTATTCGCTCCTTAAATGACAAATATGACCGAGTTCTATATCGATGTCAGACATCGCTTGAGGTACTTAAATCGAATCGTTCCGCATTCATGATTGAGACTACAGAGCGATTGCTCTAATTCCACGCAGACTTGTTTAACGAGACCGGTCATTTACAGTCCTTCAGCAACCTTGCCATCCATCCCTTTCGAGGCGTTATGTTTAGGATAGTATTCGAGACATAGATACTGCTAGTGACCGATACTTTAGAGAAGCTTTTGGAACGAATTATCCAGCTATGCCAGGGACGGACGAAACATAAGGTTTGGTTCCCAGGCGGAATCAGATATGCAGCTGCGTAGGCTTTCAACGGAAATATTGCAGCTCCGATTTCTAACCAATCGACTATCGTAGATCCCGACATTGATGAGAAACAATCGAATGAAGCCCATAGACGGCTTCGAATCAGTCGTGGATCTGGAGTCGAACGTCGGAGTAGACTGGCTAGATCTATCATTACCACACATAAGTGGTTATTTAACCCGGATGGTTTATATGCTTTAAGAATGGTCGTCCTTACAGTTGCCCTAGCGTTACCTGCAGTTATACCATCCAGCGCAGGTTTCTATTATCGCGAGAAGGGTATCTAGGGCCTCATAATAGGTCAAACATCTTTGTTAGTCTACATAGCGGACTTTACCTTCTCCATGATCAGTAGAACCATTGGGACGGTGGTTGGAGGAGTGCTCGGGCTCCTAGTATAGTATATCGGTTCTACTAATAGGCCAGGCAATCCATATAGACTAGCTGCCATTTCGGCTGCTGTTCTAGCTATTCTTATGTGGGGACGTTTGTTCTTTAATCCGGGTCTTTTGCAAGCCACTATAATGAGCGCAGCAACGTGTATTCTCGTTATCGGATATAGCTTTGACGACACGTAAGTAGTAGAAACTTTTCATTGTAGCTTCTAGCTACGCACTGACACCGCATTACCAGGCATATTGCACAATATGGTAACCCGGGAGTTAGCTATAACGTCTTCTGGCACCGCCTTGTCCTCGTACTGATCGGCTTCGCAGCTGCTCTCGTCGTCTAAGTATTCCCTCAGCCACCATCTGCATCACGCTATATCTGCAAGTCCCTATCGAATGCTCTTGAGACCCTTTCTGATCACTACGTGCTCGTGCTTTCATGCTGGAACCAATCGGACACCAATGTCGGGTTAATTGCAAGAAAAGTCTCCATCGAAGTCGACGAACTGCTCGCCTCTCTTGACGGCTCCATTGCTATCGTAAACCTTGAATTCTCCAGCTCACCATTCGACAACCAGAGCCTGGCCCAGGTAAAATCAATATGTCAAGAGATAAATTAGGCCCTCGGGCGATTACTTTTTCTCTCCGTTTCGTTACCCGTTGAGCTTCAAGACCGATTCGCACGTCTTGCCGGCATTCTTGACTATCGCAACATAGGAGATATCATGGCTGTACTAAGCATAGTTAAGCAAGCGCTCAAAACCGGTAATGCTCTGCCCGAGGTGCTTCCGACTCCGTTATTGAAACAGTGCCATGAGTATTAGCAGAATAGTAGTCTGGAGATAATATCCAGCAGAGATCTGATTCGAGATGAGAATTATCGGAAGTTCTGCGTGGCAGTGAGCTCTTATTTGAAGTTCCTCTCTGCAGTTGATGAGCTTGTGCTTGTTGTGAAGGGTACTTTGGGAGAGTCCCATATTATAAGCAAGGAGTTGCCAGAGGGTGTTTAACGTTCGAACTGTGCATAGAGAATGGGAGTGGTGTACTGATTACAATGCAAGCAGAGGATAGGATCCAAGTAGCGGTTCGTTACGCTTCTAGGGTAGTAATAAGCGGTATAGGATTAGCTAGGAAATTTACTAACGAGCCTTAGCTATCAACTTAGCCTGAGATGTACACCCACAGAAGTGCTAGGCTCTCTGCAGTGGAGCGACCGAGAGATGGAGAAGGGAATTAGTGACAGATTGCGAAACGGTCGCGTAGTTTGCTGATAGAACCTCCTGGGCCGTTCTCTGGTTCCAGACTCTTGCATCTTTCATACGGGTACCATTTACTGTAATATCAGGTATCATTACTATGTACATACAAAACCGGTAATTTACAATCGATTCATATTGGGCTTAGCTCATCATGTGATTAGGGTTTGAAAGACTCTCTCTGTGTTTCCGACATGGAAGGCAATAACGGTTACCACTGTATCCCAAGAGACGGCATGACAGCTATCGCGGCGCCGATGTCCGCAGAAATACTACAAAGGAACGAACATAATAGGTCCGCGGCTCCTATTTGTGTTGATTAATTGTGTCCTAACGGAGATAATGCAGGAAAGCCTGGGTGTCTTGTCATATTGATGGAAAAACTTACGCATCTTGTCACGCAACGATGACGATTGCCGCCCAGGCCACTTTAGCACCGAAAGATCTCAATTGGATGAAAATTCCAGTGGTTTCACCGGAGACTGAAATAATTTTCCCTCCCACGTCTCTACCAACTTCTCTTGCCAGCGATATTACAACAAAGCCAGGAGCGATATTAGAAGCTACCACAACCGCCGGGCTGCCGACGAATAGCGCCGGGGGCCTGGTGGCTAGGATTCCCTGGGCTTTATACAACATCACGGCTTCAATGGTAGCGGCTTCGATGGGATCTATTTTGATGCTGGCATTCATTGGTTGGAGAATGCAGCCGTTTCCGTTCTTTTAGCTCACGGGAATGCTCATGAACAGTGGAGGCCGGGTTATCTACTGACGGCGAGCGGCGTTCCCGTCGCGATGGGCCTTGTCTTATATGTCAATTTTTATCTCTAGTTTATCTTTCGGGCTAGAATTATAGGAATATCATATTGCCATCCCCATCTCGGCATTATTCTCACGTAAAATGTGGAAAACAGGGGTGCATTGCCAGAGCACGGTCGATCGATAAATGTATAAATATCGAGACTATGTAAATATCAAAACTATAATTACTGCTTTATGATAGACTGTTTGCTAGCATCCAATCAGTCCCTTGCTGGCGGGAGTACGGCATTACCAAAAAGGTGAAGAAAAATTTCCTCATTCTCTCTCACAGCCTCTTTGACTTGCTGATATTCCTGGTTTGGGATCCAAAAATGCCATTCCTGTCTAACCCATACAACCTTTCTTTTGGAAAATTGTTGGTCCCTTTTTTTCAGAATTACATCCAGCTGCTCCTTGGATGAGGCACATCCAATACTTTCCAAACAAGATTGACAAAGTGTATGAATGTTGATGCGTCGCTTCGCAGGAAGAAGGTAAGACCAAAGGATTACGAATGAAGATCCTGGGTCGTAGGGAATGAGTCTAATGGTCAGTCTGTGGCCTTCCGATTCCAGACATGAGACACAAGACCAGGAAATAAACCCTTTCATTCTATGTAATCATCAGTTTCTATGAATACAGGCATACTTAGGACTGACCACTGCTCACTTTTCTAGGGATGATAGGATAAGCTGAGATTTACCAAAAGCTCAAATCTGGTTTGCCGACAAATAGCGTCTGCCTGGGCAATTAATTTTAAACCTAACAGCCAGGCACTTGGGCGTCATTTATACTAATAAAAGAAATGCGATCCCAAATAGTGTCGCAGGTCTACCGGGAAGCTTAGACACACGGCCAAGTCCCGAAAGAGGGTGTGCAATCTAAAACCATGTCGCAGTGAGCTAATCTGGCGATGATCACTCCTGCGCTAGCTTCATAATCTATGCACACCAGTCTATACTGTATCAGCTTGGTCTGACATATGTCAATGAAGGGAGGCTGTCTGAATGACTGATATTGGAAGAGGGAAGTGGTGCAAAACAGGAAAGGCGTTTTAAGTGTTGAATTTTGAATGAGCAGATTAGCATAAGGTTGTTTTGTGGGTATACGCGTAAAAAATACGGTAAGGAACTTTCCTAACTAGACTAAAATACCAATCTGTACCTCGAAAGCTCGCAGGGGTTGAGAAAATAGGTGCAGCTAGATAACGTGTGCTGGCCCATTGACTGCGACAGTGTTTCAGTGTCCAAAAGTGAATCATGGGCTTAAGCAAGCAATTTTTATACCCCAAGAGGCACGATTTCTCCTTCGGAGGCAGAAACTGCTTTTACCAAATGGCCAATTTCACAAATTTACCATTTGAGCTATTAAGGCTCATATCGATCAATCTTGACCACCCGTCACTAAAATCGTTTTCCCTAGTAAATCAAAAATGCAGAGCGGCGAGCATATCTGATATATTCCATACCATAAAACTCGCCTTTTCGAAATATGGGTTCAAAACGTTGGAGGAATTATCAGAATCGCCACTTGCGTCGAGCGTGAAAGCCCTTCATTATGAAGTACCAGAGCTAATTGATCCATGTATGTCACCCAATACGCCTAACTGCCCCTCGCTCACGTTAATAGTGATTCAGCATTTGGAGTATTTCACTGCGTGTATTTATACACCGGAAGAGTATGCCAGAGATCAGATAGATTTTCACTGGAACCTCCGGGGCAAAGAGTTTTCCTATAAAGCAATACACAATTACTTTAGGACACTTGCCAGAGGCCAGGATATGCTTCTGAAAAAGAGAAGTGATATTCGAACATTTTTGGATTGTGTTCCATGCCTGTCGAATCTGAGGACTATCAAACTTTCCGTCGCTAGAGCTCAAGAGGACCGACTTCTATGGTTTGCCCATCGGCTATTTCTTGACAGCGGAAACTCAGCACTCATTCACCTTGAACCGGTGCTCAGGGGCATTCTGGTAGCCCAGGACAATGGAATATTTGTTGAATCCATCGAGATTCATGGAATGCAGCTGAGCCCGACTACCACAGATAATAATATTATCGAGGTCGCAGGGGCGGCTATGAAGTACGTCAAAAACTTCACATTCGTGGATAGTCCCGGTCTGCTGGAGTTTATGTCTTCTGTTCCCCTGCCATGTTTGCGGCAATTCAAGTTAGCGGACTGTTGGCTTCGAGGCTTGGATCTAATTAGATTCTTGGATTGTCGTGATGTAATTGTACAGCGAGCACGTTTTCACAGAGTCGGTCTGTTTTATGAGATATTTAGAGAGACTCATGGATATTCAGAATGTTTAAAAGAGTTCTGGGAAGCTGTGTCTGGAAGTTACGTCCGGTTGACAGATCTTGTACTTATAGGTAGCCCCGGAATTTGACTGCAAGATAACTTTCGCCACTTCCCTTAGTGCAGCACCGAGTGAAGCATTCCAGTAATGTAGTTTAGGGCTAGGTGTGATGAACAGTCGCATAACGCCTCTGCTATATATTTTATGTACCGTACGTTAAATGGATTGTACGCATCCCCACCGATAGTATTTGATCTGAAACAGTTCTCATAGCGAGAAACATATAAAGCTCTTGGGCTACCACCCTATTACGCAAATCACCGCTGCCTTGCTGGGCAACATGGATGAAGAACTCATCCTACCAGGAAATGAGAAGCGGGCTTCTTGGAGAACAACTTGTAGAAAAAGCCTTTCCCAGCACATATGTAAGGTTCTGGAACTCCTCTGAAGATATTTACTAACATCTTGGCTAGGGGAGACTCTTAGTGTTAAAGTGAAGCCCTCTGAGGTGCGACTGAAAACAAGCGATGATTCACTCTATATGTGGCAGATAGATGACCCCTCTCTTGAGCACTTATTCCAAAAGCACTTGAGTAAACACTCGGTAGGGGCCTATAAGATGCTTTGCCGAGGGGTTGGTCAAACGTTTCGTGCTATCCACACCAAGAAGGTACCACCATTTATGACTGAATTCAAAAAACCCATATTTATGAAAGGCATAATAGGAAAATAAAAAGCAGATAGAGCTTGACACTATTGCTAAGCTTCAAGCTGAAAATCTCGCGCTTCGTGAAAAATTAGGAATAGCCGAAAACGAAGCATCTCGCTACGAGAAGGCCGCTAGAGAAGCAGAGGAAGAGATTAAGGATCAGAAATCGACCATCAGTCAAGCCGAAATGACGATTCAGATTCACCAGCAGGACATTTTGAAATGGATGGCTCTCACTGAATGGTACCAGAGTAGATGTTTACAGTGCTCCGACATATTAGGCCGGATGATGGCCTTCCTACAAGGGGATCCGACTGAAATTGCTGCATAGCCTTCTAGTCGGATCCACGAAAGCCCCTAATCCCTTTCTCTATGCATGTAAATTATATATTCTAAATTACTAAGAAGTTGGGTACAATAACTGACTATCTCCCGTTCAATGTAGAATGAAAATAGACAAGAAAATTCCCAGCTAGCCGTCGTGGTACCCTAGCATTTCTGCGACACCGTTTATGGACCTGCGACACCGTTCATGGACCTGCGACATTGTTTACGGACCTGCAACGCTGTTTGGGGACCTACGACGTCATTTACTGATAGGATCCGATTGAAAATAGAACGTACAATTCTGTCTAGTCTCGTTGCGGCTTTTTGGTAGAAACTATAACCATGTCACCACTTCGCTGGCTACGAAATATCATAACTTTCTAGAACTATTAAAGACCACACTTACCCCATGAATACCTTTTTACACTCTTGAACAATACTTGACCGCAAAGAAAAAAAATTGGTTGATCCAGTTTGCTTCCTCCTGGTTTGAACAATACCTGGCGCAAAGTTATCAGAAGTTAAAGCAATAACACGAACTAAGTCCAAAAAAGAAAGCAAGAAAAAACGAAAAAAGGCAATTAATAACCCCTACGCAATAAGATGTCGGAGCAATCAAGCAGCAGGCAGGCGGAGCAGACCGGTTCTAGCACCGACCAACCCCTATATCCGAGGCTTCCCCCCAACCCAACGGCCGAGTCAGACGATGAGGACAAGCCTTCCAGGAAGATGACACCTACGGAAAAGCTCGCAATTATAGAGCGGATTATAGAGGCACCAGACGACACAAGAAAAATACAGGAGGCTATACAACAAGCCCTCCCTTCAGACGTGATCCTAAATTTCAGGGAAATCCAAGTGGCTATACACCCTGACAAGTTTCCAGACCCTGTTGAAAAAGACAAAGCGACCAGAGCATTTCAAAGTCAGTACCCATGATCCCCCTTAGCACTGATAACTAACACCTACCATAGAGCTTGGATTTCTTAGAGATAACGTGGGAGCCAAATCAGACGAGGTAGACACAACTAACCATTTTAGCTTCGGAAACGATCCGAATCGTCCTCATGTAGAAGGGAAGCTGTCACCTTACCATGATAAGGCCCATGAGAAAGCAACGCCATTGTTGCAAGTTCTATATAAGGCTTTAGTGGACAACCCTTCCTTACAACTTGACAAATCCCCATCAGCGGTTAGGCATTCTGTGTCTAAGCTCGATGAGATCAATGGCCAGATCAGAGAGCACAATGGAAAGAACAGTCAGGATTCAGACTTAGGCATCATTCGATACCACGATCTGCTCGGAAAATGGCGACCAATACTTCTTTTGGAAGACGATGATACAAAGAAGTTCTTACGTCAGTCTTTATTGGCATATTGCGAGCAAATGATGTATCCACCTACATGGGCCAATCCAACGCCGTCCAATGGCCCTACTACTGGCCAGCCAGGACAAGCTCCCGAGTCGCAGAGCACTTCACACGCTATTACAAGTGGCGCAGAAAATGACAGTACGACCTTCCAAGCGCCAAACCAAACTGCGGCGGCTCCGCCATTAGATCCAAGTCAACAGCAACCCAGCACGAACATGGCCACAGCCAGTGTACCCCAGATACAAAACTCGCATCAAACATTCAATATGCAAGGCATTTCCGAAACGTCTATCCCGCAAGCAGCAGGTGGTCAGAAACGAGTGATAGCTGTTAGACCACGTAAAACACGCCGAGCTGTGCAGCCGGGATTCACATCGACTGGAGAGAAGATTTTGTTCATTCAATCAGTCGGACGATATGCGCGATTTGTGGTCACTGATACCGAAGGGAATATACGACTTGTCTCTGGCAGTCAGCCCGCTATAGACCTAGCAAACAGTGCTGGAGTCCCACATACGCTTCAGGATCCAGCGGAAATCCAGAAGCTTCGTGGCCTAGTTCGTCGCGGTGGCGGCGAATACGGGCTGGAATTTGTAGCTATTGGGGAATGGGACATAGGGAATACACGGCTTCCCTTCATCGTCGTTGGCTTTTATTATGAAAATGAGAATGGAAGGCGCGAAGAAGCTATCTCTCGTTCTTCTCTTATAAAAATATTGGGAACACGCGAAGGGGAGAAGCTCATAGTTGAGAGCATCGTGGGCCATCCTGATCTGTCCTTAAGAGAAGCTCTCGAGGCTCAGATAGCGCCAAGAAAGCAGGAAGTCTCTTCTAACAACGCCCCCCAACTGCTTCTTCAGGGCGAGCAGAGCCAGCCGTGGTGGTTCCAAACCCCACAACATTCTGGGTCTCATACGGCTTTCAAGGTCGCCCCTGCCCAGCAGGCGCCTTACCCGAACCATTTCCAACAATTTGCTTCTCAACAGTCTCTGCGGCCTATTTCCCTGCAGTATCAACAGCCATTTCCCTCTCAGTTCCAACCCGGGCCTTTCGCTATGCCACCTCAGCCGATTCTTAACTCCTCAATGATGAAACCTAGGGCCAACTCCCCAACTACAAGCATGATGTCTGAGGAACTTTGAGAAATTGAGACTTACTGGATTTTTGATGGCACTCCTGATTTTTACCATGTACTTAACCTGATATTACTGTACCCAAATTGCAATTCGAGTTTTTTTATCAGTATGGATTGAGCATTTTGGGGGTCATCGTGAAAGATATGCTGGCATTTTTCAATAAGCCAAATGATAACTGAACGTAACTTAAAGCATACAAGATAAAAAAGAAAAAGCATAAGGTATCCCGAGTCACAAACGGTCAGGAGAAGAACAATCACTAGCCATTTGAACAGTCTATATGAGAGGATGCTAATACCTCGCACAAAAGCCCTGCGCAGGGGGTATCCACTATATCCTTATGTCCTGACATTCTAGGCTAGAAGCAAGGTTACCATACTCAACAACTGTGGCTAGTTGCTGTGCTAGCTGAGTGGGCGAAAATAGTCGATGTCCATATTCTATCCAACGATGAAACTGTGTTTTCGGAATAATCAGCGCTGCTGCCCGTGCATTACGAGGTAAACGAAAACAGAAAAAGCATCTTGCTAACCTTTGCTATGCGCACACCTAACCAGAGGCACCGGTACCTTCTCAAGGTGGCGGCCAATGGGTTTTCGATAATGACCCTATCATATTCCGGGAGGGCATCCTCGAAGAAGCCATCTGGGTAGTATAGCTGACTCCATGACTGACCGCGAATGAGGAAATCCTCCGGCAGTTGTTGTATCGATCCGTCGCCGGGAAGCGGGAAAGCGGCTTGTTCGATCTTTGAGACTATAGTATCGGAGTGGATCAAGCTATTAAGGTAGCTTGTGATTTCTATCCAGGGAATGTATCTTTCAAGTTGCTGCATTGCAGATGGGTGAAGAGCCAGACACCAGATGAATGACATGGATATATGAACACTAGGAAAGGTGTTTGGGTCATTCATTCGATGAAGGAGGACGGATAGGGTGTGGAATGCAAGAGAGTATCCTTGATATGTGATTTGGGATTTGATGAGGTTTCCGGCTTCGCTCGAGTTCTGTTTCTGGCCCGACATCGACTTGAGTGCCATATTGTGCGCCTTCTTGGTGCCAGTTTCGCCGTCTCGCTTAAAATAATCCAAGGATATCATGGCTTCGGAGTCGCCATATTCAAGGACCGAGGCGATATTACAGGACACAATGTAGACCGCTTGTTGGTCTTTGAGTCGTAGCTCGCAAATTTCCCCCCGCAAGATAGCCAAGAAACGATTTCCAAGCGTAATAAACTCATGAGAGGGAGCTCGCATGAATATAGCCCTGTGTGTCGCAATGAACGCTGTGATGATGGCATCTTGATGAAGGGCCTCTTTCTCAAACCGAGTGAAAAGTAGGGTAATCCCCTCTCGAGCAGAATCGTAAGGGTAGACAGTAACTAGTGCCTTCATATAGAAAAACAGTTGCTGGAGAAAGTCTGGCCAAGCTACCACTGCTAGATCATGTTGGATTCGTCCAGCTTCGGGACATCGGTCTGCAGCTTGTCTGTACCAATCTCCCGCTATGCCGGCCCAGACCTCGTGGTCTCTCATGTCCGACTCTTCGAACTCCATGCCAAATCGTGCTAGATCCCCGAGACATTCCATCCAAATCTCGCGAAATGCTGAGACGTTCTCCAACAGAAAAGTGATACTTAGATAGGCAAAATAGATGAATGTCCATATGTAATCCAACGGTTGCGGACGCTTGTATTGTAAGATGACCAGGAGTGAGTGGATCCCAAATCGCCACATGCGCGCAGGCATCCTATATTTTTCTGCAAGGCTCTTCAAATTCGTGCGCTGGGACATAAGGAAGAACTCGAGGTGCATCTCAAGTAAGTTTTGGTGGCAGTGTAGGAGTCTGGCCAATTCCGCCTCGGACTTGGGCAGCTGCTGGTCGAGCTCAATGCACCTCTTCTCCACCTTGGCTAGCTCGGAATAGATGCGCTGCACATCATTGACCAGCTTGTCTTCGGAGATAGGAACGCACCATAGTTGCGTAAACATCACCGCCTCTCTCGGCACCGGTGAGTCTTCTAAGGCGTAATCTCGGTCATGTTGGGACTCTGACATGGTAGAGCTGTCTGACGAAATGACTTCATTTAAAGGATCACTGGTTGAAAAGGGCTTGTCCTCAGGGTGGCGCGAAGAAGAACAAGACATCATGACTAATGCCGCAATGGCTGATAGTGGTAGAATAAGGTGTAGCACTGGACCGCTTGTGTTTTCGGATTGATATCTGGAATCTCGGAGGGATAAGTTGGGCATTAAAAGGCACTCTTGTTCACCCGGGTTATGGGATCCACTATGCAATGTCTCAGAAGCGCCTAGATAGGTAGCCATCTGTTGGTTGTGGCGTGTATTCTTCACCAATTAAAAACCAGATAAAGCGCACCAGACCTGGGTACATTGGGTAAGATTCGTGTTGCTGTGCACTTGTACAGATGATCGGGAATTTTGTGGGTTCCCGAGCTAGAATAGATTCCAGGAGAGCTAGGTGACCTCGTCCGGAATACACCAGCAAGGCTCTTGAGCTTTATCAATGAATGTTGCATCTCTCCCCTACTTTACAAGTAATACTGACTGCAGAAGGGGTATGGATGGCTGGTTATGCTTTCCTAATTGAGGTTCCCGAAGACGTTCATTCAGCCTCAACGTATGTGGTCGGAGGAGTCTATGTTGAAAACTATAGCATTGACAACTACAGTAAGTGTATGGCTCTCTTTCTGCTATCCCAACGGAATCCGACAGCATTCTTCCTGAGGAGTAAAATGTTTCAGCTGCCCTCGTCGTTTTCTCTTCCTTTCAGCTGCCCATTGAGCGAGAATTCGTTGGAGAACGGGGTCATCTTTGCTTTTATCATTGTGGTTGTTTCTAACATGCCTTGCAGGTCTAATAGGCACCTAAAGAGAGTTCTTGCTATAAGTGGGGTGTGAACTCACCGTTGATGATTGTCTGGTCGGGGATAACTTCGCAGCACTTCGGGACAGAAAGGACATGCGAACCTAGTCGACCGATGTACTAGGCCATGTCGTATCAGTTCAGTCTTACGCTTGAATGTTTTTCCGTCTGTAGGGCAGTAGTAGTGCCGGTCATGCGAATGCACTCTTTAGTGGGAGCTAGTGGTCGTGGGTTTGCGGTTAGGAAGGGTAATTGGGCACTGGGTTCGAAGGTGACCTGTTGGCTTTTACTTACACGAGTAAATTCTGGTTTCGGAATGGCGCTGATGTGCAACCTGGGTGTACCCACTTGAAACTTCCCCACGTTGCTGTGCTTTCAAGCGGTGCTGATGCTAAGCTGGGAGCGGCCTGTTTCTTCGGTAGAGGATAAATGCACCGGGTCCTCCGGTGGGTAGTTTGGGGCATGTCGTCGGAAGTACATGCGTGGAATTGCTTGTCGACTAGCTGCGACGGTGATGTTGAAAGTGTGGGTCCGAGCAGAAATAAATTCTAGGTGGTAGGCGAGGTCGATTGGGTGGGATAGAAGTTTTCTATGTTAGAGATATTCGATTTGCTTGCCGTTAGGGATGGAAGAGAGAGATGGTGAATGGAAGGTAGAGACAAATGGTTATTCGGTTCGTTTGGTCGTATGGTAATGTCGTGTAGAGGGGAAGTTTCCAGCACTACTGGGAGGGCTGAACGGGCAGCACTGGTAAATGAGCTTCTTTTTGATGTGATATGGCCTTGTGTCCTCCGCCGTCGCTTTTCGACTTTGATGCAAATGGCGCGGCCACAGACTCAAGCTTCGCCAGACTCTCGAACGCGTCCCTTGTTGCCGATGCTGAGTTTGACATTGGGCCAGATAATTTTCCTGTTTCCATTTCGATTTTGCTTTCCGTCAATTCCTCCCCGGGTGGTCTTTCATGCAGAAACGGGGACGAGAGTGATGAGGCCTGTGCCCAACACCACCCTTCCTTGGGCAACGACTCTGGAAAGGACACATTCTGGGCTTGCCTGACGACGCGTGCATAGTCCAACACTAAAAAGTCTATTAATCCCAACTCTCGCAAGAACTTGTATCCGGATATCTGGAATGTTGCTTACAGAAAATATGGGAATTGTTAGCATGGCCACCGTCGTCGCCCGCCACTAACCGCAGGGGAGGATCTTTCGGCTCATAGTTGATCTGACTTGCTTTGGTAGATTGGAATTCGTATGTTGTATCATGCGTGTTATTGATTTTGGACATGGTTGGAAGGTTCACAAGTGGAGCTCCACGGGTGATTTAGATTTTGAATTGTTGTGGGAGTATACCAGATTATATATATAGTTTTGCACCGCCAAAGAGTGGAGCCGCCAGACCAAAATTCCATATCTGTGCTACCCAGAAGCATAACAAGCGCCCGAAGGTTACACCGCCTCACGGTCTCATGCATGATTTGATCAACCAAGATTCATATATCACAGACCCGTGGTGCCGCCGATACCGATTAACCCACTGGTTTCTATTTGTCGACGGAAGATGGGTTGATCAGCATAATAACAGAAAGTCTACGCACAACATATTATTTCTATTCCTGTATTTAAAAGACGCTCCCCCATCGAATTCATGTAGTACTTAGGAGGCTTTCTCGTTCGGCGGAAATTCCCTGCCATATTAGCGTAGTATCCTGGCTGGTCATGTACCCACCGGATCTAACCAATCCAATCGCCACAGGAGTGACCATAAAGGGCTTCCTATTAATCATTTGAGATAAACACTAATACTCCAATGTGAATAGTGCATACATCTAGTTGTGGGTGAATTGACTACCAGTGGTGATTAGAAGGTAGTTGATAGTAATCCCGAGACTAATACGTTGAGAGACTTTGTGACGAGTAAAATTGGTTCTCGATGGCAAAAAACGTACGAGACGGGCTGGTGGTCTGCCGGGGCGATGGTACAAGTAAGCTACTGGGAGAAGACCTGGTTGCAGTCTTTAAACTTGCCGTACTATTGGTCAACCAACTCCGCAACAGGCCGCATGATCCCCTTAACCTTCGTAATCCTGCTTTCAGTGCAGATAGCAGATATCCTTTTGGCAGGGTGAGAATTTCAGTATATAAGTATGTCCATCGTCCAACTTCTTCCCTCCGCGACAAATCCAGTCAACGCTAGCTTGCCTGTACTACGGCTAACCTCGTTGATTCTTAAGTTCTCTTCTTTCATACGGATAACAAAGAACACCCTGAGGGTGATACCACTACCACATCTCAAACAGTGGACAGGGCCCTATCTACAATGGATAAGGCAAGTTGCCCCCAGACAGGAAATGTCCAAGCACTCTGTGCCGCTAACCACGTGACTTTCATTATAGGATTTCTTTGGTATAGCGGTATAGACCGGACTAGTGTGTATATTTTCATAGTGAATGCATAGGATCAGACTCAGAAACTGATGGACAGAGCTATTATGCCCGGCCCGTTGAGATTTTCCAATAAAGCCCTCTAACATCAAATTCCCATTCCGCGAGTTTCCATCATCATCACTGTGCTTATCTCATCCAGACGTGCGTGATACCAAAAAAGCACAACATCAGGGGTATTACCCGCGTTCAGACGTTTTGCATACTGCTGTAGGTACTTGTTGTGTACCACGGAGTGCTTCTGCAATAGGACAGTTCTGGGGTCATTTGGATCTTCATTGAAAGAGACCAGGCTCACGTCGTTTAATGGCAAGAGGACGGAAGAAAAGTGGTCTTTCACGGCAGATATTGCCCACTCAACCACGGCCAGATCAACTATAAGAGAGTTCTTGGGCCGATGAAGTATGTTGTGGTGTACTGTCGAATTCCCTCCTTCAAGTGGGACGGCCTCCAAGATCATACCACTGAAGCCTCTGTCCGTAACATCTGCCATAATATCGGGGCAGGAATCAGGAAACCAGGCTCTGATAGTCTATTCAATTAGCGTAAACAGAAAAGCGTGAGTAGCCGGAAGCTTACCTTTAGTTTGACTGATCGCAGGTTTGAAGTCATGATGTTCCCGCTGCAAGGCCATGATTAGGGATTCCGAGACATTTTAGAGTATCCCAAAGTTTTATCTGCCCTCATGCCTCACAAGAGCCCATATTGGCCTCCTGCATAAACATATACAGGAGCACGGACCGTGCGAACTATAGTTATCTATTTCGTGTTGCGGTCTCAGAGGCCGGTAAGAAGGCAAGTCTCGATTGGTCAGAGAGATATTCAGATCGTCTATTTTGAGGGCTCCGCTGTTCATCATAGGTCCAGTAGTTCGTTCCCACCCCTTCATGTCGGTCAATTCCTAGATAGTCGGCTGTGACTTGACCGTGGGTATAAGAAAGCTCTGTCAAACCCAGAACGGGAAGGACGAACGTCGCTATTTTTCTACGCGAGCCGGCTAGACAGCAGCTGCACCGTGAACAATGTGAATAGTTTCGCGTAAATGTCTTACCAATGCATATAGTTCGGCAAGTCCGGATCATCAGCGACGGATACGATCATCGTATATAGCGCCACTGATATGCACTGGTATGCCGTTTGGCTTGATGTAAGATTTCATCACGTCACCTGAGTGATGATCGTCACGATACCGCAACGTCGGCAGTTCCTGCCCATCTATACAAAGTCTCCAGTCAACTTGGCCGCCTCTTTCTATTTTATGGAGAGAATAATCAAGCCTTCTATTGCTTTACATCAAAATGAAGAACTCCCACTAGTGGGGTGCAGCGTGGAGGAATCCCGCACCGCTCCGGGCCACACAATGAAAAATGGACAGATACTGGACAAGAATGACAAAAAAGCTACAAGCGCGGCAGGCACAAAAAGTCGATTCTAGGCCGTTGATGCTAGTTGCCCTGCTCCGTATTGAATGCGAAGCGTCTGCGACCACGAGTGGGGTGCCCTACATTGTCGACTGCTCCGAGCCAATGAGGGATTACAACGTGATCCGTGATCAGTCCCACCTTCACCCCCGCCGGAGACCAAGGTCGATTGAATGCGAGAGCAATCTAGGAAGAGGGATTCCCCGCCACCATGGTATGTCATGTCTTATCCTTACTACCATCCGAGGACAAAGCAGTTGATCGTTCCGTTGTTGCCCGCAGATAGGACAGTACCGTTCCCCAGCCACAGTCAGGGGAGTAGAAGGCCCTTTCCTCCTCACTAAAGTCGCCGAGGAGGCACGACAGCGACTCGCCACATGGGCCCGTGACCATGCCGTTCCATCCAAGGACTACTTCGTTGATGAACAGGGCGATCGAACATATAAAATAGAGAGTTTGAAACCCTTGGTGGAGCCTCTCCTGCGAGAGATGAACTTAGCGGTAGGGCACTCGGGTGAAGTTGCGAGCTGTGTTAACGAAATCAGGAATGGAAATACACGATGCATCGAGAGTCGGATATCAGGCTCATCCCTGTCAACCATCCAACCTACGCAATTCCCATCAATGTCATTACCGGCGTTCCCCAAATCAAAGATCTGGCCAGTAACGTCGTAACGCTGTTGGTGGGATACTTTTTTACGCTCTCCGAAGACGTCCTCATCCTTCCCCAAGCAGACTACCTGGTGGTGAAGAGGATGAGATAATGCTAATAGGCTTGCTTTTCAAGAAATTCCAGCGAGGAGATATAGATCCGTATCTTGTTGTTCGATAGGCACAACGCCTGGTGCTTCCTCCGCACTGAATAAAGGATTCAAAGATTGTGTGAATGGCCCGGAGAGGAGCTGCACCTTGGAAAACGGGATCGGTCCGTAACCTAGAGCTATGCAGATGCGTGCCAGTCTAAAAGGGCCGGTTAGCAAGCCCTCGTCACACCAACATAGGGGTCTTACGGAATTGTATATCCTGTCAAGTAGTGCACGATACAGGGAAGGCAGTATGGGATCCACCCAGGTTCCCAGTGTGCCATCTCTGGCGCTCCCAGCTTGTTGGCCACGATCTTGTAACTGTCCGTATCGTTGGCTGCAAATCGACTAAATTGTGCCGGACCCCGACTCTCTGATGCAAGTTTTGTCAGCTGGGGCTTCGCAACGACTGCAATCACGTACCAAGAAGGAAGAATTCCCAGGCCTCACATCCCCATCCATTCTCCAGAAGGGCTGCCATGCATCGATTGGCCCAGACGGCGCCATGCCGATATTTTTCCAAGGTCAGATCCTCTTTCGTCTCGTCGAGATACCGTCTCATCATATCGTTGGTTGCCTTCTTGGACACCCCCGCACCCACCATGACCACACAGAAGGAGCAGAATACTAGCTTTTGAAAGTCAACCACCCGTGTTGTGAATTTCTGGTCCTTCGCACACCGGGCAATGAACTTGCCGTATAGACACCCCTGTACGACAAGCTCAGGGCGCTCGGTGGGAAGGATCGGCGGAAGCGCGGTGGTCCCCGATTCTTCAGGAAAAATGGGGACACCGCCATGTCCCAGAATTAATTTCAGAGCCGTCTGGTTCCGCGCTGGAGTATCAATACCTGCCAACTGTCGAGCTCTCTGTAACTGCGTTGCGGCCAGAACCCCTTCCACGAAGACATTTAGCTGGTTCTTCCATTTCGGTATCTTCTCCTCGCACGTATGCGCCGGGGTGGGAATGCACGGAGGTGTGTATTCGACAATCTGAATTCCACATGCGACTGGCCCTTCGGTATTGGAGGGAACAGGCTTGCAAAGGCTTGCCTGGTCAGGACTTGGGTATGGCTGTGCACTGATCAAGTTGACCAGGTGTTCCACCTGCTCCTCAAGGTATTGGATGTACGCCGGATCAGGCCCTTGGAATTTGAATTTGCGTTGAGACATCGTTGAGCAAGACATAGTGTGGTGCTTTGCAGTGGACGAGCCGTCTCCCTTTTATGCCTACCGTCCATAAAAGGAAAGTACCCGGGTACTTTCCTTTTACAGACATACAGGCTACTTGATTAGGATGCGATCATCATTCCTCTACCACTGCCGTACGAGGCATCCAGACAAAGTAACACGCCAGTCGGCCCAGCGATCTGGCACTGGTCGCCACTGGCCCATTGTAGAATGATTTTTAAGGTAAACATGATTGGTACCTCATATCGTATTCTGGGGTTCAGCGGCTTTCGTGGTCTACTATTCTATCATTATTCTGGTGGCGTACTTTGCCGTCATATTCCGGTGCAAGGGATATGCTTCACTACCACCGGCTGGGGGGAATGGGTTCATTTCATCATATGGTTTACTAGGACCTCTTTCCTACCATCACCTGATCTCGTATCTCTTGCAGAAATTGCAGGAACGCCTCTCTCATTTAGAGGTTCGCCTTCTACCAGGAAAGGCCCACAAACTGTACTTCTGTACTACATGCAGCATTCGTGATGGCGCTAGTGGTTAGTATTGTCCAAATCCCTCAAACCGAAAGTATGACTCTTATTTCCATTGTCAGACCGTCCGCGTCAGGTGCAGTCCAATGACCAATATATACGCCGGTCTAGAGGATGTGGTCCATGCGGCCATCTTTCTCGGCAGGAACCAGTTCGATCTGGCTGGAATTGATCGAGTCAACCAACGCTTCACCAATCTTAACGGACTGCGACTGTTGAGCAGCGACCCACTCTTTGCCCCTGAGGGCAATCGACCTTATGCCCAAACAGCGTTCCTGGCACTGAATGAGATGCGCCAGCAGTACTACAACGAAAGAAACAATACCTTGGTGGACGGGAACCAGCCGCTTGTTGATTGGTATGCAGAGGCACTTAAACATTTCGATCAACTGATCGTCCATTACCAAAAGCAGTTCTAGAAAGGGAGCGAGATATCAGAGCTAGTGATCACACACACTGGGTACTTTACATGCTGCATCTGTAGAGGCGTGTCAACTCAGGTCTTCGTCTTGACTCAAGGCAGTGCCGTCGGAAGACAGCTGCTTCCGACGCTTGGACACTGGGTGCATCTGAATCCCTCCGACTGCCAACATAGATTGAGCGTTTCGTTTCTGCCTTTTGGCCTGATGTTCAATCGAGGAAGGTGTGGTGCCTTTGGACCTGAAGGAATTGTATTGCCATGTCCGAATTTCATGTTGTTGGATTTCCACTGTCCATGGCTGCCTTGAAGGGTTATCGAAATCGGAGCTGCAGTCCAGGATCTCCTCATCTTCGTAGGCAAAGAGCATTTGTAAAGAACCCAATGCATCCCATAATTGTGGTGGCTGTATTTGGTTCCGGAATAAAGGCGATGATTGTAATTGGGAAACCATCTTCCCTATTCGCTGCTCGTCAGGGTGGGTGAGCAATGATCGTAGTGGCATTGGATCACTTGGAGTTAACGTCACACCGAGACTGACGCAGACCAATATCAAGCTGGCCCGCTCTCCCAGAGGCGTGATCGGTGCTGTTAGGGCGGATCTTGGGGTACACATCGCGATAAGGCTTTCCGAGGATATTTGCTCAATGCGACAAAGGAGGTAACACAGATACGCTCGCAGTTCCTGGGCCGACACTCCAAAGGGTATCAGCTTCTCCTGCAACAAATAATCACGAACGTATTCCCAATCTCGACGAGTCTGTGAGCTTGTTGCTGTCCATATCTTCGATTTCATCTCAGAAAAGCCCTCAGTACCGACTTGCGGATACCACTCGTGTTCATTGCGAGAGCTAACGTCAGAAAGTTGTCGAATATCACCAATTCTTGCAGGCAAGGAAGACTCGAGGGAGACGTAACATATCAGGAGGAGCAATTGGAGAAACGAGAAGCGTGAGGGGACGGCAAAGGTAGGTTCGAACTGGGCGCCGGTTGAGAGCATCCTGGATAGTCTTTTTGTATTGACCGGGATGAGAAACTACATTGGGAACAGCCGCCTTCTTATCTATCTGCACTTGTTGACAGCCATCGATTATCATCCATTACTACGCATTAAGGGGCATACCGATTCCCTCCGGTACAAAGCATCTGGTTGGCTGATTGGTTGGCCCGATGAAAAAATTTCAGTCAATCTCAACGATCTTTATTCATACATCTACCCCGATCTGAACAAGTGCAGGAGATACTCGGGGGTTCCCAACGTGTTGAGTACATAACCACCAAAGGCAGGTAAGGAGATGTACATCCAGTAGTATCCACGACAATCCCGATCTTCGTTATAATAGGGAATCAAATGCTCAAATCTTGCGTCTTCGAGCTCGCCTAGGCCCTCGGGAGAGACAATATTGGCCCCTTGTCTGCGGATTTTGATAGGTTGGCGTAGGTAGATCAGAAGCTGCGTGAATTGCCCCTGTTCGCTAGAGGCAAAAGTGCCATCCATCAGCTGGGTCTGCAGCCGGGAGAAAAGGGGCGAAATGCATTGTTTCGCCCCCACATATCCGGGCTCGGACATTATGGCTAGGTATATGTCTCCGAGTGTATACTCATTATTGGATTCCTTCCGATGATGGAAACTTCGCGCAGGCGAAAGAAAGGTATCGTTGGATTGGGATGTAAACCGTCCCGGCAGGCGAGCGTTTCTCCACGATAGCCACATCTAGTACAAGTTAGTCTGAAGTAGTGCAAAATGCAAAGAGTTTCAGCCCAATCATACTCTGATTAACTTCACAAATAACTCCAGCGGGATGTTTGCCATTCACAAGCCTAGGCGGGTGTTCCATTACAGGCGGGCAATTCGAAGTTGAGACCATCATAGTGTTGGGAGAAAAGATCGGCTGCCACCCGTACGGAGGAGCATAGGGAATTGCAGAGCTCGTGGTGGGGGTAGCATTGGCTTGCATTATGCGATGCTTCAGGACAGCGGACTAACTGGCGGAATAGTGGCGCTTTTCTGACTGTGTTGATGGAAACCTAGGCACCTGAGGAGGGACTCCTGTCTCTTTTAAATAGGTCGTTATTTTCAATCGCAAAGAGGTTGCGCGAGACAACCTACCAATGGCCCTGACTCCTAATTCTTTTCCTTTTCCTCACTGGCAGTCTCCCTAACATTGGGGCTATCGAAGAATTGATCTGCACTATGTGCATGTGCAGCTCCGGGCTTTACTTGAGATGTTATTTGATTCTCAGTCGTCTCTATTGGGTGACGGGCCGTCTTGGATGGATATTTCACAGGAGGTACCAGGCCGTCTAGATAAATGGTATCCCCACTCGCTGTCGAAGGAGGCCGATTTCGTTGTGTGTGAGACTCTGCTTAAAGCGGTGTATAAGCCTTGTGATTTCCTTGGTGCAAAATTTAATCATGTACCTGAATCTGAATCTTCACCCGGGGACCAGCAAGGAGTAATGCTCGTTGGGAAACGAAATTGAGACTTAATCCATCCTAGAAGCTGCGGAAGGGATGCAAAAGAATACTCGGCCATTTTGGACAAAGTCAAAAGGGATGAAGAAGGTATAAGTGTACGGCCGTTCGTATTTATATTGTCGGCAGATCATCACCTGCCTCAGCATCTATATAGTACTTATTCATTGTTATCATGCGCATACTAGCACCGGTCTGACAGACAAAAGTACGTATCGCGCAACAAGTTCTAGCCCATATTGTACTCGCTATCGAAAGAGATTGGTTCTGAATAATGTAATGATTGGAATGACTGGAAAGAGTTGACGGGAGTATTGTTGAAATACCCTTAGGCCCAGGTCCCCATATCGGCGATTAGATCACCAGGCGTAATCGAGACTGATTTTCCTGTAACGTAGGCAGATACTCTGTTGACGAAGGAACAAAATCTAACAGTGCAAATTCATGCTCTCCAACGCCGTCACAAGACGACTCAGTCCAGCATTCTCCGCCTTTACTTTCGTACCCACCACCTCGACGTTCCCCACCACTTTACCCAGAGCTTCAATCTTTTGGACAGCAACATCCTCCATTTCCGCGAACCTTTTTCGAGAGGCATCTGAGAAAAAAGCGCCAAATTCCTCAGTTTTCTCACACGCTCCGTTGACAATTTTTATCAAAATATCCTCTGATAGGGTCTGGTCTTCCTTCCATCTTGCAGCTGGGCTTTGTAGAATGACTGCCAGCATGTCCGAGCTCCTGCTATCTGCACTCTCTGCCGCTACAAGTGCAGCGACACGCCAGTCCTGACGACTTGCACTATGGTGCATAATCCAGCTCGCCGCATGAATGCAGTTGTGTGTCGCGGCATACGTCAAGAGTTTCTCGGGTGGCTGATGGCCGCGGCTCAGGAACCAATTCAACAATGGTTCCGGATCCTTCCGGCCCACAATCTCCAACCAACCAGGGGATGCGTTCTCCGGGTGAGGCTTCCCCAGATCTAGGCCAGAATCCAATAACTCGTTCGCAAGACCCACATCGGCAAATAGACATACATGTCCCATCTCACGCGGCCCAAGTGAAGTTAGACCATTGTCCTGGCATGATATAAGCCGTGCCCAGCAGACTTGAAACCATTTCCGATTCCAGGTAGAGGCCTGAAAGATTGTATATTGGTCTTCCTCCGGCTCCCTCATCGAAAAAGGATGAAGAAGATCTTTGGGATCCATCAAAGACACAATACGTTGCATCAAGTCATTTTTCCCACTCCTGACCGCGAGCCAAAAGAAGCTGTAGCCATTTTGGCAAAATGAAGCAGGTTGAACCGTTTGATGATCCAAGAGTAAATTGAAACATTGAGGACAATTTTCGATACACCATGAGGCCAGATCATAGGGGGCGCCCTTGTCCATCATATGCTGACGCTGTTTGGCACAGCCATAGTTGGGGGAGAGGTTCCACTTAACCTCGATCTCTTGTCGAAGCGATGGACTTTTGAAAGCATTGATAATTGCCAGTTTAATCAGAGGTCGCGTGGTCTCATTGCTGAGTTCGTTGAGAAAGAAATGAAGGGCCTCATGTGAACCAAGCGGTTTGGAGAGAAGGTCGGACTTGATTGCGGACTCTATAAGAGGCCATCGTAGGTCCTCAATATTTTCGAAAAGCGACGGGCATTGGAGGGACATTGTCGAAAATTTATCGTGACCAGACATGTTGATCTAATAATTGTGGTACAGGTAGAATGCAGAAATAAGTTGAAGTATTGTTACGGGACGGATGATCAGGGAACAAGGAAGGCTTTTATAATGGATTTGACTGAGGGATCACCGCTGAAAGCAGTGATTACTCGAAAACGATCAAACCTCCTGAACATGTAACTATTGGAATGCTCCGTATGTGATCTCGTTGATCAACTGATCATGCGGGACCTTTTTTAACAGTAACCGTCTCCGTAACTTCGACTTCGCCTTCAAGATATTCTACTGTCTGAGAAATTCTCGTGCCAACGATCATGATTCCACCACTCGTAATCAGCCATTGCTGTATCCCCCTGTCCTGAATTCGATCATTGAAATGCGAATCCCACCCCAACCCATGCCGGATCTACCTACATCAGTCATTTAATCCGTAGCTATCGATTAGGTGTCATACCAGCTGTAATCCAAGCCATTCAAGTGTATATCTTGGAAGAGGAAATACGACACACATGTCCATGCTCACTGTGCTATGAATATGTAATTGAAAGTTGGATTGAAAGCACGTAGATGATGTTCTGACTTTTAGGTGGGTGCGGGTTAACGTCTGGGAAGGCCATGCTTTATGAAACAGCTCCGGCATGAAAATCCTATTGGGCCTATACCCTGGAAGCTTCGTTGGGTTTAGTAGTGAATAGCTTAATTACCCCCACCTTGTCTCCACAAGTGTACACCACGTATTGGGTAGGTGATGCTGTGCCCCAAGAGAGTCTTTTTTCAAATTACTAATTGGCAATGAACTGAACAGAGTGGAAGCTCCAGTGCTAGCATGCTTCGCGCCTCGTCGTTCAGTGTCTGTAAATATTCCACTAGGCTGGATAGATTTGCCTCCCTCGCCACCAATAACATGCTCTTGGGAAACAAAAGAGAATCTTCTGCAAAGTGCATTGCAAACCCAATTTTTTGGATAGCACGATGCTCCACTATATCAACACTTTCGAGCTGACTCTCTCCGCTACGATTGGAAGCACCCTGAATGACCTCGAAAGCAAGATTTTGAACCCAGTTGGCAGGGGGAGCTGGAACTCGCAACGATATCCGCTTTATAGTCATCTGAAGTATTTGGATGCTGCCAGCTGTCTGACGCCTAGCCGCGTCAACCGCACAGCCCAACTGCTCGTTCATATCGGTGCTATGAAATAAGAGCCAGCTTGTTGCCTCGGCTCTATCATGTCGAGCTGCAGCAAGTAGTGGTGTGTCTAGCGCGTTTTTCATACTCGGCAGGTAGTGTCCTTGGCGCGAGAACCGTTCAAATAGACCTGTCGGACTTGGGTGGTATAGAGCAATTTCAATCCAAACATGTAAGGGATCAAATTTGAGTTCTGATGCGAGGTCTAGGCCTCGAGATAGCATGCGATCCACGAGTTCAGATGTAGCAAACCGACAAAAATGGGTAAGATGACGTTGGTCGAGAGTTCCCCACAACATTTGATCCGATCCTGACTCAAGCTGTGTCCAGCAGGCATGGAACATCTGTTCATTCTTAACCGCCAGTTCGAAGATCGTCTCTTGGCGATTCCCAGAGATGATAGAAGCCGGTGTCAGGATTTGCTCCGGCGTCATCATCGACACTAGTTCGCAAACAATATCAATTTGGTTGTCGTCAACCGCAAGATAGACAAGACTAAGTCCCGCACTATTAAAGCAACTTGGGTAGATGAGTCTATGACGTAGTAGCTTCCTAAAAAGCTCTGGTTCGTCACGTAAACTCATAGAAACAACATCAGGATAATATTCAGTGTGTAGACCGTGTTGGTGAATGATGGCGTGATTGAAATCTCTGTACAGTCTCCACTGACTCAAAAGAACGTCACGAGAATTCTGTAGAAAATACTGAATTCCTTTTTGAAACTCAGGTGGTACTAGCGGGCATTGTTGCAGGGCAATGAGAGCGTTCAGTGCTCTATGCGAGTTTGATAGGTTGGGGTTGAGAAGCTCCCGGTATAGCTCGCTCAGAAGTTCGTGGCTTAGCAAATTAATTTTTGTGAAGGAATTGCTTTCAATAGCTGAGAGAAGGGCTTCAAGATGGCTTTCATGCATATGGAGTTGCGGAAATAGAAGACGGCGAAATGTGGGAGGACATGTAGTATGGGGAGACGAGTCAATCAATCCCTCGGCCTTTCAGGTCATCTTATGGCTTTTACGACACAGTAGCTCAAGACGCCAGCTATTTCTGAGTAGTTGAAGTAGACAATCAACCAAGAGAGAGATGTGCAAACTTTCGAAGTTGTCTAAGAATAGCCATTGATTAGCTCCAGGAACATGCTCCCTACTATACTGCCAAATCGCACACTCCATTGCAGTATCCTCCGGCCCAGAGTCCTGTCCCCAAAATACCAATCCCATTTCGACCCATATTGGATCTACTTACATCAGTAATTTAATTCGTAACTATAAGTTACACCAGCTGTAATCCAAGCAATTCCAGGCACGTGTCCATACTCAATTGACTGAATAGCCGGATCAAATGGGAAATTGCATCAAAGGGACGTATATGATGTCCTGATTTTTTGACAGTGGATGCAGGCTAATATCTAGGACGTCGGAGAGAGCACCGGGGCTTCTTAACTCCAGCTGTATTGTATGCACCACAGCTGAAATTCTTGGTAAAACTCCGCAGTAAGCAGTCACCCAGAGAATAGAATATGACTACCCTTTAATTGTTGGCAATCGTCAGATCGACTTCAATGAGTGGCTCTCAGCCACTTCGAATGCCGAGAAATTGTTAGTTCAAGCTACCTCAATTGGAAGCAAGGATGGTACTTGTCGGCAAGTACAGCAAGGAACATATCTTCACTACGATATTCACAGTCTATATCATGCAAAAACCACGTTCTATCAAAAAGAAAAAGCTCAAACAAGTGACGTAGTAAAAGAGACTTTTAGTAAAGAAACTGCTGGAGTTCTAGAATATTTTTGACCATTCTAACATGAAACTCGCAGTAGAATACCTCTACATACAGTATATGATGTCCCTGAGAATCTTCCTCCCGACCAAAGCAATATTCACTAGCTTCATGAGAGACCCGTATTGGCACTTGTTCCATGTGAGTGAGGCTAGCTCAGTCTCTTTGGTGGCGGGGGGGAGGCGGGTTCCTTGTACCGGATGATTTGTACCAGCTCTGCAAGGCTGCCTCGCTTTGATACAATGCACTCTTGATTTTTTAATGTGAACGTAATTTCCCAAACTCCTGGGACAACAGGAGAGAAATCTTGAAGACGTCCTTCAAGATTATCCATGTTGGTTCCTGAGATCGAGATCAAACAATTCCGGGTGAACCCAATGGCAAGTCGAATTGCACGACCTTCATCCGTCTCGTAAACGCCAGGAGAGCAAAGCCTCATCCGCATGGCGTGTAGGAGGAATTGGAGCTCTTCGTGAAAGTGGTCGTCATTACTGGTCATCTTCTTGATCACAATAAACACTTGCTGAGGTGCAAAGTCATCGCGTTTGGTATCGAACATGGCTTGACAGAATAGAAGAATCTCTCCCGGCGGATAGACAAAGGTCCTGCCCTGGTATTGCTCTATCCTCAAGATGCCAACTATTTCTGATTAGTGGGAGTAGACAATCAACCAAGATAGAGACGTGCAAACCTTCGAAATTGTCTAAACATAGCCATTTATTAGCTCCAGGAACATGCGCCATGCTGTACTGCAAAATCGCATTTAACATTCGGAGAATGGAATACTCGACACTGAATCTTATTCTTATATCTCCAGAAAGTGGTTAGAACAAACTCAGTACGGATTCATGAAGAAGCTTATTAGGAAGCAAATATTCTCATTGATGTTATTAATCCAATTGCTCGAATTCTTCGGCTTGATAGCAATAGCAGATCACTTCCGTTTGAGTATGCAGAGTAACTATAATCCACAGGATACACTTTAGCCCCAAAATACAAATGGTGAGCATCCACCGCCAAAAGTACTTCAGATTCCCTGCTAACGCATTCTTCAGAAGAGTGAGGAAAATCTGCACCGTGCTCTGGTCGACTTTACCGCCAGTGGACTCCGCTTGTGAGATCATAAGCCTACTAGGTGATGTTTTCTTCAGGAGGGTAAAGGGTATTGTGCTGTGTACATTGCCATACTCTAGTTCACAGAGCCAGAACTCTCCATTCTGACTCCTGTTCACAACACGTAGTCCGTCGCTGCCACGTATTGGTTGCCATTCTGCGTCGGAGTAATGTTGCAGGGCATGAAAAAGTATGCACCAGAAGTATCCACCACGGTCGAGAAGAAACGAGATTCCGACCAAAGAACCCTTCATCTCCTCCATTGGGATATTGAACCTCCAGCCCGTCGCCTCCATAACCAAACCTTCCTCATCTTGCTGCCTGATGTGGAAGGCAGCATCCCATGGCTAACAGTTCAGTAGATTCCTCTATCAGTGATCAAGATCTTACCTCTGATTTGGCGAGAGATAGAAAATGAATGGATGTGGAAATGCAGCTGCGCAGCTTCTCCATATTTTCGGTTGGTAGAGGGACAAAACGCCTATGAGAAGTCGGTCGTGTCTGAGAGGCGTAAGGCTTGTTTATATGGTCTTTAGGTATACCCCTGTCTCATTCGTCGTGGCACTTGCCAATGCTAACTTGCCCCTTTTCCTTCCTCTCCTCCCCAAATGGATGAAGGACTCTGTGGTAGGGTTAATTGGACCGAAGCCAGCGGCAATCGGAGCGAAACAGTAGACAAGCAGTTCATGAGGGCGTTCCAGCAAATTACTGCCTGCATTTTGAAGGCGCTCCTAGAGCTTCTGCTTGCATACCTCCTCGCCCTGCTCGCCTTTGAATTCTCCCTTAGAAGCATGCAGCTGCGATTTTCACATGCGGACTTGATTTCGCTTCCTTGTGCACCTGAACCGATTCAGACTATTCTCTTCTCGGCGACACTCTTGCTCTGACAAGTGTATCGCCCAGAGTAGGAGAAGTATCTGACCTCTACCGAGTCTATTCCGTTCCCGTACTCTAGCACTGACAAGTGCATAGCCGGAGTCGAAAAGCATAGTTTGACCTTTATCAAGAAGGGAGGAGAGCACGTGTTTAGCACCATGCAGTGTGCAAGGGAAGCTGTGCAAGAACTGTCCGCAGAAGAAGTTCACAAAAAAAAAACGGTCAAATAATGGGGTATGGCAGCATATTAATAATGCATGAAGAAACTTCCACCGCCGAAAATATGAAATCTCATGTGAACCAGGTTCTAGGAGGCTCTGTTCATTCAGCCGCAACTTGGATCCTGGGGTAGAGAGGACAGTTACAGAGACCTAGCAAATCAAGTCGCCGTAATACTATACTATATTCTCACTCGGGCTATTTTTTCGCTACCCATTACCCCAGTACCACAAGGCGAATAGTCCCTTAAGCAAGGCCCGGCGTCTTGAATACACTCCAGGACCATTTGTTTGAGTACCTCCTTGCCCTGTTTGCCTTTAAATTCGCTTCGGAGCATAGAACCGCGAATTTTACATTGGGACAGGATTTCGCTTTCTTGTCCTTTTCTGTCTAACTTGATCCAGTGGGAGAGGGCCGATTTATTCGAGTTTGACAATACGGGTTATCGCTCGAAACTGAACAGTTCAGGTAAAGCATATTCGTCCTCGATGGCCGTATCGTTGCATGGCGTAGAATGGTTCTGGAGGAAAGATGGTGGTGCCATTCGTAGAAGATCAGGCCGATTGGGTGGGAGAAGGCTGACTGGTACTGAAGGAAGCGAGCTTAGCATACCATTCCCTGTAAGTTGAGGTAATGCAGTAAGTAGTAGCTAATTAGATAACGTACTCAAATATGATATGGTTCAGAACATTCAGAGCCCATGAAAACCCCAGGAAATCAGCATCTAGCTCAGCAGGTCTGATAAGTAATAAAGAAGCGAAGTGTCGTCAACGGTTTATTTGCAATCATGGAGAGTGATCGCCTTGACAAATTTGTTTGAGTTTTCAACAAAAGGTATCTCCCAGAATAGAAAAAGAGCATGCATCTGACTATAAACGATGAGACCGTGACTTAGTGCAGGCTCGTTATAGGCAAACTGGCAAACCCTTCTGCGGCCTCATTTAGTAGCGTTACGCATACTAAAATGGGGTCGTAATATTGCAGTCATTGAGGCACGGCCCAGTTCTAGCAAGAGTATCGGGTTGTGGTATACATGTGCAATTGGACGATCTATCACCTTCAAATATGCGTGTGTCCACCAAGAATTGGCAAGATTGGCAGGGAGGGCGACGGCAGGCCAATAAACTAACTGATCTAGTCTAGAGATTTACAGTTTGATCTACATTTCCAGTTTACTGTTGTATACAGCCCAGGTGTTATTCAAAATTTATACAAGATCTCCCATTACTCAGATGAATTGAATCAATTTGAGTCGATATCTATAGTTATGTCAAAACAGGGGAGAACCCCTGGTCTAATTAGATCTACTGCGAATGCGGTGGGCAAATGCGATAGTGTGTGGACCAATGAATGCCCGAAATCGAGATTCTGCCCGTCTACAAAATGCTGACTAAGTGTTATGTGGAAGTAACTTACCTGTAAAGTCCGCCGCCGCGTCCGATCCCTGCTGAGACTATTCCCTTCTCGGCGATAGTCTTGCACTGACAAGTGTATTACTAGAGTAGGAAGAGATTTGCATAGGAAATTGTTCGAGAACTGTCTGCATAAGAAGCCCACGAAAAACCACGGCCTACATGAGGTAGGATATACAGGGTTTAGAGTATGAAAAGCGGTATTCAGAGGCTTCTAGCTGCCATCGAACATCTTCATTTGCTTGGGCTCACCCGTAACGACATTAACCCTGCCAACTTTTTTCCCCGCGAAGAGAGCACACTTATTCTCATCGACTTCGATAGCTGTCGATACATTGAGAAGTTCCTGCGTGGCACCGAAACAAAGAGAATTCGACACTGGCACGATGCTAGTGTGGACGTTTCCACCGAGAAGAATGACACTGATACATTTTACAAACTTGCTGACTGAATCAACATTTAGTAAACTCAATTTCCTTTGAACGCTTGCATATAGAATACTATCACCAAGCGAGTTATCTGATGTCCTATACTGACTCTGTTCAGTGAAGTGTTTCCTTTTTTACTTATGGAGAAAAAAAATGATATTCCCACGTTTCTTGCATTCTTCGCCTTATTCTGCCATTTGATTTTGTTTTCAAACACCTCATTGTAGTTAGGCTAGAGCAGTGGAGTGTCCCCCCTAGCGTTCCCATGTTTAAAAAACGTACACCATTTCAAGGCTACAGACAGAAGTTTGTTGCTTCTTCAATTTATGTAGGCTCGCAGAAGAACTGCAGGCTCAGAAGGAGACTAGCCACTAGCGCTGTGTGGACGGAAGCTATGTGAGGCTGCACGGTCCTGCCAGATTGGCTTACTGCCTCGCATTGGGAACAACAGGGGCAGCAGCCTACTCCGCTCATTCTCCGTGGCCTTGGGTGGTCTGGTTTGCAAGAAAAATTAGAGAAGTTTGCCCAGCATGCGCACTGTCTGGCTCGTGAGCGCAAGATTCGGATAGAGGGGACTTCACAAGCACTCAACCTTCGAATATCTATAAATATGGCTCAAATACCCTCGATAGTTCATTCACCACGTCCAAACATTCCAAACCAGCACCTCAACCTGTCAATATTGTTCACTCCCGTCAATAATGTAACCTTTCTTCCTTCCATTCGGTAACTCGAGCTTTTGTTGACTCTATGGCAGGACCTCCTATATCCCAGAAGCTTACGAATCGATGCCATCCCTTCGGGAGGCTGCCGTCCAATTCAATGAAAAGCAGGCAAGGAAATCGTTACTTGGCCCCATAAGACAGCTCTTTCTCGACACCGGAATGCATGAACGGTATGGAGTCAGTCTGCTGCACAAGCATTTTCCGATGGAGACCAATCAGCGGCTTGTGGACCTCCGAAACATCTCTTCACCGTGGACTGTCAACGACAGTGATGTCGTGGTGCCCAAATATGAAGGCTTCGTCATTCCGCGGACTTTCAGGTTCTTGAAGGGAGTTTTGTCTCCAGTTGAATTTGATTTTTCGCCGTGCTCGTCTGATAAAGACGCTGGTCATGATTTTGATTTCCTTGCCGCGGTTTCGGTCCTTCTCCACCAATACGGTTTAGAGAACGTACTTGGCGTGCGTTCTCTAGACAGACATGACCCGGAGTTATCTGTGGAGGTCACCGAGGGCAAAACCAACATCATGATACAACGTGGATCGGTCAATGACTCGGAGCTCATCGAGGCGTTCTGGGTTTTTAGCACTGACGATGACGATCGGTGCCATTGCAGAGAGTACTGCTTTAAAGACTCGGAGGGAAATCATATCGATAACCATGGATGTTCCTGAAGCTATCTATAGGCAACCACGAGCTTCTCGTTGTTAAATCATGATGGCCCATCTTGATTATTCATCCTTTTAGATGCAACTGTTTTGTCGATAATTGCTACGTCAATGAGGCTGTCAAGGATCTGGGAATTCCAACAAATACTTTGCTTTCATTTTCATTTTCACAGAGCCAATTAGATGTTTTTCCTAAGACTAAGGCCTGAAGTCCTCAGCATGCTAGTAAAGTTTCCATGCTTTGTTTCGACAACACCAACTGCTCTGAATCCGTATTTAGAGTATAGTGGAATACCAGCAGGCGAGGACAAAACAAAGGCGTCTAGTGTATTTTCATCGACATAATCACAGAAAAACTTCATGAGCATAGACCCAACACCTTGACGTTGATGGTTTGGATCCACAGCCATAAAAGTAATTCCTAATGGAGACAGGTGAGCAAGGCCAAAAAAATCCTAAGTTGACTGATGACTTACGGCATATTCCAATATCTTGATAGCTCTGAAGAACTCTCTGTCTCTCTTCTCTGAGCCTTTTGGAGATACCAAGCCACGAAGTTACATCCAAAGAGGCAGGGCTAAAGCTGTTCCGGTTCTTCAACTTTGCCCCTTGCCTCCCTCTAGATTTAGCGACTGGACCACTATACACGCAATCCCCTCCCTTCACTCCCTTCACAGATGCTCTTGGACTAATAGTCCAGCCTATCAGCCCGAGAGGTGATCCATCTTCTCCACATGCCTTGTATAGAGATTCGTCGTCTTGATAAACTGTCTCAAGAAGCCCATCAATCGTCCATCTGATTTCGTCCTCTTTCTGCTCCCACTGTCGCTCATCTGGGCGCGGGAACATCAAGAGATAGAGTAGGTTATCTTGATGTGCAGGAAATTCGACTTTTCGCACGAGCAAATCCACGTCCTCGACTTGGACGGGCGATATCGAGCATGCCATGTTGTTGATTGACAAAACAGAATATGTTGGAGCGCACAATACGCAATGTCATTCTAGCCCTATAGAATGGCCGGGGAGCAAAGTAACAGGTTTCCGGTACCGTGAACCGACACTGCGTAAGTCGCTTCCAGGAGCGAAGTCGTACGGTATTTATTCCATTCAGCTAACAGTAGGCACGGAAAATATTAGTTCCTGCGGTTAGTAAGCAAGAGGGTTTGACTAACGTAATTCCCGCATGACCGGGTCACCCGGTTGAGCGGGTCACCTACGCCCATTAGAAAATTTCAAAATCGATTATCTCAACCAACGCCTATTAATTCAACTAAATATAGCGATTTTTACATGAATTGATCCTGTGGCCAATCTCCCTACACCCACTACACCTAGGCGGAGCCCTAGTAGCCGGCCTATCTGCCTGAATAGGCAATTCGCCCTGCGTATGCGATTCTACCACCGGCGCTTCTGCTAGCAAATCTAGCTGCGCAACTAGCTGTAGGCCCTCCTCAATAGTCAAACCCTCTTCGCAGGGTATCTGCTTATGCGACCGATTGCGCTTCTTGACGGTCTTCTCATTCGCTGCGCGTAGATTCGCGTTATCCTGCATAACTAATACGAGGGTGTGTAGCGAAAGGTAGTGGCCCTTGAGAATCTGATCTACCACTAATTTGAACGGGCTTGGAGGGCTTTTTGACCGCCGATCTAGTAGATCCTTCATCATACTAGCTTGCTTCTGTAGCTAAGCTACCGTTCTAGGCGTTTTTGGTGTGAATTAGCTAGAACTGCTGCTTGGCCGGCTGTTTGGTGGTGACGGAGTTCGTAGAGAGATATTAAGCTTCGAGAGCACTCTTTCTGCATCAATTGGCACTAGGCCACTAGCTGCGAAGCTATTTTGAACAGTGCTTGATTGGTAGGCTTCCTGCCGCGCGCGTTGGTAGTCTTCTAGGAAATCGAATTTATCGATATAATTATATCCTCTACGCGCAAGATCGCTTACGAAGCGACTATACGCGCGCTTTAGTACTGCAAAACAGCCAAGATCTAGCGGTTGTAGTAGATGTGACGAATGCGCAGGCATACAAAGAGGTATAATATCGTTTTCTGCGTATAATCGGTCGAATTGGGGCGTAAGGTAGCTACCATAGCCATCAAGAATTAGTAGCCGAAATCGACCACGTACACGCGAATTCGTTGATGGGATAAATAGCTTTTCTAGCCAGCGTAGGCCAATTTCATCGGTAGTCCAGCCGTTATTCGAGACCTCAAATCGCCAATCTTTTGGTAGGTTATCAAACCAACCCGCAATAGCAACTTTAGCCTTAAAGATCACGCATGGCGGTAGCGAATAGCCATCTGCGCAAATTGCTTCGATAGCAGTAACCCATTCGCGATTTCCTGGCTGTAGTATCGATCGCCGACCGTAGTATTCAGCTCGCGTAACTACCTTCTGCGTAGATATAAGACCCATTGCAAATCCGGTCTCGTCAAAGTTGTAGATATCCTCCGGTTGTATACCGTTCTCATCGATAACGCGTTGTACGGTAATAAACCACTCTCGTAGCGATTTTGGGTCTTCATTTAGTGCGCGCTGGTAGTCGTATCGCCTAGAGAAGCGTGATCGAATCTCTTCGCGTCGATTTATAAAGGTTGATGGCCAATTCTTGCCAACTGTAGGCGGAGGGTAGCTACCGCGCGCAGCGAGTAGGATATTAGCCATTTCAGCTACAGTAGCTGGCCTAGGCGCCGCTCCACGCGTATCCATAGAGATAATCCAATCAACAAGCGAATCCTCTTCCAATTCGGTCAATTTAAAGCGACTTGGGCGCTTATCAACGCGTGCAATTCGGCCGTGGGCGCGTGCTTGTAGTGTAGAGAAGGGTATTTCGTATAGCGTTGCTGCTGCGCGTAGAGATTTGATTCGGCCATTTTGAACATCATCAAGGGCTAATAGGATCTTGCCCTCTTGATTGGCCAATTTCTGCGAGGATTCAGTGCGAATTGGTGGCATGGTAGGTGGTTGAAGTTAGTATGTAGGTAGGAAGACGCGATTTTCGATGGGGTGACCCGCTCAACCGGGTGACCCGGTCATGCGGGAATTACGTTAAGTAACTTTTAAGTGGAGCGTTGGCTTGGACGAATCGAATCACTATCGCCAAAGTCGCTTTCATTCTCTTCCACATTAGCATCTTGAATAAAACGTAAAGTGATGCTATATTGAATAATATTGAATAGGATACTCGAGAATAATCTACGAAATTGATCACCTTCGGAGGCTCGCTCATAGAATAATTGAGGAAAAATCCATGTCATCAACACGAAGATGATGCTGATTCCCCCTAAAAGGACTGCTTTCCATGCTGACTCCTGCTTACCCCTCTTCCCAGTGAGCGAATATGATTCCATTGGCACAAGGCTCACGGCGATCCTGGAGCACTGGACAATGCACGTGACTTGGCGGTCTCAAAGTTCCTGAGGAATTTAGCCCCTTCGATTGCTGTAACATATTTCTTACCACCCAATGTTGAATTTTTGCTCCAGTTAATTCGCCCAGCGTACCACCTGGCAGACCAACTTGCCGTTTCTCTCGGAAAAGACTTGTGCTCTTTTTTGGCTTACTTGGTATTCAAATAACCGCTCCCTTTTCCATCGCAATCACATTATTTCAATCACGCTCTTCGCGTCAATGTATATCATTATATTGTGCTGACCCGATTATTTACACGCTAATAGCTACTCGTCCGGTAGATAAGACATAGAACCCGTGAAGTGCCTCTCGTCGCAGATAAAGTCTACCTTGATACCTGGAAAATACCCATTTCAAGGAGGAGAAACATCCATTACCGTGCTACCACTCCAATATGCAGCAGATGCACTTAACGTGGCGCCAGAGTAGGACAGTGGCGGTATTAGTCCAGCATCGGAAACGCCTATGACCACACTTCCCTCCCAATCCGTATCAGACACACCTAATGGATCCAAGAGCCCTGCAAAGGCACCTGAAGTATCCATTATATTGCCATTCTCGTTTCCGCCTGGAATGGGTCTATTCCCGAATTCGGTGTTAGGAGTTCCGTAGGGAATGTCCTCACCATTGAAAATACCACAGCTAGCAGTTTGAGCTGAACCTTGGATTAAAGAGATTTGAGTATCAGAGTCTTCAAACATATGTTGTGATATATTACTGAAAGAGGTTGAGGTTTGAGTAGTATGCACCAGAGGGTAATCTTCATGGACCTGGAAGATTGGGATCTGCTGCGTTTCCTGCGCTGTTCGATACAAAATCAGCAATCTTCCGGAATACTCAAATAAGACCACTCACGCGAGTAAATTTCAGGGATCGAGTCTTCAATCGCCTTCCATAGCGTGTTCATCAGCGAACTTGCCAATTCTTCAAGCTTCAGTGCTTCATTTGGATCGTAAATCAAGTTAGTTTTGATTTCCTGAATCTCCTCAGTGCGGGATTCGCCGTCCAAATTTAGCCTTGTAATTCTTGAATGAAAAACAGTCAGCGTCTGGAAAGCACCTGTCTCCTAGATAAAGCGGCCGGTGGAAGCTCACCTCGTATCAACGACCTTATTCAAGTAAAAAAGGTTTCTCAGGTGGGAGTATCTAATGCCTTGGATACTTCCAATTTCTCGGCATAATCCGTCAATCCTATTTCCTTCATCCAGCCATTTCGTGATAGTTTTAATGTCACAATCTTCGACAAGGCCGGATCGGGATATAATCTGCGCAATATTCTGAACACGATTGGAGCGTAGTCGTTGCACGCCCAATCTTTCCCTCAGGTGATGAAAAAGTACCTTTAAGAGCCTCCCTCGGATTATATCCAGGGCAGCCCGCTTTCCAAGCTTTATCAAATACTTGTATGCTTCAGCAAGAGGCTCCTCCTTCAAGCTGAGCCGAGCTTGGTCTTCTTTGAAGAATGAAAGAGGATTATCTGTCCAATCCGACGCTTTGGCCATGAGGCCTGGAAGAACAACATGTTTTGACTGATTAGGGCTTTTGATCTTTGGACATTTTCTAGGGCGATCATTTTCCGGCAGTTGATTCTCGATCCCCTGGTTTCCATCGGTAGATCTTTTAGCAATATAAGTCCATAATTGCTGAACTGATTCGATGAACTTCTAGATATTAGCCCGTACTAACATGTTGAAAGTTCGTGAACTAACCTTCGCGTTGGAGAGCTTCACCTCAACTTTGGGATATCCAGATCGTTTTGCTTCGTCGTACGCCTCGGAAAGGACGTCTATCACCAATTTGCTTTCCGTAAGTCCAATTGTGATTGTATGTGGGCTCATTGCAATGGACAAAGGCTGGTGGGAGAAACTCCCGTCTCTGTAGACTACGTTAATCGTGTTCCTATAAGATCAAATGACATATCTGACTGTGGGGGACCAAGTCCTCCCAAGCGTTCTTCGATTTCACGAAAAGCCGAATCTGCCTCGGTGCTATGAGTTTGTAGAGCCTCAATTGGCGCATTGCGTAGTAATTTGAGAGCCGAAGGTATATCCATGCTCAATATGACAGAGGGATGAGGAGGAACGGACCGTTCAATTTTAGCTCTCCGAGAGGTGCCTGAGTTTGGTAGAAGTTTGGACGTTCTTTTATGAAATTGAAATTATCAAGAACAAAACGAGCAGCAGACACATTATATTGGGTCGGTGAATGCTGGTTAGGTCGCAGTGGCCAGTAATTGGATCAATTTAAATTGACAAAAGTTAGTCAAACGCAATGGCCACACTTTTGCAGATGATAGTTCGATGTAGTTCAACACTTAATCCAGTATGCATCACAAGTCCGTGTAAGTATAAACACAGAATCGTGATACATGCCTCACTCAGGTGTGCTATTACTTAATAAGGAAGGCCAACTGATTTGTGCTTACTTCCAGATGGGGAATAGTGTGAAAATGACCTCAGTTCTAGTCACGTGATGACTCTCACGTGGGTGACCGTTTCGGATGGACGTCATTTCATCAGACCCCACCTCCTGCCAAACCCCTTTCGCAACAGAACTTATTATTTAAATACAGGGCGCATTGCGTATCGATGGCTACAATCGATCAGACGTCGGACTCAACTTATCAAGACGAATTTACCCGAGATGGATATATATTCGAGAAAGATCCAGAGGCGGGGCAAAGAGTCGAAGAGATGGAAGCAGCCTGCATTCCTTTCGCTTCCCAGGCAGGGTTGCAGTTCTACAAAACCAACGTCCTTGATGATCCGGTATCTCCTGTACTAGCTATTCTCTTGCATTTGAAAGCTGACTTTGCAAAGCGGAAGCGACAGGTTCTTGATTCCTGTTTCCAGTGGTTTGGACTAGGGCTTTACCGAACTTTTGGCTCCATGCCCGGTTGCGATTATGCTTTTCGACAGAGCGATTTGTCCTCAAAGACCGAATCGCTATTGATACAATTTTGGAAGAAGGGCTCGAAGGTTACATTTTGGAAAGGGTCACACCATAAGCAAATCACCACTATGAAGGGAGAAAATAATTTGTGGAGAGCGCCTCGCGTAGCACTCACAAGGCTGGGCCTTGAGCCTGTTCACGTTATATTTGAGAATGGGGGTTTGTAAGTGGAATGATTATTATCCTGGTGGCATATGTCTGACTTTGCAATCAGTTCTATCCGCGACACCCGCCTTTTTGTTGAAGTATCGGAAGGAAATGCTATTACATTTGGAATCGCCTCGAAGGACGTCTTAGAAAAGTGGTGGGCTCCCATGAAACTTCCTCGGCCCCTCCAGGCAGTAGTCAAGAATATGGAAGGACCCAACTATGGCATGAACGTTACATACTTTGATGGCAAGCGTGAGTCTGGGGCTCTTGGTTTCAGCTCACCGCCTGATTAGCTCGTTCGTCATCGGATGTTGTCAAAGCTCACTGGTCCTCAAGTGGCTCTGTTAGATAAGTCGCATTTTGCACCGTTGACGAAAATGCATATGACTCTTGTACCAAATCATAGCACGGCGTGATTGTGATCTCATCAAATATCGGCGCATATGGCTGAGGTCCCAAACTATTGTATGGTTGTTGCATGTGCTCAACAGAGGGATTATGTGATGAGAGTGTCGTATTAGATAAAGCTGTTGACGGATATGAGGGCGGATTTAAGGTATGTGGCATAATAAAGGGTGCTTGCGCTGCAGCCCGCGCGCCGAGATGTCCTATGTCAGCTATTAATATTATCCTGTAACCAACAGAGAGTTCAGTACCGTCGGCTCCCTCGTTGTCTAAAGTGCTTTCTCCCACAAGCGAAATGTTTCCCTTCTGTAGTTTTCGAGGGCTGTTTGTTTCAGCATCCCAATATTCAGTGCCTCGTTTATTGAGACGCCTGCTGTGATGCTTTTCACTTGCAAGCATCCGACTCAATTTCTCGGCAGAAATTCGCTTAAGTTGGGCACATCGTTCTTTTCTGTAAAAGTCTCTAGCCTCGTCATTGGCTTTTTGTTCCATGAGGCACCTGTGGCGTCTGTAACTTCGTGTTTGTTGAAACAACTGACGACAGTAGATACAAATTTCGTGGCATTGAACATCTGAAGAGTGTAGTTAGCACCGGAATTTGTCGTTCCATCAAAGTCTCGTACGTGACTCAAAATGGCGTTCAAGATCCCATCGCTTCAGAAAGCGTCCGTTGTGTCTGCATCTTGGGTAAGGGCAGTTCGTTGAGGAGAAATTCAAGTCCTCATCGTCCTGGTTGCTCGAACTGACATCATCTCTATCGTCATCATGGTCCCTGGTGTTTGAGAGGCTAGAGCTCTCGTCCCTTTCGTCGTCGGTATCCTGGTCACTGAAAATCGAATCGGGTTTGTGAATAGCCGCCTGTAGATTTTCAACTCCTCGTGTTTGGTGTTCGCGAGGCAGGTGTGCTTGAACTTCAATCAGCCGTGCACTCAGGAGCTGGAATTCCAACTATCCGGCGAGTCAGCAGATATACTCAAGAGAGTCTCAACTTTACATGCCTGATAGTCTGCAATATGATTGCGGAGTTCTTGTTGTGTCTCAAACGAATTGAAACATGTCTGGCACTGAGATTTTTTAATCGCTTTTTTCTTCCCAATTCTCTGACTTGGATCAAAAACAACAAATCGAGAGGGATTCTGCATCCTGTGAGGTGTGTGAAGAAAGGACGTGTGAACAGAACCACTCGGGCGGGGATGTCTTGAGCAAACTGGAGCACTGGCCATCGGGAGCCACGGATTGGGCGGCCGTGTTGGGTATCAGAATTGGTACTATAAATTTCCGCTCCCTTTCTTTGAAACTTCACCATTCCACGATCATCACACCATCCTGTCTCTCTCTTTCCTACAAAAGAATATCAAACTCTTCCAAACAGAAACCATGCCGTGCTCTGAATGCAATGACAAGGGAATGGTTGGCACATCTATATGTACCAAGTGTAATGGTAACGGCGGAACCAAGAGGAGTATTACGAAAAATATTTCTGAAAAGAAATGCAGGAGATTATGCCTGGTCAATGTCAAGTGCGTTTTTTTATTCCAGCCTTCTATTCCCTCCCACTTGGTGAAAATACTTATAATCCTCAGTGACAGATAGGTGTTTATTCCAAGGCTCCTTGAAATGAGTGTCGAAAATGGAGGATACATGGCCAGGGTAAAAAAGTCATTGCCTTGTGGATGATGCGCGAATTGCATGCATATTCATTCTCCTCAGAAACCGATCCATCTTGCACACCATTGTCTCGTGATATGTTGGCAAAACCTGGTGAGGTGGTATGACCACGTTGGCGGGTAGAAATGATCCACGCCCGTGCCGCTCTGAAATTCTGACATTGGCCGCTTCAATCACCTCACTCCATCACTGACGAGTGTAATGGCCAATGACAAGGAGCACACCACAAAACCCCTGTCATGGGGCGCACCACAAATGTACAAGATAGGAAATTTCTCGAGATTGATAAATTACCAATATCGGTAATAGCACGGAAAGTGTTCGTAATCATATTAGGCAGTAGCCCAAGACTGTGCGCTTCTGCGCATTCCCTGGCCAGAGGGATCGCGAACGCTCAGCGCTTTGACGCAGGGATGACTCAGAAAATTCGCGGAGTAACTAGTGCTCAGACCTTTCCCCGATACTCAGCTCTAAGCAGCCAATGGCATGTTCCCAAATGTGTTCACTGCAGATATATAATGAAGACAGTTCCTGGAATAAAATATAGTTAATTAGTTAAATATAGAGAAAGGGCTGGCGTTTTAGGGCAAGAGAAAAGCTCTCAGCGTTTGTGGTAGTCACATGATGATGCGCTGACTAAAATTTTGGAAGGGTCAGGTTGTTAAGACGGGAGTGGCGGGGTGACGACCGAAATCTTGGAGGATGATCTAGACCAGACAATATCTAACTTCGTGCATTAGCATGACATACGGCCCATGCGTTGCATGTGGTACCCCAATAGTATGATCAAGAGAATGCCAATCCATGCACGCACCGAGACGAGCCATATCGCCGCGGCAGCAAACGATTAGACAGAAAACTATCCCGCCAATTAATCTCGGCAGCACATGATAACAAACTATTGGATATCATTCAATGTTGGAAGGCAAGGCTGACATGATTGTCCGGTTGGGACAGGCAAGTGCAGGTAGTCATACCAATAGCCGATGATGCCTTGGACATCTCCGTTTCCTACATTATTCTAGGCATTATTACTATGCCGCGCCCCCGGGGGAGGGGGTTGGTTTAGGATGGCTTTCCAACGTACCATGCTAGCCTAGCTTTTGTTAATCGGCGTACAGAGTGCCGTGCGATGCCTGTGCATACTGTCGAGCACCAGGTATCCAAGACATAACTTAAATCCGGTAGCCTAGCCGCTTCCCTCCACAACACCAGTTCAACTGCACAGTCACCTTCCTTGACAGTATTCTGGTGAGTTTGAAGCGAGGGACTTGAGGATCTAAATAAAATATTGACGATTCGATAACTTTAGAATTCCAAATGCCCGAGAAGCATGAAGCAGACGAACCCAAAATCGAAGAGGCCATAAAGGTGGATGTCAAGTCTCTGCAGCAGATTAGTTCCTCGGGTAGAGCAGCACGACGCAAGAGAGAAGAGAATCATGCTGAGAAGGCCTTCAGTGCATTAGATGCAGCGTTTGAAAAACACCTCAAAGAGGGAAACGAAGGTGCACAGCAAAGCAGGCCTGGACACTGAACCTTACCGGGTCACAGATGGGGGGGGGGGGGGGGGGGGGGGAGGAGCCATCTACGATGCAGTCACTAATCGGATGAGCGAAAGCGAAATAGTTGATGTATTGGCTGTTAAATCGAATGAAGTTATATGCACGATTCACCATCAATACTGCCCGCTGCAAAGGCTAGTTGAAGGTCTTGGTCATATTTCCTCTTATCAGCAAGCTTTGTCGCCACAAACTTCCCCACGTCCTTTCCCCAGTAAAAGGGCATTATTTCACCCAGATCATCGGAGCGATGCTTGGACAACTGGGGCTGAATATAGTCGTAGAATAGTCTGAACAAGCCGGTCGGGCTGGAGAGGGCCAGGGAATACCAGAATGTTCCAGTCGCCCATGCCTGTTCCATGATCTCAGATAGTCGCAACGGTGTTCTCGCTACGTCTTTGAGAAGGGTCTCGCTGAAGTTTTCTGCCTCTTCAGCACGCATGACAGTCATCATTTCCTGCCGAAGTTTGTCATATTCGTCGACATTGATTTCATCCACACCTTTATTAGTCAACCAGTAAGGAGGTTCGACCATTTCAACAGGGCGTGAGCAGGCCCATTCAAGGTCGACCAGGCATGTGATATGCCAGTTTTTATCAACAAAGATGTTGCTTTGATGGAGGTCAGTTAACGTGAAAACAAAGGGTCCACGACGCAGATTTCGACAGAAAAACAATGGAAGTATTGTCCGCATTGACGCCAGCGCTGACATCTGATAGCCACAGTCTTGCACATTATTCACTGCATTGGGTTGATTCCGCAGGCGGCTATCATGAACCGCCAGGATATCTGTCACGTAAGACTCCACAGTTGAATACGTAAAGTCACGGGGTAGGTCGGTCGGGATGTTCTCGTTTTCCAATTCCTGAAGCTCCATCGAAAGCGGGCGATTAGTCAGGGTCAAAAACCCCTTCCTGTCTATGATAAAAGACCCAATACGGGGCAGAGGCACTCTGCTGATACTGAGCATGATCCGAGACAAGTCTTTAAAGAGACTGCTGCGCAACTCGATGTCATGTTGCTTTTCAGACCAGGTATTCGACAGCATTGTCCCCTGTGCTTCCTCAATGAACTCTATCAATAAATATCCCGCATATCCTAATCGGCCTATTTCCCGTTCGGACTGGTTTGGATGACGGACATAATTTGAACGTGTCGGGAAGCGAAAACAATAGCGCAGCAAACGGCGTAGGTACTCAGAGCAACGACTGAAAAGAGGCAGGTGGTCAATTTGCGTGAACTATATTCCGGGAGTTAGATACCGGTTCTTCTGCGAAGAAAAAATGCGGTTGGGTTCATACCGTTTCACCTGATGATAAGGCAAACCCGTACAGTCGAGGAATTGGAATCTCTGGACAATTTTGTTGGAGCCAAGCGTAGGTGCCGGCTTCACATTGGATCTTTTCGTCCCCATTGCCTGGTCTAAAATCGTCTCCGACTCGATATGGAAGAGGGAATCGCAGTATGACACGTTTTCCCGGCTGCTGTCGGCGTTGCCAGTTAACAATAGTAATAGGAACACAAACATTGAAGCTGCCGCGGAACCAGTCTTCGATCTTTGCAATATGGCACACCTCGGTCGAATCCAAGCTCAAATGATGAGCAACAACATCTTTCATCCAATCGCGTCTAATATCAAGATAGGAGAAGAAGCGCTGCTGTCGGTCGAAATACCCTAGCTGATGAAGGATATTCACCTCCCGCTCTTTGGCGAGAGAAATGTGAGTTCCTCTCCGGAGAAGACGACGCGTACGGGTCATATAGATATAATGATCTGAGACTACCGACTCAATTTGTATCTGTCATCTCGCCGCGACGTCCGCCCCTGAAATTGGGGGAAACGCAGCTGAGAAACGCCGAGTTCGGGCGGACAAATATTTTTCCCGACAGCTCTAGAAAGTGAGACCAAACATGTTTGTTAGTGCATCCAAAGGGCAGCTGCAGCTACAACGCTCTGTATACCGCCTTGTTTCAAGGCCATTAAGAGATTGTCAAACTGCTTTTAGATAAGGGAGCGGACCTCAACGCGCAAGGCGGAATCTACGGTAACGCTCTCCGCGCCGCGTCGGAGAAAGGCCATCAAGATTGCGAGACTGCTCCAAAGAAGAGGCGCTATTTCGTGGTCTTCAAAGCAGCTCCAAGCAACCCGATGAAGGAATTTCGTCTCATTAACCCCGAACCTTCTAATCAAACTCAATAATTCGTTCAGTAGCCTCCACCATAGTGCCCATGTATTGCCTATCTTCAGGCCTCATCACTCTTATCAGTTTGTCGATTCTAGGCGTGGCGCGTTAAATTCATGACAATCTGCCAATACTGCTAGGACTGGGGAGCGGTTCCTACTTAGCCCGCATCGCATTGGAGTCAAATTCTGAAAAATTTCCTAGCTGGTATCCACCACCATGCCGGGACTTCCTATTGTTTCCCCCTTATGCAATCTTCAAAGGCGGCCGTGGAGACCGCGAGTCCACTCACGGACTGGTGTACTGGGTAGATAAAACGGATCCGACCACATGTGATCCTTCCGTAAAGCCTTAGTGATCATGAACACCCATTTAGATAAGATATTGACACATATAGCCAGAGGCAACTGGCAGCCAGAAAAAGTCCCCATAAACAGGGTCGGACAAGCACCCAACAAGTAGAGAGTCTGTCAAGCCATACTTGATTGAACACCGGCGAATCAATATCTACCAGATCTCCGTAGGGGAAACATGAGCACCCAGGACCCAATAGGCCCAAGAGCATGGATCCTTTCCCTGGCCGGATACAGAGCGCCAAGCCCTTCATAGTGGTGGTCCATCTAGGAGAATATGAAAGGTTGCCATTTCAATCCAATTCTAATTGGTGAAGCACCATGCGTTTGGCGACAGGAGAGCTCTTTAATGGTAATTATTTCCATAGGAGCGACCCCTTCATTTCTCCACCTCTTCTTTGGTCAGAATCTTCACTGCGTCCTTGGAGAAGAGATAACCAAGACCTGACCAGACAGTTGTAGTAGCTACGGTGAATCTATTTTCCGTGGTCAGTAGGGCCTCTTCGACGGTCAAACCCTCTTTGCAGGGTATGTGCTTAGTTGACCGACCGCGCTTCTTGACGATCTTCTCATTCGCCATGCGTAAATTCGCATTGCCCAAGCAATGCGAGAGTATGCAGCGATAGGCAGTGGCCCTTGATAATCCGATCTACCACCAATTTCAATGGGCTTGGAGGGCCTTTTGACCGCCGATATAGTAGATTCCTCATCCGTTTCACAGGATCTAAAGATGGGTCAGGGGGTTTTGTTTATCATTAATTTAGGACACCGCAAGCTTGATATTCAATCCACGTGTGGAACTTCTATGCCTCATCTGCCTCATTCGGAATTGGATATCTCCATTGAGCATCAGCGGTGATTAAATGGTGCAAAATTCTCTGCATCAGGGCAATTGTCGAATGTTTATACTATTTAGGGTAAATAGGTGGGGCAAGCAGGTCCGGTGACCACAGTTATGCAAGTTACCAAAACAGGATGACATGGACGAATGACATGGGTCTCGGGCGTATATTATTTCTCAACACCTGTTCGCCTTACCTCTTCACTTTCCATGCTCATAATTCGAACGCAACCTCCAAAGCTGCGAAATGTCCACCGACTGCAATCTTTCAGCCTGACCATGAGAATGGACACAAAAGTTTGTGAGACTATTAGAGACGCTACCGTTCTTTTGTCTTTTCTCAATAAAGAGCCCAGGGAACCTGGTGACTCGAGTCTTGAGGAGTACGCAGCTCGACAGCCAGTTGGTGAAACATCATGCCGGAGCCTTACGTTACAGCGCGAATACGAGATAGCAGAGACTTTAGCATTTCTACTGGGCACCAGTGACGACCCTACAAAGGTAGCAGCTCTTTGTATCCAAGAAAATACAAGCTCTCCTTACCTGACGATCAGAATTGCAACAAATTCGGGGGTCAGTGATTGCCTTTTGGATCACTTCAAGGGGATGGTCAAGGCATTGCAAGAAGCGGCAAGCTGTAGTAAGTTTATCTGATGGTGAGACTGAACCCATTAATAAGGAAGCCAGCATCACAGGAGACGAGAAGAGAGATACTCAGTAGCGCCATACTCGCTCTAGATCGTGGAAAGTTGCTTTCTCGCCTAAGATCTCGACATGCCCGGGCATCTGTGCGCAATAAGGGCAAACCAACAGTTGCTTTCCAATTATCGAGAGCCACTTCATTTCTGGGCTTCGCAAAAACAGAGGAGCTAGCTAAATTTCGACAAAACAGCCAAATATTCGAGGCCCTATTCAAGAAGCTCGAGGGCTATGCTACCAACGATGTTCACGATAGCTTGGCTGACTCTATTCTACTGCAAATAATCCGGCTGTTGGACTCATTTCCGTCTCAAAATGTTTTGCAAGAAACTTTCGATCGAATTCCGAATAACTCAGGCCTATGCCCTAGTGATAAAACGAGCACTGTTCTTGCAATTGCCAAGATCCGCAGATACTGGGCATCATGTGAATTCCTTTCTACCGCTGTACGACGTTACAGACTTTTCCGCAGTATAAAATTAGCTCGAGTGGAAAGCCCGTCGTCATTCTCCTATCCAACTCTGCATGCTGAATTTCGATTCGAACGTATGCTTGTACAACTCTACCAACGCCAAGTTCTTAGTGAAATACCAGAACGGTTTTGTTACCAGAGGCTTGGTTGCTCGTTACAAGACGCGCAGAGGATATTCTTGGATAAACTAAAGGCTCTTCACCCCAAGGTTCATGCAGAGATTCAGCTTGTGGTCTTCTACGAAAATCATCCCGACATACCATCGCCCCGAGTAATATCGTCCACAAAAAGTACATGCTTTCTATGCAACCTGTTTTTGAAGCATCATGGTCGCTTCTATTCCGGACGAACGCATGGTGTTCTCTACCCAAATTGGGCGATGCCCTGTATCGATTGCACCCAGCTCTCTACCTATCAACTCGCGAGGCTTCAGGAAATTATCAGCAGACTTACACTTGATGTCGAGCAAGCACTTAGATCATCAATTTTTATTCAAAGACGACGTTCGCATCCAAATGAAAGCGTTGCGCTTTTCCCTCGTTGCTGGACAGAGTATGCCTCCTCCTGCGGTCAGCTCACAAGTTCGGTCACAACATGCGGAAGAAATGAGCAAAAACCTAGATCAGTAAGGCCTATTTCGAACGGTAATGCTGAACCGACATCAAACGATTCACTAATCCTTGAGAGGAAAGCAACCAGTGGGAATGTTGAAAAATGCGGATTACCAGATCGCTTGATCATTGAACTGTCTTCCGATTCGTCTTATCGATCTTCAACGGATATGACACATTCATCTTCGATTTCGCTTCACAGCCATTATTCCGACTCCAGCAATTCTGGTAGCTCTGTCTATTTAAGATACGGTGTACCAGTTTCTTTGCGATATTCTGCAACCCAGGACATTATGGTTTTGGCACCACAATTGTCACTTGAACTATCTTGTGCAGAAACAACCAAAGACCAGAATATAGTTGTCTGCTTGTTATGCCCTGGTACCATTCCAAAAGACCTCAAGGATTCTGTTGTTGATTTGAAAGTTATGGGCAGGGGAGAGTCAAAGATACTGAAACTGGGCAAACTACCAGAGCGCAGTTCCCGCTGTAGTCAAGTTAGCATCTATCTAAGGGTTGGAGCCACGCTGATACGATTATCATTCGATACTTGAGGAAAGAAGCGATCCTAATCGTGCGACATATCAAGAACTACCCCACTAGCTACTTTCTCTTCCGTTCCCTTCCTTAGTCTTGATACTTTCGTGGAATGCACAGGTGGTTCTCGAACTGTCCTCTTGACTCTCAAGAACTGGAACCGCAAATTGAAAAGGGTGAGATCGGGAGAGAGATTACCATTTGTTACCCACTGACTGCACGGGCCCTTTCAGTTGGATCGCTACGCGCTACCATTGGGCTACCTCAGTCCTCACTTGGAGCTGTAAATTGCTTAGTATCATATGTTCATTTCCCTGAGGTGGTTTTACTGCGGTCGGCCTCATGACTCATCTGAAAGAACAGTAAGTAACAGATGATAATCAACCCGGCATCCCTCCCCCCGCACAAGGCTATTTCTGTACCCATTTCGGAGCCTCAAGTGGAGACTCATTAGATCCGGCTTTCTTCGGACATAGCCGATCAAGAGCTTGCAAGCCTCCGAACAAGAGACGGTGGGTTGGGAGACGAGATCCGAGTTGCGAGAATTGCAGTCCATTGCCGGATATCCCAAGGCCGACAGCTCGAACTCTGAGCTCAAATAATTATAAGCCTCCAGCTCCGTTGGTGGGCAATGTAGCGATTCCAAAAGCTCTGTCATACTTGTGGGTAGCTGTGACATATATAAAAACTGGTCATCAAACAGGAGACTATCAGGCAGACAGGTCTCTGACGTCGTTATACTTTCTCCTCGCAGAGATTCAATATTTCTAGTGATAGACTTGGAGCCCTGTAGTTCGCTTATTGCCTATGCGCGGTTAGAGAGCATGGCCATCATCACAGTACGCTTATAAAGGATCGAACTAACGCTAGGCACGAAATCAGACGTGGTGCTGTAGTCCGAAGACAGAAGCAAATCAAAGTCCACTTCTGATCCAGTTATCGCTCTGCGAGCCTCGTGCGATGGTGAGGGATGCGATCCAGACGTTATGGATTCCACAAAGTACTTTAGGAGCTGGTTTTCGACCGAGAGGAGGTCTATCTTTTTCTGCAAGTCATCGAGCCGAGCGCTCTGCGCAGTCTCATAATGTTGCACTTTCTGTTCTAAATCGCGAATATACTCCTTCTGGCGCGCACGGCAATTCCGTTGATTATTACGCACTCTAGCAAGGTCCTCGGCCTAGAAAATGAAGGTCAGAGATTCCCCCACCGTTAACTCGAACACCACAGTGTATTCACCTTGGTTTTGACTTTCATCCGGGGCATTCTAGAATAGAGAGGGGCGAATCTTTCTCATAGGGTGCGTTGACCAACAAGATTTGTCGGTTGAAGATGGGGAAGATCAATCCAGAACCTTTTTGCGTTTATGAAGGGTTTAGAAGTGGGTTGGTGGAAGGTGAAAAATGAGGCTTACGTCACTACGACTTGGCTGCGCTAATCCATTTTGGCTCTTAGTTACACTGCTCAGCGAGACGGAGACGCATGATTAATAACTGGTGACATACCACTTAACCTATAACTAATGTAGACATTCCACTATGTATGGCAATATTGTTCATAATTGGCGACTAGGCGAAACCGAACAGACATTCAAATCTCCTCCAGCTCCAGGAAGTTAGTCTTTTCACCATGATTGATTTGACATTATTTTCTTCGTGAATTTCGCGGCACTATTTGGACTAGAGGCCTGAGTATTAGCTAACAATCATATTCTCATAGTGCTGGCATTCACAGTGAACTATTTAGTCAACATTTACTCAGCCGAGGGTGCATTGAAACCCACGATATGTTACTCACGAGCGATGCCGAGTTGGCACAAGGCTGTTGTTCTAGTCCAAGATCCCAACTTTCGCCATCAAACAGGCCACCGGACGGAGGGTACGGCTGGATCTGTGTGATATCATGCTTTTTGGTCAACTGCTTTACCTGGGGTGTTGTCGCAGTAAGATATACGAAACTTCTCAACAGATATGGGCTGCTGACTCTGAGGCTCTCCCAGGCGTATGGGATCTACTTAGAAAGATATCTATCAGGCTCTTTCTTTCCCGAGGCTACACCAGATGATTACGCAATCATCGGCGGACTCAATTTTTCAATGGCTATGGTTGTTGCACCAGCGGTCAACGTCGCTTCTCAAAAATATAGTACAAAAATTGCTATGCTTTTTGGCATAGTCTTGCTGGCTGTGGGGTATGTATCTGCGTCTTTTGCTGAGCGAATATGGCATCTTTATCTCTCACAAGGAGTTCTCGTTGGCTTTGGGGTTGGTTTTACGTATATTCCGACTATATCGATTATTCCTCAATGGTTTGAGAGGAAAAGGAGCCTGGTAAACGGAATATGTGCTGCCGGTTCTGGGATTGGCGGCTTGATATTCTCATTTATGAGCGACGCGGTGATTAGTAACATTTCTCTCCGTTGGTCTCTCCGTTTGACAGCGATCCTGAGCTGCTCCATCTTGCTAGCGGCGGCTTCACTAATTCGAGACCGTAACGACATCATTCGCCCAACCCAACTGGGACTTGATTTGCAATTGCTAGGCCGCTGGCAAGTCATCTTGCTGCTTATGTGGTCGTTTCTCATCATTTGGGGGTATATGATTCTGCTCTTCTCGCTGCCTGATTATGCACGGTCAGTAGGTCTTTCTGATCATCAAGCCGCGACTCTCAACGCAGTGCTGAACCTTGGGACGGCTGTTGGGCGGCCACTCATTGGAATTGCAAGTGATCATCTTGGACGAATCGAAGTTGCCGGAGTCATTACTCTGGCCAGTGGGCTGTCGTGCTTGATGATTTGGCTCCCAGCAACATCATATGCTGTTCTTATCGTCTTTTCTGTTGTCATTGGAGGCATGTTTGGTGTTTTTTGGGTGGTAAGCGATCTGCCCCGAAGTTCATAGCCTTTGACAAGAAGAATAACGGCGAAATCTGCAGACCATCGGTCCTCTCTCTGCTGAGATCGTGAGCCTTACAGAGCTTCCATCCCTCCTGTCATTATCATGGCTCTCAACTGTTCTACCCGCAACATGTGAGTTCACAAAGACCGTCCTAGAAAATTTCTGCGTTAACTGGAAAAAAAGTTTCGGAGCTCGTAGGGCTCAAGCTCCGCCGGCCGGCGAATATGAGGCCATATCTATATCCTCAATGCTTTTCTGCAATTGCATATATTTTCGCAAGCTTTTGTCTATCGGCGCTGTGGATACGCCGGCGAAAAGCCGCCAGGGTTACCACTTTGCCCGCTTGCCTGAATGACGACGGCAGTGGAGCGGGACGTTCTGGTAGATGAGGAAGAAGATCATTCCTGCAGATTGGCTCCAGTATGTTGAGTCAGCCTCCTGAACCAATCACATTAAAGCAGCCCCAAGACGGTGACACATATCTCTATATTGCCACAACCCAAAATACTTCCTGACCGAGTAAACATATGTAGTATGATATATTGAACACTAAGATACTCTAAGAGTATATACTAAGCCTTGGGTGTTGAATTATGAAGTTGTAAAATATCCTATTTAGTATGATATTTGGGGTGTTTCGAATGGCTGTGTGTTCCGAATAGCTAGGGACTACGTCAGTGAGAAGGGGATTAGTTAACTAACTACTCCGTAGTGCAGTGGGGGATCCAGTTACATTATGTAACTTAGTCGTTCCTGTTTTGCAGTCTGTTTGTCTGGTTTGTTTTGGGGAATTTCTGCGGAAATCGTATGCTTTAGAGAGAGGAAGTGAAGAAGGGATAAATACAACGGAGGACCGGAGTGAAGTGGCATTGGACGCTTTCTGAATGAAGCTTTTCTTCTCGTTTTTCTAGCTTTTCTCACAGAGTTTCTCACAGAGCATGATGTTCCTTCAATTCTTCTACTCAGGCAGCTGGATCTACTGTTAGTAGGGTGTTTACCGACCGTGCGATTCCATCCTCTTGTTGCCTCTCTTACTGCAGCTTCGCTGTTGGGGGTTTGTTCTGCCTCTTCCTACGACTCTGTCCCTTGCTCTCTCTCGTGCCTCGACCTGCCTTTGCCGACCAGGCTGCCTTGAGCTTCCCCGCTTCACTAGTTAACTAAGTTAGATCCTATCATTAGTGATGCATCACCTAACCTAGCGTAGGCCACGGGTGAGCGGAACACAGTTAAATGGAACACCCCAAAACACATAGGAAATGCGATAAATTACAACGTCATATCTTAACAACTATGTCGCTTTGGAATAAGAAATTAAGGGTACGTATTTAAGATAGTATCCCTAGTCTACTGGACCAGTACAGAGAATTTATCTCGAGTAATGAAAGAAATATATATACAGTGGGGTTCCATAACTTTGAAACACCCTCCTCCTTACCGCTTAACGTTCCGCCTAAATAAGATAACTCAAACTTGCAAAAGGCATCGATAGAATCAATACAGTGGAATATTGAAAGTGCATTCGGATAAAAATAAAAAATTTCCTACAGGTGACAACTTTTCCCGTGAAAATCTACCGGTGGAAGGTAAAGTTACGAAAATTGAGTGGACGGCAAAATATTATGTCATCAATCAAGGTGTTTCAAACTTTTTTAACACCCACTGTACTTGTGTCTCATACGTCAAAATTACACCGTATTTTGTGGTAAAGCCACAAGATAGTCTCAGGAATGATTCGAAATTTGGATATATTATTCCTTGAGGGTATGAAAGTATATAGCTTAAAATTCAACGAAAATTAACTCCCTGTGGTTGAATTATAGAGGAATATAAACATCACATTTACTATGTGTTTGGGTGTTCCGTACAACCGTACCTTTGTATGTTCCGCTCACCTGTGGATTACGTTATTGGACCGTGCACACAACTAACCCCGAGGTCATCTTGGCAGTGACATGCTAGAAACAGCCTCGACGAATGAAAGTTTTCGATACCATTTTGAGGACTGTTACTGGTGACATCCCGAAGCATTTGGCGTGAGGGGGGTCGGATTCTTTCGGGGATTACTTCTCAGTTATTTATATCTCTTGAACTTCACATTCAAAGGCCGCCTGGCTGCCTTACTCCAGATTGTCTCTGCCATTCTATCATATTTTACCAGTCAGAATGGAACCGAGTGAGATTTACAACCTTGTCCAAGCTCGCTATGGTGAGCTGGCTGAGAGCTCTCTCACTAGAAAACATACTGCAGCCGAGAGAAGTGTTGCTGAGGCGTTTGGATACGAGGCGTCACAGCTAAATGCTATTCCGGAAAGCGCAAATCTCGGAGTGAGCTGCGGGAACCCTTTGGTCCTTGCCAACCTCCGTGAGGTAGGTCCAAACAAGCCGAGGGAACAATCCACTCCTCGTTCAGGATAGTTCTAATGCCATACTACTCCTGCAGGGAGAGACGGTGATTGACTTAGGCTGTGGCGGAGGCATTGACGTCCTTTTGGCAGCCCAAAAGGTGGGCCGGAAAGGAAAGGCTATTGGTGTGGATATGACGAAGGTAAGGACACTTTGATCTGCCGACATTCCGTAACATAGTCAGATATCTAATCTGCAGCTTATTTGCATAGAGCATGCTTGACTTGGCACAGAAGAATGCTGAGAAAGCAGGTGCCTCCAATGCGTCCTTCGTTAAAGCCTCGATCACTTCTATCCCTCTTCCAAATTCCACAGCTAACTGCATCATCAGCAACTGTGTGGTGAATCTAGTCCCCGGTGCTGACAAGCAGCAAGCCTTCCACGAGATGTTTCGCTTGTTAATACCGGGTGGTCGTGTCGCTATAAGTGATATTCTTATTCGAAAGAAGCTCCCTGAAAAAGTAGCAAGAGACCTCTCCTTGTATGTTGGATGTATTGCCGGTGCTAGCCAGGTTCATGAGTATCAGGAATACCTGCACAATGCTGGATTCAAAGGTATGTACCATGTTTATTTGCGTTGAATTTGTTCTAGACATGCTGACTATGATAGATACCATGATCATTGATACTCGGAAGGATCTGAATATCTTTAAAGCGATGATTCAGGATCAGCAGAAGGAATATCAAGAACCAGGCTGTCAATCGACTAAGACATGCTGCGAGATATCGAAGCCAATGGGCCTGGCCACAGAATGCCTGCTAGAGCGCGATTTCAATGAATGGGCCGGTGAGGTACGTGCTAGCTGGCTTTACCCGCAGAAGCTGATATTGGCCATGTCAAGGTTCGTTTCAGATTTATGCAGTCAGACCCTAGAAGACATATTTCGCACGTCACCTACGTCGTTTGAATCGTCTCCAGGGTTCATAAAAGATATGCAAGGGTTGAGAGTATTGGGTGTCCATAGCAAATTCTTCCTCAGTTGAAAACATAGTAACTCCTAACAAAAACGTAATATCTTGAGTCAGAAAATGCGACCTTTAGGTTATCTCCGCTAAAACAGCCAGAAGGATTTGATTATTAATTCTGCATCCCTCCATGGGGTTTCTCCCGGGCTGAAATCCATGCTGCATCCAATCGGATATAATCTGTAGGTCCACATTTCTGCTGTTGCATTGAACCACCCATCGATATGCTAGTGAACAAAGCGTCGTATGTTCGTTTGTATGATCTCGTGTTTCTGTAACTTGTCCTACCCATTGAGATCCACTGGCTATGTCGTTGGATTCGGCTGAAACAATATCTAGGGGGTTCAGGCCGACTTCGATCGGTGGCTGCGATGCATTCAATGCCGGGATTCCTATGTCCATAGTGTCCAAGGAAAAATGCAGCTCATTCGGCAGCCCCAGGTTAGGGAAGGACCCAGGTAGTGGTGCCCCAGCTGGGATCACGAGAAATTCGCTCAAAGAGGGCTGGGCAGTCTTTACTTGATTAGTATTAGAATTCTGGGCTCAAAGCTAGTGGACCTACAGCTAGTAAGGGAGGCTTAGGTGATCAAGGCCACGGTCCATAAGTTGGCCCCATTGTGTCTGGCTGAGGCCCAACGAATCAAGTAAACGTTTCATTGAGTCATTCTCGGCCCGCAAATGCTGGAGCGTTGATTGATCAGGCCAGTCTTCTGAGGAGAATATTTCCTCGTATTCTTTGATTCGTTTTTCTAGATTGCAAACATATTCTTGCCGCCGTGCTCTTGACCATCGTTGGTTATTGCGAATGCGTGCGAGATCTTCGCTCTGGAAGAGATATAATGTGTTATAACGAGGCTTCGCATCTGCGAGACTTCGCATCGGGGAGTAGACTATGGTGATTCGACATATTTTAACTTAGTCTGTTCATTAACCTTAGTTTTCGTCTTTAATCGTGGCATGGACGTGCGTTACAGTAGGACAACAAGCGGAAGTTGCTAGATACTAGAAGCACAGTCGGCAAAAATAGGCCAAAGATAGAAATCCGCAAGCCCAAGAGGAAGTGGAAACAAACGTATGATAGACATCAATGATGCAAAGAAGCCAGTTGTGTTTGTTCGTCTGCGCGCGATCGGACAAAGCTGGGATGTCACTGCGATTGCTCAAAGGTCAGGTGCGAATATAAAGACCATGTAAAAATCGCTGACTAATGCTTCCGCTTAGTTACCGTCATATCATTGGTTGGGTGACCACGGCCATACATTATCAAACCTCCTTTGTGCACAGTGGTTTGCGAATATACTTGCCACATGACTCAATCAGGCTCGCTTCTCACGAACACAAAATTCACATGGATTCAAAGTTACGGTAGATTTTCTAGAGGCATGGCATTGCCCGATTACCTTGTGTCCCTAGTACGCCACGGGTTGACTAAAGTATATCTGCACGCTCGGATTGAATACTTCAGTTAGTCCCCAGACTGACACAAAGACGTTTAATAGAGGTGGCCGCTTGGAAATAGCAATTGAATCGATCTAACAAACAGAAAAATAAATCGCCAGAAATGAGGTCGTCGAAAATCAAGCCCGATAAAGGGAAAGCGAATACAGCGAGACAGATATTTGTTTGAGCACACAAATCCAGGAGACGAGCCCAGTGTTTATCTTCTATCAGCTGTCATCGTCGAGGTTCAGACAGAGGGTTGGAGTTCGGTGATAAGAGTCTCGACGCGACGACGGATTTCGTCGCGAATAGGACGCACAGCATCAAGGCCTTGCCCGGCAGGGTCGTTAAGTTGCCAATCGAGATAGCGCTTGCCAGCAAAGAAGGGGCAGGCGTCCCCACACCCCATTGTGATCACAACATCACTGGCCTGAACCGCATCGGCGGTTAAAATCTTGGGTGTTTGGCTGGTGAGGTCGATACCTTCTTCAAGCATGGCTTCGACGACAACGGGATTGATAGAGTCGACTGGAGCTGATCCGGCAGAGCGCACTTCAATATTATCACCTGCGAGATGACTCAGGTAGCCGGCCGCCATTTGAGAGCGGCCGGCGTTGTGGACGCAGACGAACAAGACGCTAGGCATGTTAACCATGAGACGTCTTTCGAGTGATTGGTTGCGCGGTCGTTATGGAGTAGTTTGTTGAATGTGAGGGACGACAGCGGGATATGAAATGCCTTCAAGATATATCTCTTTAAAAAATGTGAGACAAAAAGTGATGTGCGGGTGCTTTAATTCTTGTGCCAACAAGAGACATCGGAGGCTTTTCTTGAGTTTTATAAACCATACATTAGCTTGCAAAGGAGCAAGATTAATAACCCATCGATCTAGACCATTCTGTCATGTAGGGTGCCGTGTAGGATGTGGTTGGAAGGCAGTTATGCCGGACAGATCACTCTTGATATCAATATGAGTGTCACTTCAGCACTATGATTGGTTGAAAATTCAGAGGGAAAACAATTTCATCGTATACATGTAGTAAGTCAAGAGAATTGCCAGTATGTCACCGCCTGGCTATGATTGGTCGAGAGCAACAGGCCGTGATTTGTCTGCTGTTATTGGTCATCAGGATATGTCACTCCTAACCAGATTAGGACTAGCTTACATGTCTTCTTCCAGAGGGCAAAGCTCCAGTTCTGAATATTTAACAGACCACTGGTGGCTGTCTTTCAAACTTCCCAGGAGTCCCTCACTTGAATTTCCTTTAACATTTCACACAGTCAATCTGATGGTTCTAGAGATGGCCACTACAATCTCTCAGACCGGTCTGCCCGCGCAGACCGATCCGCAAATACACAACACGACATTAGATGATCAGTCAACAGGTCCCACGACCGGGGATGTCGAAAAGCAAAGGACGGATGGGCCTGAGGAGGCGATGGCCAAGCAATCAGCTTTCAAAAGTCTTGGCTGGTTAGATCGTTTTCTGGCCGTATGGATCTTTCTTGCTATGGCTATCGGAATCATACTGGGTAATTTTGTGGAAAATACGGGACCCGCTCTTCAGAAGGGGAAATTCGTTGGGTTTCTATTCCGATAGGTACTTGCTCACGAATTCCCAACACTATAGTCCCGAACTAACCTCTCAAGCGATCGGTCTCCTGGTTATGATGTATCCTATTCTTTGTAAAGTGCGATACGAAACTTTACACTATGTCTTCCGAGAGCGGGGAATATGGATTCAAATCGGGTTCAGTATCTTTGTTAACTGGATTATTGCTCCTTTCTTGATGGTGAGGCGCAGAATCCTTCGACTACTTTCAATGACGCTTGCTGATATTGTACATTATAGCTTGCACTGGCATGGGCTTTCCTACCGGACGAGCCAGAGCTTCGGGAGGGCTTAATTCTCGTTGGACTGGCCAGATGTATTGCTATGGTAAACCACTTTGCTCTATGTTATGCCCGAACTGGACTAATATGTCTTGTTGATAGGTTCTTATCTGGACCGGTCTCGCTGGTGGTGATAGTGAATACTGTGCCATCCTTGTTGCGGTCAATTCACTACTGCAGATGGTGCTTTTCGCTCCCTTGGCGATTTTCTTCATCAATGTCATAAGTCATTCGGGTAGTCAAGTCGCAATGTCTTATTCTACCGCTGCGAAAAGCGTGGCAGTTTTCCTTGGCATTCCTCTAGGTGCCGCAATCATCACCCGCATTACCCTGCGGAAGATCGCCAGCCCACGTTGGTACGACCAGGTCTTCCTGAAATGGGCTGGCCCGTGGTCACTCATTGGACTTCTCTTCACAATCCTTGTGTTGTTCGCATCTCAGGGCCGCCAGGTGGTACATCAAATTGTGTCAGTTATCCGAGTTGCCGCTCCTCTTATGGTTTATTTTATTATTGTCTTCTTCGTCACTCTTCTTGTGACCTACAAACTCGGGTTTGGTTACAAGTTGGCTGCTACTCAAAGTTTCACCGCTGCCAGCAACAACTTCGAGCTTGCCATTGCTGTCGCTGTCGCAACATTCGGCGCCAACAGCAATCAAGCTCTTGCCTCCACTGTGGGCCCGTTGATTGAGGTTCCGGTACTACTTGGCCTTGTCTATGTCGTCAAGTTTATAGCAAGGCGAGTTGGCTGGAAGGATTGAGTCGAAAAAAATAATTCAAGCCTTGTGAAATAATTTTATAATTATTTATCTATCGACTTTAGAAGACTACATTGAAATAAGGGCACCAATATTTGAAAGACTAGAGGTAAAATATACACCGTTGACCACACGGGCTATTTCTTCGCTCAAGATCGTCGTCGTAAAGCCCGACACTCACGGTTGAGAATACCGTGGATGAATGCAGGTTCTGGTCACAATAAAAAATATACTATTCGAAATAGTTCGGAATCCTAATGAATATCTGGAATTATGAGACTTCATGATTTCATGCGTACATGCCGCATATACTGAGCTCAGAAGTAATCTTGCTGGTAAGTTAGTGTAGCTTTCTGATGGCCTGGGCGGGTACCGTTTGGAAGGTAAAGGGAGGCCCAATGTCATTTTAATTGCAACGGCCCGTGGTAACTCACATTCAATCAGGTCCAGCGGGGTCAAGCTACCCCACGCAGAAACTGAGAAGCAATCAAAAAGGAAAAAGTGAACCGCCACAATCGCGCATATTAGGTCAAGTTACTATGTTTCCAGTTCATTCCTCCATTTGCCATCCAAGATTCAAGATGAGCTCAGCATTTGTCCAAAACGCCACCGGCAAAACAGTCCCCTGAAACAACCTTTGGCACACTAATGGTGGATCACTATCATACCGACTGAATGTTCATTTTCGCCGCAGTAGCGATGGAATTGAAATGTGGATCTTCGATCTTGAAGCCTTCACATCGTTCGACCAGACACAGGTAGTACTCATTCAGCACTTCCGGCTGCGGGATAATTTGCCACCGAAGTCGGAACAAGAATTCAAGCTCTAACGTGGCTAACTCCTCCGTACTTATTCGTCCTCGGTACCTACTGGTCCTTTACGCAGGGCAGCTGCAGCGAGGCTGTCTACATGATGGGCATGGAGCGAAACAGTGACATCGTGCAAATGGCAGCTTACGCGCCTCTCCTGGCACACTTCGGGTTTATATCGTGGTCGGTAAGTATTTCTCCCAGTCGAGATGACTCTATTTATCGATAATAACCCATACCAAAGCCTACCATGTACGGTTTCAACTCAAGTCCCGAGACGCTCACCCTCTCAACATCCTATTACGTGCAACAGATGTTCTCATCCAACAAGGGAGGCACGGTCCTTCCAGTAAACTCGACGGCAGATTTTGGTCCACTTTACTGGGTGGCTACGAAGACGGTTTCGAAGAACTATATGAAGCTGGCAAACTACGGACCGGATCAGCAGAATGTCACTGTTAGCATTCCGAAGACTGAATCAGGAAGGCTGGAGATGCTGGCTGGTTCTCAGAACGAGGGCAATCAGCCTTGCAATGTGACGGTTATGCCAGTTACCACGAAGTTGAAGAGCGATTATGGGAATTATTCAGTGACTATGGAACCCTGGGCTGTCGCAGTGTTGGCTGCGACGTGACGTTTGAAATTGAAAGGTTACCCTTTTAATTTGAGATAGAAGAATGGCTCCGGAGTACGAATATAGAGTTCCTTCTTGACGGTCATGTTTGGTCCCCTTTGAAGGTTGCCTTGATGTCATTTCTAGTGCACGGTCAACTATTCAATATGCTCCACTAAATACAGAATCAGATAGTAAAGCAACATAACCAATAAGAGTAGTATAAATAAGAGCATCATCTAGACAAAATGCTTATCTATATTCCATCTCCCAGGCATATCTGCTACTATACCCTCGCTCACAATGCTAGCACTTAACAGAGACACAGGAACTCCTGATCCAGGATTACAAATTCTCACTCTTAGCCATAAAGTAGAATATTATCACTTATTAATGGGCTGTATCCCTTTGGTCCCCTTTTCTATCAAGCGCCCTAGCGATATTCATAGGGTGCCAGGTACCAGCAAATAGTAAGGGAAAAGAGGTGAACCTAATTGTGATGAATTTTTGTGCCCTTACAGAACAAGGATCTTGAAGTAGAAAATTATGAAATCTTCTAGATTTACTAGGTTAGAATCATCTTTCACAGAATTCTCCTAGTTTACTAAGTTGAACTCTTGCTTAACTATTTAAGCCCTCTTTACTTTACCCTTACTTTAACTTCACTTTACCCTTACTTTACCTTTATATTTAACTTATTCTAACCTTCACCAATGCGTTGATCACCACATGCCTTACTACTCAACGTTTGTCTGTCTAAACTTTATGACCCCTATATCTTAAACCATCATTATAAGCTTGCCACTTTTGGACTCACTTCTTCGCCCTCCTCAAATCTGCCTTTTACTTTCATTCACTAGCATCAAGACCTAGAAATTACCAGAACTGACATTCACCACTCAAATCATTTAACCTCTCCTGTGAATGCGCTCATGGCTTCTCCCTGACTATCATTTTCACCATCTTCACAGCCCTTCTGCCACTTCTCAAGCTTGCTTTCTGCATCTACATCTCCTCAAATTTTTCCATCACATTCTGACGTGAGTGTCCTCTTCTACGATGATTGATATGGAGCTTAGGACTTACTTCTGAAAATGGCCTAGTACTACACGGTATGACATCACGTAGGGACAGAGGTGGGTCCGCCTATTAATGTCTGCATTGTGAGAGTTAGGTTTGGCGGAGATAAGGACCACAAGCTGGGTTTGGTGAGCTAAGTTGGAGTGCCACCAGCGGGCATCCGTCCGTAGCTGAGGGGCGGACTCGGATATGCCGACCTCTAGCACAAGAGAGGGCCATGGTATGGGTGCCCCGGCGGCCGGTTCCCTTCCAGGGAAAAACGCTGTGTCTGCCTCCTTGCTGCACACGCGACCATCCGACCATCCGACCGTCCAGCCCCTCCAAGCCAAAAATCATAGTTGAGGAAGCTCAACCCCATATTACCAAGAGCATTGTTAATCCAGGTATCAAACTGACGGGTGATTTTCTCATGGTAGTGGTACACCATGATCTTATATAAGATCTCGTGCTTGTGGTGGAGAATCGTTGCGCGCACCCCTTTTGGAACTTCACCGTGTTCAATAAGCGCCGAAAAAAGATCGGCGGGGATCCGTCGCACCAGAAGGTATTGCGAGCTGGGAGGGTCCTCTGACAGGAGCTCGTCTTTGAGTACGTCGAGACGATCCCAAAGCTGGTCGAGAGAGGGTCGGTCGAGGATATGGGCGGTTAGGAGGGTTGTGGGATCGACCCCAAGGTCAAGAATCTCGGGTTTGGAGGATAGAAGAGATGAAGCGTGAGATTGAGGCGTGGATGTTTTTGGTGAAATTGCTTTTGGACTGCACACAGACGTTGCAGCTTTTGAGGAGCTGCTGGACTCAGAGCTTTGGGCGTCACGGCCAGATCGAGGATTGGCCTGGGATGAATCGGCGTTGCCAGAGGACATAGTGGGATGGGAGGTGGGAGGTGAAGAGTTGGATGGGTGAGAAGTCTGAGAAGTTTGATGGGGCGCGAAGGAGGGACGAGTTTCCATCTCGGTCGTGCCTTCCTCTTGTGCACGCGCTGCTTGATGACCCATGTTAGAAGAGCACATTATGGCTATTTTAAAGGAGAGTCCAAAAGCAAAATAAGAACGGAGAGAAGAGACCACTGATCGAAATCTTTGAGCTGGAGATAGATGACCAAGATGTGCTGGGACACTTGTAGAGCGTAGTGGGAGCACCGTATATAGGATCTATGATTGAAACTAAGCCTATGGCGGATCTGCCGATCAATAACTCAGCCTCGAAGTGTGGGCGGTCTGTTTATATCAGATCACTAGCCATAGACATACCTCCCCGAGCTCTTTTCTACGAAAGGTCGGGTTTTAGTCAGGTAAATTCTACAGCTAGTCGTTAAGGAAATACAGTCGAGATTCGGCCCATACTGCCAAAATATATCCCTTGCTGGTGACGACATTTCCGATGTACGGAGGAATATTTAAATCTCCCCATTCGAGATTGTTTAAATGAAGTCTGCTGTTATGTCACTTTCGTTAATATTATATTCCTTGTTTCAGTTAATACTCTCGTCATCTGCATTATTCCTGCTTGTGGTAGTCTGGGACGCACTGATTCGATTTATCAGTCCTGACTCTCCGTCAACTGAACAGACATTTTCGGTATTGTTCTGGTGGGCATTTGAAAGTGGCCACCGAAAAAGTTGATTCTGGACATAACGAAAAAATGGCCACAACGGCACCAAGCATGCAGCAATAATCCCAAGACATGGTTCCACACAGGACCAAATGAAAGGTTGTTTCATAACCCAGGTAAAGTCATTGGACTTGCTGATCCGACTGATATAATATATCCGGACAACACTTGAAATGCAGACACTAATTTCAATGATCAGAACGTATCAAAGCAGAGCATAAAAGAATTATAGGAATAGGATATCACTTACAATCCTCCAAGTAGCAATATGCAGGAAATCGCCAGCTTCTTATTCAACGACATTTGAAGCCGGCAGATTATTGGAATAGGTAGTATAAGTAGCATAACATCCATTAGCATGCCGGAGATACTGTTTCCCATATAAAAGGCAATGATGTTATAGCAGCTACCTTTCGCATTTTCATCGATGTATCGATCCCAAAAATAATGGATTGGATGACATTCCACAAAAGGAGTGATAATACCGATCAGTAACCAGGCAATGACAAGCATAGCACAAAAGAGGAGTATATAGGTATATTGTCGTAGTGGGAATAAACGATGGTAGAGAAATATGATGGATAGCTTGATAGTTGCCATCACGAGGTTATAGTGAAACTGATATGCCCAAAGGATCTAAAATCATGGATTAGAACAGAAAATAATGTCAAAAATAATTCGTAGTATTTGGCTGACCTTTGCTATCTGAAGGACATCAACTGATGATGCTGATATATGCTGACCCACTCCATAACGGGCTGCTATTGTGATTGATTGTATTGTCAATAATAATCCTAGTTCCATCAAATTTGAAACTGGGGATAGATAATATATTACCTAGTATAGTAAGAACAACTGTTCCATACGCAAAAACCTTTAGTTTAGTTAGTGAAATCTTCATTAAAAGAGTCACTTTTATATATTTGGACTTGGTATCGAATTAAAGCAGCATACCAGAGCTAGGACGATCGTGTAATCATCTAATGCGAGATGCGGACCGATTGTAAGCCTGGAGATTACGCGAAGGGTAACGGCAGCAGTTGCAATGATGATGAGAGCAACAGCTGACCCAATAATCGAAGAAGATACCATCTGGGTCGCTCATAAGCACAGCCTGCCTTGAATATGAGTGTCTGTATTTGATACAGAATGGTGATTTTGGAGCTCTTTGAGAGCGTCGTGGCGTAGGTATACGTAGGGTGCGCATTTCTAGGCGGTGTGTGCAGTTCGCTATGGAGTTACTTTAACTAACCTATGAAATTGATCCTAGATAGTCTATCACGTATATGCTAAGCTTTAATTGGCTATTGCCACTTGACATGATTCACAACCGAACGGACCATCTCAAAACACATTTGGTAGATGTGATAAAATTAAGCTGCGGCAAACCCATATTTTGCGGTCAGCGGCTCTGGGGACCATTTTCCTATGGTCGCAAATTTGCGGCTGGGGATAGGTAGTAAATGTGATACCTAGGACGTGGGTCACGTGACCACGACGTTGTTAAGAGACCAAGCTGCGTATGACTAAAATCATTCACCGCCTCCCCTTTCTTCATGTTGCTGGTCGGGCAGTATTACTTAGTATTATCATCATTTCGTTTACCAATTGAAACCATCAACTTCTACTGCTTCCCGATTAGTCCCATCGATTGTACTCACGATAACCCAAAGACGGCTGGTTTCTGATACGGCCTCCAGCTGTGAATTGTCCAATCATCCATATTGAGTGGTTGCTCATTCCAGGTGTCTCTTGTGGACCCGAGGCGACCTGATCGCCAATCAGGTCGATTCCCGAGATCCGGCGGTGAGTATATAACGCTCGTAGTAGCCAATCAGAGCCCGTCGTCCCTCACACTACCCATATACCCACATGGGTACTTATTCCTACCTACCTAGACTGCAAGCACTATAAATATGCTAAGCCCCGTTGACCTGCCCGTGGCTGCATGGATTGTGCACCGTTGACTGTATTTTTTGCGTTCTTACATGTAATAGTCCACGCATCTTACCATCTCAAAACCTTTAGGTTTCACTTCTTTGTCTAAATGATGCTTAAATTTCTTTATTTATATGTTTATATTGTAGCTAATAGTAGTGGTAGTAGTAGCAGTAGTAGCAGTAGTAGCAGTAGTAATCAGGAAGCTGAATCCGTGTATCGACTAGTAAACGAATGGACCAATGGTCCCGAATTTAGAGGGAAAAGTGTCTGGAATTTCAACTGTCTAAAAATGTGAGAGGATTCTGTATATAATAGACTGTTGTCTAATGTATCAGGCACACATGTGATCATGTGATCCAGGTCCAGATATATTCCACGCGGGCACCTGAATTCAGGAGGCCAGCGTTCAGTCTTGTAATACAACCCCCTCCCACATTCAGCTTCCCTGCGATCTATCTATTGCCCAGATCCACCCACCTTCCTCACTAGGTCTCGCGCCACGCTTAGTTCTGACAGTCAATCAGGCGCTCGATGCTACCCTCAACGATGACGAGGAGGGGCTCCTGGCTTAGATCGGGTAATGATCCTAAAGGGGCTACCTCATCGAATCGATAGCCCCCGACGCATTCCGGCCGGCGTGTGAGCTCAAGCCAGGGGGAACACTCAGTTGTATCCTTCGTGGTCGGGATGATAGCCTCGTCGTCTTCGACCTGCCCCTGTGAGCCCTGGAGCTGCCGATAGACCTGGGCCTGAACAAAATCCGCTTCCCCGATCTGGAACAGCTCCTGGCTGCGCTGCGCCTGAACCCGCGGGGTCACCTCGAAGAAATGACTAGCTTTGCCAGTGACAAAGAAGCGCTGGCAGCTTACTAGCTGAATTGGCTTCCGATTGTAGATCGATTGCGCCTTGGCCGTCCAGGCCTACGGGAGGGTTCTTCTTTTTGATGGCTCCCGCGCCGATGGTACTGAAGTGTCTCCTCCGTACGACAGACATAGTGCAGTACGGGCATTGATAGACCGAATACACTGGCAAACCCGGAATCGGCGGGCTCTCTGGAGGCGGGAAGACGATTTGGTCCGTAGCTTGCTAATCTCGTGGTGGGCCGCGAGGCAGAGCTCTCTCGTGATCGAGGACGGATGGATGCCCTTTGTGTCTCCGGGTGAGGTGGTTAACGAGATGGCTTGACTATACGGTAAAGCCGCATAGGCTACAGATCCAGATTTGGTAGGTGGCATAGTAGGTGGAGAGATCCATATTTATTATGTTCGGATTTAAGATGGCCTCGGAGAGAGGACGCAGGCTCGTAATGTCATCGAAGGCATTATGAGGGGGCCCGAAGAGAAAAGAAGTAAGGGATCGTTGGCTATTATGCACACGGGGGGAATAAGGACGTAAGCACGCACAGGGGGCCCTCTCATTCTAAGGTAAAGGGAGCTAGGCGCCATTATGTGTAGAGGAGAGCCAGTTCGATCGCTAAGAGCTAGAGTAGATAGCGAGGGGAGCTATATGTGACAAACCAAATCTTGGAAGAGAACAAGAGCGTTATTCGTACGAAAACACTAAACTAGATAAGGAAGAGAGACTATGAGAGTATTCTGTTTAAAGATTTAGAATCAGCTATTCACAGTACCATACTCTAGTATTTTATTCGGTACAAAAATGTTAATGTGGCTGTTAGTCGAAGTCAGATTTTTCCTAATGGTTTGCGTACGGGGTAGACACTTAAAGAACATCTTCCCTCAGTATCATCCATGCCTGAAATATCAAACTAAGTAAAACAGCATTGACAACCCTAGGTGTCAAGAGGGGGAAATTTTAGGTGTTTAAAGTGCTCCTTGTTAGTGCGGTCCAAGTATGCTAGATCAACGCCAATATATCTTCCAACGCGCTCTATAAGTCTATAAAAATAGCAATAAATACAACAGTAGACAGAAGAAAACAAAGCAGGACTGTTTATGTAGAAGATTTCTGGGCCAATTTCATTTCAAATCGAAGCGGTCCAGGTTCATCACCTTGTCCCAGGCCGCCACAAAATCCTTGGCAAGCTTCTGCTTGCCATCTGTGCTACCGTATACCTCGGCGATGGCACGTAATTCAGAATTCGAGCCAAAAACCAGGTCAACACGGGTTGCAGTCCATTTCTTCACACCGGTATTGCGGTCCGTGCCCTGAAATAATTCCTTGTCAGAGCCGTCAATTGCCTTCCACACCGTGTTGATGTCTAGCAGATTCACGAAGAAGTCGTTCGTCAGCTGGCCGGGGCGGCAAGTAAGCACACCATGAGCAGATCCATCGTAGTTGGCATTCAGGGCCCGCAGACCACCCACAAGCACTGCCATTTCAGGAGCAGACAGTGTGAGCAGTTGCGCCTTGTCAACGAGGGCGTGTTCGCTGCGCATATGCAAGATCGATCGGCCGTAGTTGCGGAAACCATCCACCAGCGGTTCTAGATGACCGACCGATTCGACGTCGGTTTGGTCCTGCGAGGCATCCATGCGGCCAGGCTTGAAGGGAACAATGATCGCATGACCAGCATCTTTGGCAGCTTGCTCGATAGCAGTGCAACCAGCTAGTACAATTAGATCAGCCAGAGAAACCTTCTTTCCACCCTGCTGGGAAGCGTGGAAACGGCTTTGGACACCTTCCAATGCGGAAAGCACCTCATCCAGCCGAACTGGGTTGTTTGCTTCCCAGTGGCGCTGCGGAGCAAGGCGGATACGCCCACCATTGGCACCGCCACGCTTATCGCCCCCACGGAAGGTGGACGCTGCAGCCCAGGCGGTCGAAATGAATTTGCACCGGTCTACATCCGTTGCTAGAATAGCCTCTTTGAGTGCAGCGATGTCGATGTTATCAATCAAGATGTGGTTGACTGGAGGAATGGGATCTTGCCAGAGCATCACTTCAGACGGCGCTTCCGGCCCGAGATAGCGGGAGGCGGGGCCCATATCGCGGTGTGTCAATTTGAACCAGGCACGGCGGAAGACGTCATCAAACGTATCCGGGTTTTCCAAGAAGCGACGCGAGATCTTCTCATAGATTGGATCAAACTTCAACATGATATCAGTCGTCAACATCCTAGGTGGGTGCTTCTTAGCCGGGTCGAAGGCATCTGGAATGATATCTGGTGCATCCTTCGCCACCCATTGCCATGCGCCAGCGGGGCTCTTCACGAGTTCCCATTCATAGGCGAAAATATACTTGAGAAAGCCGTAATTCCACTTGGTTGGAGTTGCGGTCCAGATAACTTCTAGACCACTGCCAATAGCGTCAGGACCCTTTCCAGAACGGAAGTTGCTCTTCCACCCGAAGCCCTGCTCCTCAAGTTCGGCACCTTCTGGTTCAGGACCGACATGAGTGCTAGGCGCGGCGCCGTGCGTCTTGCCGGGAGTGTGGCCACCGGCTATCAGTGCCACTGTTTCCTCATCATTCATTCCCATACGTTCAAAGGTAATACGGGTATCACGGGCCGCCGCAATAGGATCAGGACAGCCGTCGGGGCCCTCAGGGTTCACATAAATCAAACCCATATGGGAGGCTGCCAGCGACGTTTCTAGCTCACGCGAACGGATGTCCTTGTTTGCCTCCCCGGCAGCGTTCGAGCCAGTTGCATAACGAAACTCGTTGCCCATCCAGGCCTTCTCGCTACCCCAGTACACTGACTCGTCAGGCTCCCAGACGTCCTCGCGGCCCCCGGCGAAGCCGAACGTCTTGAAGCCCATGGATTCGAGGCCCACATTGCCAGCAAGAATGATCAAATCCGCCCAGGAAATCTTGTTGCCGTATTTCTGCTTGATTGGCCACAACAGGCGACGTGCCTTATCCAGGAGCACGTTATCTGGCCAGCTATTAATGGGTGCAAACCGTTGCTGAGCCTGACCACCACCACCGCGACCGTCATGGACACGGTAGGTGCCAGCACTATGCCAGGCCATACGGACGAAGAACCCGCAATAGCTGCCGAAGTCTGCTGGCCACCAATCTTGCGAGGTGGTTGTCAATTCAAGCAGATCTTTCTTGAATTCATAGTAATCCAGACTCTTGAAAGCCGCCGCATAGTCGAAGTCTTTGTCCAGTGGATTTGACGTAACCGTGTGCTGGCGAAGGAGGCTCAGTTTCAGCCGGTTGGGCCACCAGTCGAGGTTGGTGCCTGGTACTAGGCGAGGGAGAACTGGACATTGAGCCATGTTTTCGGGGCTTCTTGTTGAGGCTTTGGAAAATCTAACTTCTCTGCGCAGATGATGATTCTGTAACGAACAATGAGATGTGCTTGAAGACTTTAAGGGAAGAAAATAATTTCTCGAGGGGGGTTAACGGCGCACACTTTATAATAAAATCTTTCCTCCAGGGAGTATTTAAAGTATTTTTAAAACTAATATCTAAAGCTTGTGACCAACCGAACGGTTCTAGGCCTGTGTGAACTATAATGTATAATTACTCCGGCTTTCAATCTAGATTGATCCATGGGGTGCACCTGCAGGGGAAGTCAACGATTGGTGTGGCGGCATGGTTCCATGGTTATACCTGAAGACACGCGACGTACCATGACTTGCTCCAAACTCAAAATGTTGATAGTCTAAGTTTGTTAAACTTCTGCCGGAATGATCTTAGCTTAATTTTTAAGTGGAGTTAGGACTCTTACATAATAGGGCTAGGCTTAACTTGCTTGATAAGAATTTTACTCTCTACTCTTCGTGTGTCAGGATCCAATCCAGATAGATGAAGGCAAAATCCTTAGATAAGGGTAGACCTGGACAAAACCATGGACTGGGCTTGTCTAGACCTAGATATGGGACAACCACTAGGCATTAATTATAATTAACATAGAAAAATGTCAGTGAAATTATTATAGTACGTCCTCATTTTAATCAGATCTCCCTAACCCGCCGCAAAGCAAAAATTTCCCTCAGCCCCTGAATCTTCGAAAATCGAAAACAATGGCCCTTACTCGCGAGCAACAGATCAAGGAATACGGCTGGATTGCACTTTCCTGCGACCCAAAAGTCTGGGGTGGCACTAAGCCATTCAACAAGGAGCCTGTTCTTCAGCTCTGCAAAGATGTCCCTCTACCTGACACCCCTCTCGTACATGCTGCTATGGAGTATGTTAGGAAGGAACTTCCCCAATAGACCTTTAACCACAGTATGCGTGTTTTCTACTATGGTAAAGAAAACAAATACAAGTTAATGTTCTGCGTGGAATGTTACGAAGAAAAGCGCCGACACACTTCATCTCTAGGCATGGCCATCACATCTCAGCAATTCCCTAAATGGAAATTCAGTCCCGAGACATGGCCTCTGACTTGCCTTTTCCACGACATTGGAACCATCAACAAACACACTCACGGTACCCTTATGTACTTCCAGTTTTACGGCGGTATCCTTGCCCTGCAGAAGTTAAAGGAGCTCAACGGACCTATTTCCCAGGCCGAGGGTGTCAGCGAGGCCATCATCCGTCACCAGGATCCCGTCGAGATCGGCAACATTCACACCATCGGCTTACTTATTCAGCTCGCTACTCAATATGGTCGGTTTGACCTTTCCCCCTCCTTGCCTTGCCGTGTTAATTATGTTTGTCTCTACCCTGGAGATCTGGCCGCGTTAATACCATATCATATATAGACAACATGGGCTACCGTCCCGGGTACGTCCACCCCGATACAATCAAAGGCGTCGTCTCTCACTACCCTCGTCGCAACTGGTCCAAATGCTTCACGAAGAAGATCAGAGAAGAAGTTACGGTAAAGCCGTGGTGCCATACCACTGCCTCGGAGGAGAGGTTCCCCCATGATGTCGAGCACAACGCCCTTATGGAGCCTTATGATGCCTTGCATTAAATTCCACTGTATATGATATTTGGGGTGTGTATTTGATGGATTCTGCACTGCTTTTTACGTGGCACTCCCGGCAAGACGTACATTCCCTTGGCATTGTTTCCCGAGTGTATCAAATTGGTGTTCTGCTTTACGGCAGAAGATTGATTGCTGCCCTCAAAAGGGAAGCCACATCACAAGATAATTTACTTTCCGAATTATTAGAAAATTTAAGGAGCAACCGACCATTATTGAAGTGTGTCCTTTGGCCCATCTTTGTTGCGGGCTTGGAATGCCGGTCGTTGGCCCAAAAGAGCTTCTTCATTGCTCGTCTTGAGGAATTCTGGATGACTACAAATTGTTTGAATGTGATAAATGCGACAAAGATTTTGCAAGAATACTGGAAACAGGATGATCGAGAGGACTGGGTTTTTGATGTTGACCGCTTTGGCTGTGCCTGGCTTTTAATATAGCATCTCTGACTTTATTATCATCATTCCAAGCTTACTTTTGAATAACGAAAAAGCACATAGCTATTAAAACACTGTTCTCCAGGCCCATCCCTTGCATATACCCCGAGAAACAGCAAATGCAACGGCAGAAGAAAGATAAAGAGCACCCCCAAAAATAATCAATCCGTAGTACGCCCCATTGTTATGTTGTTGGATCGCGCCTGCGACGGGTATAGCGATGAGAGTGCCCAAGCTGACAAGTGTCCAAGTAGTTCCCACTCTCTTTCCGTAGTCCTGTATTTCGCAAACTTGAGAAATGCACACCGGCGCAATACTTATAGCGGCTCCAGAAAAGAAACCAAACAGCACGGCATAGCTAATGAGAATTCCTAGACTGTCGGCATTGACAAGGTCCCCTGACAGCCATAGAATGAGAGTGAGTAGTGAACACATCAAGCAATTCACAGTCATGACGTTAAACCGACCAAATCGATCAGCGACCAATCCAGGTAGAAAGCGCCCGAAGATAGCACCAACGTTAAGGAAGATAAGCAGTGCATATGACATCTGATCACCAAAGCCAACAGAAAGAGCATAGGATGTGATGTATGTGATAGGAACGAAAACGGCAAATTCGACCAGAAAGACGCCTAGGGACGCAGATGCGTACTTGACATCCATGAGAGCATTGAAATCCAGAAAAGTGGCTGCTTTCTTAGGAGGGAGTCTAGTCCGGACCGTAAGACATGCAATTGAGCAAAAGAGTGCACAAAGTAGGGCGATTATGCGAATAGCCCATGCAAAGCCTATCCGTGGAGCTGCAAAAAGAATTATCAGAGGGAATACAGACCCTCCGATGCCCCCAGCTGTACACGCAATGCCTGTTGCCCAGCCGCGTTTGTCATGAAACCAATGGCCAACGGCAGCCACAGGGGGTGTAAAGAGGGTGCTCGCTGATATACCGCCCAGTACACTGAAAGATAAGAGAATCTGATAATATTCTTGGAACAGTTAGCTTTTTCAGTGACATGTGCATGGTGTAGGTTGAGCATATCATGATAACGAGGGAATATGACGAAGCATCGGAAACACACCTTGGCTGAAACTCAAGAATACTAACGAAAGTACGATCCCAATTGAACCTGGAAGAATCACGTAGAGGGGCCCATGGGCATCAAGTATTGCGCCTAGAACTTGTTACCCTGGATTTCACTGGTATTTCAAACATATGCCTACCAAATTGAGCTCCTCCTACAAAGAGGAAAAAGGTATAGGCTCCAAATATCCAACCGATACTTGATTCCGAATAATCGTTCAGTTGATGCGTACTTGTCCATGCCTGCAGAGTTCCCAGGCTATTCAAAAGCCCCATGGAGGGAATCATGGCGCACCAGGCCCCTAGGACAACAGACCATGCTTTCAGCCCACCTTCAGGGTATCGGTCCTTTTCTATCTCAATTTGGGGCAAGCTGTGTTGGGTCGAAGCAGGCTCATGAATTACTCGCATTTTCAGGAATAGCACGGGAGCTTTGGCTTTCACAACGAAGGCAGATGCTTCGTTAATGTCTTCTCACAGTATCACGTTTTTAATAGATAGTTATCATGGAAGTTCCAAATTACCAATCGCTGTAAGAGAATTAATAAGTCGATGTCTAGTCCGAGATCTAACGTGATCGGTAAGCGAGTGCGCCATGTAAGCGAGTGAGCCACCCCAAAAGACTTCACGACGGTACACGTTCCGAAAAGGGAAGTTGGATAATGTGGGTCCATGCGGGGAGAAACTCAAAAAGGAGGCTCCACTTTGAAGGCGTGGATTAGTGTATCTGACAAAGCAAGCCCTTATTGAATTGCACCATTAACATACACCAGATTTCTAGGTAGATTGGTAATGCCAGATTTGTCAAGATGGCGTATTTAAACTCCAAAAGGTTCTTGTGGACTATGGTGTAAAGTATTTCAATAGCTTGCTACCCCCAGCCGATCCATGGCGCTAGAGCTTATAAGGTTAGACCCGTCTAAATGGGGGCAGGGGTCTCCAGCAATTAAGCCCCACTAGTCGTCGTATCTACTCCGTAATAAGTTAGTGCGTTGGTTAACTTAATTAGAGCTAGGAATGTATAATCACTCCGAGCGGGCATGCCTAATGATTCAGCAAAGACGGTTGAACTAACTTTGTTAACTAACTACTGTAAATCTAGATTAGATTTTTCTCTTAACGCGCTGATCACCTTTCCCTATACGTGTAAGAAATGACGAGTCGCTAATATTTATAATAGAACCCTGTATTCTATACGCTAGCCAAGGGACTCTATTTACTATACCCCGGCCTCAAGTTGAAGATCAAGGCAATCGCTCAGGCGAAGCCAGTCTATGTCGCAGTTATATCTTGGAAATTTGAATTTTACTTGCATATAGTCTCGATGTTACCGTCACTGTTCTGCACAAATCAATTAATTTACATCCTTCCTTCCCCTAGCTATTCACAGATATAGTTCAGGAATAAATACGATACTTCGGGAAGTGGAATTGTTCACTTCAACTAGCGAAGGAGAAACTGAACAACGATGGTAATTCCTATATCGCGGATGAATCATTAGCTTTAATGTATAGATTTTAGTGTAAAGATTTGGATATTCAATCACCTATTCTCATTCTATGCCTCGACCAGAAGAAGTACATCGACCGCCAAAAGATCGAAGCCCAGGGAACCAACTAGCGAAGTCCAAAAACCCCTTACAAATATCCTTAATATCGGCCCTTGAATTTGTGTTTGTGAGACTCGAACTGCTAGAAAGCAAGGCATCAGATGATCTCTCCCGGACAAAGCAACTAGTACACCAAAATCTCCTCATCTTTTCCTCCCCCGTCCCTCTATTTATTAAGCACCTTCTTTATATCCGCCGCGATATTCTAAGCATAGTCAGGCCCAGCGACCCCGGCAGGCAAATCCGCTAGGTTCCCCCTCACCCAAGCAATAGATTCTTTAGCAACATCCGCGAATTTCTTCTTAAGCTCTTCAACCTGCTAAGGCTCATAGCCGCGACCGAAGATTACCGCGCGAGGAGGCCGGCTATAATCATAGGTTCCGATCTCATTAGGGCTCCGAGACTAAGGATCGCGACCTGTAAGCAGATACGGGAGCTTAGCTTCTGCAGCCTTATATAACAGGATGAAGTGGATAACTAAGGAGCATTAGCACTATATTTTGTTTATATAAGGAACGTATATCAAAAACCTTCATATTCAGGCAGCAAGTGCTAGGAGATTGATTTTCCCATCGCGGGTATTCTACCGCAGGCAACTACTAGCATCGGCTGAGTAAATGAAGATATATTGCGAGAGCTAGAAGTTGTACGCTATACGCTGCGGATAAAGGTATTTCGGAGCATTAGAGATAGAGAATAGTAGAGTAAGCTGAGGTCGATGATTCGATTTATATTCCTCGATGCGGCGCGCTCGGTCTTGATGATGAGTTAATAACGTTCGGACGGAGCGTGAGAGCCCGTTAGTCTCCGACTCCAGCCAATTTCAAAGTCATAAACTTTGGACGCAGTTCGGGCCCACCGATTTTTCGATTATTCAACAGTCCAGACGCCCCCACCCCGATAAGTAAACTAACGCCGTCACGTCCTATTCGCGCTCTTGGATTATCCATTACATCACTGCATATCTTCAAGATAAAGAAATAGCCTCAAAAGCAATACACGATAGTCGAAACAATGCTAACGCACCCGCGCCTCGCAAGAGAGGCCGGCCACGATCTAGGACGGACGATTAGCAAATTCCCGAGGTAGGTACATCTTGAGCAATTACAGAGCAACTTAGAACTGACTCAAGGAATCCAGAGACGTCGAACGCAGCTTCGCGTCGCGCAGTAAGCATATCGAAAGAGAAAAGAGACCACGATCGTCAATCTATAATCTCGCGTACAGGAACTCGAGTCGGGCATCGAAGAGCTCAGCGAGTCGTTCCTTTTATTTAGTAATCTTCTATTCGAGGTTGGGATTCTCCAAAATCAGCCTCGTGTCACAGCTGCTCTACAAAAAATTACACAGCAATACGTGTCGCTTGCCAAAAGTGGCTGCGACGAGGCCGAACAAGCACCTACAGCGCCGGCGGACGAGTCGCAACCGACGTCTCCCACAGTCAGCGATACACGAGATATAATTTCAAATAACAATCCGCTTATAACGCAGCTTGGTTCACTGCCAATAATCGGTGACGCTTTCTAATCCACGTCGGACCTCGCGGCTTAATAGCCTAGACTATCGCAACTACCCGCTACGCCACCCTTCCAACAACAAGCAATTCTACCGTTCGGAATAGACTTGTCGTCTCCGAATATTCCCTTCTTATCTATTCCTAGTCCCGCCTTGAATTTCCCGACTATAATATTGCCCGATACTCTCCTAAAGCAAGGGCGCTAGACACTCTCACAGCGTCTAGTCCGATAATACTACGAGACTAGATACTATTTATTAACAAGCTTATTTAGAGACGATCTAAGGGTCAAAGCAATCTTCGGCAAACGATTAACCATCGACGAGCGCAACCGCTTTATCTCCGGATTCGTCGATATTATACACGACGAAATAGGAGACACTATCGAGTTGAGAACAAAAGTTCTCAATTCAAGGAGGAACAGCTACTCGCCTAAATAACTCGCCGTTTCCTCTCGAACGTGGCAAATTGTCAATAAATCGGGTGCTGATGAGTGGATAGATACGAGTGGTGTGCAAAGGCTGCTACAGCAGCGAGGGATTCATATTCAGGGCCCGAGCTCGCCCCTCTCCGGTCCCCGGTTCAACTCGGCTCCGCAGCTCAACGTAGCGAGCTTTATTAAATGTGAGTAATACCGAGATCCAGTAGTTGTTTGTGTCTTCTTGTCTATATATTTACTGACCTTGTTGTAGATCTTTCCCTCGGGGCTATCTATCTCGGTCGCGGACCAGCGTTCCGAAAGCGCGATGTTGAGAATGCTATTCGCCTTGCAACTCTTAATGATCCTTGGGCGTTTAACGCTGTGTGCGAAATATCATGAATTATGTATAATAACAATAATTGTTTACAATAGATATAATCTCCGCTTACTTTGCACATTACCTTTTCTTCCTCATTAGCGGAGGCTGAGAGGTTGGGGGACAGAAGGGATTTTGAGTCATGTGATCTAGTTATCCCAGCTAGGTACAGTGTCCTGCCGGAAAATCGGGCTCACGCCTGACAGATCCGAGTATGAATACTACTACTACTATTACTACCGCCGCTTACTTTGCGTGATGCGACGATTAGAAGCAGGATCCGGCTGTGGATTTGGGGAAATCCTTCCTGTGCATTTGTTCCCTATGTCCGCGAAATTTCTTTAAAAAAGCGCCCTTTGCATCCCAGCCCTTCATTTCGACTGTCACTTTAGCTTCCAGAGCTGGCCTTTAAAATCCAGGGCCGGACTCTAAAATCATTTATATTTTCTATTTATATTTCTCCCTTTTTGGATCACGCAAATACGCAGGCACATTTTCTAGTCACGTCGACGCCAAATAGAGACTCTGTCACGGATCACCCCATTCTTATCCTTGCCCACAGTGTACGTGCGCTCTAGCTGCCAGTACGCCACTCTCTCCAGGCCCGCCTTGCTAGGCTCTCGCAACGGGTCCGCATCGACAAGACCATTATCGTTGTATGAGATCTTCTCACCGGGGTGGCTTAGATGCTCTATATAGGCCTCGGAGGGCGAGGCAAATAGAGGGCCGGGGGCTAAAGGGTCCTTATGACGAGGAGATTCCAGACAGATTAGATTGCCTGCAGGTAAGGAAGCAAGGAGCTCGGTGTGTCGGAGAGCCCATTTAGGACGCAGCTCTGGGTTGAGAGCACAGAAAAACTAGATAGTTGTTAGAAGGAAAGTCCAGAAAGACCAGAAGGATCCAGGGTGACCAGAAGGATCCAGGGTAGGTCGGAAATTCGGAAATGGCACAACAAAATTCTAAAGACAGAGTGAAGCATCTTGTAAGTCCTCTATAGGACGTAGAATACAAGTAGAGAGAAATTAATAGCAATAACGGAATAGAGCCCGACAGCGGCATTGAGCATATATACCGTGTAATCATAAATGATATTAAATCCATTTCGAGGTACTCCAATCTCCTTCAACCAGGTATCATCAAAGAAATCCCCCTAGACGAAAGTAACCTTCCCTTTCCCAACTTTCTTATCTCGTACGCGGTACCGGCTATAGTTCTCCTTCTCCTCCTTATTGCACGCCTCGATAGCCGCGGCGCTATACTCCAGGCCATAGGCATCGTACCTAAAGCTCGCGAATAAGAGCACGTCGACTCCACGTCCACAGCCCGGCACTAGGGCCTTCCGCCTCTCACCATCCTAGGCGATAGGCCCGCTAATAGTGCTAGCTCGCTAGACCAGGGTGTCTTCTAGCGCCGGGTTAGGGAAGCCACGATCCTAGGGTAGATTATCACTTTTATCCTAGAGGGAGGCCTAGCCCTCAACATACTTGTTCCCTTAATACTTGGCCTAGTATACTTGAATATCCTTAGGATCAATATTGGTAGGAGTCGTTATAGCTGTAGGTGGTGATGTAGTTTAGGGGGAGAGGGTAGAGTTAGAGGTTCTCGCTCTAGCGTGATAGTGATAAATAAGGTAGAAAATAGGAATATTACAGAGTAGTTAGAAACTATTAACTACACAGAGAAGTAAATAATATTAGGTACACGGCGCGTGTTCTACTTATGCCTCTCTACACTCGTAATTAAGGGTCTTTACGCCGTGATAAGAAATCATTATCGATAGATAACCTTAAGCTCCGACCGCGAACCAATAGTCACTTAGGTCGAAAGTTAATTAGTCTTTACCTATTTATTCATCATACTAATAGAGATCTATTAAGAAAAGTAGAGGTTTCTATTACAGTGGTATAGGATTGGCTTAGGCGGAAATCTCGGGCCCGCCGTCCTCTATTTCTAGTCTCTACTCTCTCCCCGACAATTTTTTCCTTAACGGCTTAATTGTCATTCGGGCCGACTACAACCTACACTCGCTTAAATCTACTATGCAAAGTCAGGACTTTATGATTTGTAGCGACGCAGCCGGGGACCAAAAAGATAAGGTTTTGACTAATGACACCAACTTTAGTTAATGCTGCGCCACCCGGAAATATGAATAAACATTTCGACGCAAAGGTCTAATATTTCTAATCCGAAGGGAGTAGTACTGTAGTCTTTCGATCATCGCAGCTCGCAAAGAATGTGATTGATTAGTCGGTCTAACTGCAGATCTACGGGGCTAGAGTTTATAAGGTTAGACCAAAAATAGGGCAAGGGGCTCTAGCAATCAAGCCCCGCTAGTCATCGTATCTAGTCCGTAATGAGTCAGTGAGTTGGTTAACTTAACTAGAGCTATGAATGTATAGTAATCAATCCGAGCGGATATGCTTGATGATTCAACAAAGACGGTTGAACTAACCGTAAACCTTAATGCACGAGAAGTTCACTAAACCCCATCCGTCGAAAATATATCCTATGCTCTTCGTTCAGCACATTAATAAGGGATAAGACAGAGGGCTTCTTTGGGCTGCGGGCTATAAGTCGGATTATTGATCCGAAGCTAGGTTATGGTTATATATCTCATTACTTTATTGTTCTTATATATTGTGCGTGATGTTGCTACTCTCCCACCGGCAACTTCGGTCGTCTGATCTCCAGCCTTTTTTTCCATCGAAGTTATTCTGCTGTCAAACTCTGGCAAATTAGCGAATCCGAAGAACTACAACATAGAGATCAATCGCGACCCCGAGAAAGCGATATACCCGGCGAATTCGCTCAGAAAGCCCTCCGGACGATCTCCCTCCCTAATAGCGGACCCTATTGTCAACTCTAGCGCGGAGCAGTCAAACGACGAATCCGGCCAAAAGACCGACCCCCGAGACATCGCACAATAGCCTATCACTCTAGATATACTACAAATACGACAACGTAACGAGACTAACGGTAGGAAATCGAAGAAGCTAGGTGTGACATAGCAGAACCTCATAGTAAAGGGTATCAGCAGTGATGCGCTTTATAACGAAAATGTTCTCTCTCAATTCAACCCATTCGGGAAGGGCAGTAAGAGCATACCCCTAAAGACTATTATCGACAACTCTTCTAGGTATATCAAACCCGGTGAGATATTGCTTGTTCTTGGAAATCCAGGAGCCGGATACACAACACTACTTAGCGTTCTATCAAACCACCGAAATAGCTTCGCAGAAATTACTGGCGACGTCTCGTTCGGTTCTATAACTAGTCAAGAAGCCAAGCAATATCGTGGTCAGATCATCATGAACACAGAAGAGGAGATCTTCTTTCCAGATCTTTCAGTTAGTGACACCATCGACTTCGCTACACGTTTGAAGGTGCCCTTCCACCTGCCACCGGACATCAAGAACAAGGAGGAGTACGCCCAAATATACAAAGAATTCCTCTTAAAGTCTCTCGGTATTACTCACACAAAAGATACTAAGGTCGGAGATAAGTTCATTCGTAGCGTTTCGGGTAGCGAGCGCAAGCGAGTATCTATTCTCGAATACCTTGCGACTAGAGGCAGCGTCTTCTCCTAGGATAACTCCACTCGTGGTCTCGACGCGAGCACTGCGCTAGATTAGACGAAAGCTATACGCGCTATAACAGACATTCTTGGTCTCACTACAATTGCTAGTCTGTACTAAGCTAGTAATAGAATCTATAAGCAGTTCGACAAGATTCTAATTCTCGACAGCGGCAAGCAGATCTTTTACGGACCTCGAGATAAAGCTGTGCTATACATAGAGGATCTTGGCTTCCTATACGACCCTGCAGCTAACAAGTCAGACTTCCTCACGAGCGTATCGGCGCCTGCTATACGCACAATTACCCTAAACTTTGAGAACCGATTTCCCCGATTAATAGAGGAGCTGCTCGCTGCTTATAATAACTCGCCTATTAAGCCAAGGATAATAGCCGAGCTCGATTACCCTAATAGCCCTGAAGCTTAGTAGAATACGGGGGACTTCAAGGAACAGGAGGCCCAAGACAAGCACAAGAACCTCCTAAAGAAAGCTACGGAATCCGCAGGATATTTCTATCAGGTGCAGACGGCTACTATACGCCAATTTCAGATCCTCTAGGGCGACAAGAAAACTCTATTTATTAAGCAAGCCACAACTATCGTTCAGGCGTTGATCGGTGGCTCGCTCTTCTATAATACTCCAGACAACACGGCGGGCTTGTTCATTAAGGGAGGCTCACTCTTCTTCTCTCTACTATATCCTACCTTCATCGCTCTCGCCGAGGTTACGGATTCGTTCGTCGGCCGACCCGTCTTAGCCAAACACCGAGACTTCGCTCTCCACTATCTATCTACCTTTGTCTTCGCCCAGGTCATTACCAATATCCCGATTATGCTCTTCCAAATCTCGCACTTTGGAATTGTGCTGTACTTCATAACTAGATTCCAGTACACCGCCTAGGCTTTCTTCATCTTCTAGCTTATTAACTTGATCTCGGCCCTGGCTATAACACAGCTATTCAAGTTCATTAGTACCGCTTTCCCGAATTTCGACGCAGCAACTAAAGCTTCTGGATTCACTATCGTCGCTGCCTTCACATATACAGGATACATAATTTCCAAGCCCGACATATACCCTTGGTTCGTTTAGTTCTTCTAGATCAACCCTATAGCCTACGCGTTTGAAGCATTGCTCGCGAACGAGTTCCACAACCAGGTGATTCCTTGTGTGGGCCTATTCCTAGTTCCAAATAGCGAAGGATACAGCCCCGAAACAGGAGGCGGACAAGCATATACCGGCGTCCGTGGTGCGCCTCCTGGAGCAACCAGCGTTACTAGTGACCAATACCTAGCTTCCATATCCTTCAGCCACAGCAACCTTTAGCGCAACTTTAGTATTTTCTACGCCTAGTACGTTTTCTTCGTGGCAATAACCGTCTTCTTCACTTCCAGGTAGAAGCAGATAGGCGAAGGTAGTCGCGGCCTCCTTATCCCCCGTAAGAAACAGAAGAATATATCTAAGGCCCTAGCTACAGATAAGGAATCCTAGGCCGTCGAGAAGCCATCCGAGAACTCCGGCTCCGATTCCGAGAAGTCTAACGCAACCATCGACTACTAGCTCGTAAACAATACATCAGTCTTTACCTAGAAGAATCCGACTTATACCGTCAAGACGCCGTATAGCGATCGTGTTCTTCTCGACAACGTTCAAGGATTTGTCAAGCCCGGTACACTCGGCGCTCTTATAGGATCTTTAGGTGTAAGTACACTAGCAATACGATTGACAGATGGATATATACTAACATTTTCACTCAGGCCGGAAAGACTACATTGCTCGACGTTCTAGCTCAACGCAAGACTAACGGTGCTATTCATAGCTCCGTTCTAGTTAATAGTCGCCCGCTCCCTGTGTCCTTCCAACGATCTGCCGGCTACGTCGAACAGATAGATATCCACGAGTCATTGTCCACGGTGCGCGAGGCTTTAGAATTCTCTACTCTTCTTCGTCAGAATCGTGAAATTCCCCGCGAGGAGAAGCTCCGCTACGTAGACACGATCGTCAAACTTCTACAGTTAGAAGATCTCGAGCACACTCTCATCGGTCGCCCTAGTACCGGTCTTTCTGTCGAACAGCGCAAGCGTAAGTCTAAATCCATCTAACAGAGTCGAGACAGACACTAACGACTTATCAGGTCTCACAATTAGTGTTGAGCTCGTAGCTAAGCCTAGTATTTTAATCTTCCTCGACGAACCTACTTCTAGTCTCGATAGCCAAGCTGCAAACAACACGGTACGCTTCTTACGCAAACTCGCGGAAGTCGGATAAGCTATCCTCGTCACGATTCATCAGCTATCGGCCGACCTCTTTGCCCAATTCGACACCCTCCTCCTACTAGCGAAGGGTGGCAAGACCGTATACTTTGGCGATATCGGCCATTATACAAGGACCGTCAAGAAATACTTCGCTAATCATAGCGCACCGTGCCCCCAAGAGGCTAACCCTGCTAAGCACATGATTAAAGTCGTATCAGGAAGTCTTTCTAAGGGTAAAGACTAGAACCAAGTCTGGCTTAACTCGCTAGAGCACGAGAAGATCACTTAAGAGCTTGACACTCTTGTCGCCGATACCGCCGCCGAACCGCCTGGAACTGTCGACGATAGCCATCAATTCGCCGCGCCTATATAGGAGCAGGTAAAGCTTGTTACGCACCGTATAAACATCTCCTTGTTCCGTAACACCGAGTACATCAACAACAAGCTCATCTTGCATATACTCCTATCTCTTTACAACGGCTTTTCGTTCTAGTCGATTGGTAACAGCGTCAGCGATCTCTAGCAACGCCTCTTCACGGTCTTCAGTTTCCTGTTTATCGCCCCTAGTCTCATCTCCCAGCTTCAGCCTATCCTCATCGATCGTCGCAACGTATATAAGACGCGCGAGAAGAAGAGTAAGACCTACCACTAGGTGCCATTCGTCACTAGCTTAATCGTTTCTAAGCTACCCTACCTAGTCGTCTGTAGTATATTATACTTTGTGTGTTAGTACTAGACTGCTGGATTACTAAATAATACTAAGTAGGCAGGAAGCACATTCTTCGTCGCAGTGAGTTCTCTCTTCTTTAGTTGACTCCTCGCTCTAAACTAACAAACCGTCTAGATATTTTACGAGATGTTGTATACCGGTATTAGACAATCGATCGCCGCGTACGCTCCTAACGCAACCTTTACATCTCTCGTCAACCCGCTAGTCATCACCACCCTCGTATTATTCTACGGTGTCTTCGCTCCTTACTCCTAGATCACGGCGTTCTAGAGATACTAGTAAGCCTCGTACGACTATCAACAACCACGAGATCAATACTAATATCATCTTTTAGGCTCTACTACCTCGATCCTTTTAACTACCTCTTCGGCGCCTTCCTTACCTTCACCACCTTCTCCGTCGATATCACTTGTGAACGGGGTAAGCTTGCGGTCTTCAATCCTCCTGCGAACGAGATATATAGCGACTATCTCTCCACCTATTAGCAAGGTATAGGACGTGGCACGAACCTTTTGAACCCAGGCGCTACGGAGAACTGCGAGGTGTGCCGATACACTACTGGACAAGACTACTTGAAGACACTCAACTTGAACGAAGAGTACTACGGCTGGAGGAATGCCGGGCTAGTTGTATTGTGGGCTGGAGTGTTCTACGCCCTGGTGTTCTTGATGATGAAGCTGCGAACTAAGGCGACGAAGAGGGCATCTACGTAGACAAATGGTGTTTGTTGAAGAGTGAAATATTGCCGAGATACCCCTACTCGAAGAGTAAAGGCGGAGTGCGAAGTTGAGCGCGTACGTGTTAGCTTCAGGTGTGGTACTGAAGCCGCACAAAGGAAGATTCAAATCCTAGATCATAGAATTGCGCACTTGCGCCAAGCTTCCAAGCTTATACTGTTGTAATAGTTTCATTGGGTAAGACCATATTGCATGCTCAAAGCTTCCTAGCTGTGGTGACTGGTATGTTGAGATGAGGAGGGATAGGATCTAGGAGGAGCGATAGCATATGCCAGCGATTGAGTAATAATGAAGATGTCAAAGACTAAGATAACCCCCGGGTGGGAGCTGTCCCTAGACGGGGGGATGGTAAGCTTGGTATGAGCCTTCAATTATATGTATCTAGAGGATGAAAGAGAGAAGAGAGGGATGATGAGGCTAAGTTCTCTAGAGGCGACGGGATCTACCTAAGCCATGGAGCCCATCTGGGTCAAATAACCTGATAGAGATAAATCTGTCAAACACAACAAATGAGATGTGAAACCACAATTGAAGATCCCTCGGTTCTGTAGCTAAACACTGTTAAAGAAAGTGTGTGTATCGCTGGTTACAGCCTTGACCAATCCGATTCACTCCCTAGTTGAACCAACTAGACACTGTCTTCTACATAGTGCGGTGGGGGGTTTGGTTACATGTTGGACTTAAACGTTTTTCGTATGGTATGCAAGTCATCTTCAGTCGCCTATGGGGGGTATAGTCGGTAAGTCACAAGATTCGTAACTGGCTAATATATCACCTGTTGATGCAGCTGAGAGTGAAGCGGATGAACGCGGATTAACGGTCAGTGTTCCGCACCCTCACAGTCGCCTTCTGCCAAGATTCGATCGCGACAGCTGAATTAAATCAATGAATAGTAATTGCTACTGTGAACGTGAAACCCTCTCCTGGATTAGTGTCTTTCCTGACATAAACCTGGTATCGGCTTTGCTCAATGTCTAATAAGACGATAACTATGTTGATCTGATCGGGAAGGAAGGAAATTTCTGCAAGTATATTTTGGGACATTCCAACCTGCCTACGTTCGCTCTTGCCAATTCTTCTCAATCAAGATAATAATACAATGCAAAAGGAGGGACCTTTATAAGAGGCCGTGCCACTGGGTAATTTATCAATCATCCAACTGCCGCATCCTGACGCTTACTCTTCTAATTTCTCCAATAAGTTAACTAACTAGCGTCAGAAGAAGCTCCCAAGAAAGAAAGCCGAGTATGAGGACCTGTGGGTTCTCACAGATCTTCGACGCAAAAATTGATTCAATGGGCCCGCGGGAGGAAATAATAATCCTAAAAGTAGCGTCAGAAAAGAAATTCCCAGGGAAGAAAGCCGAGTGCTTGCATGGTCAGTGTTGACCGAAATCTTGAAGCGACGCAAAGAAATTGATTTTACTAGCCAAGAATTGGAACATATTATTCTTTAGGTACTGTATGTATAAAGCTGACGCCCCATTTTCCCGGGGAATTAATTTGTGTACTGTACCGAGTAGTCGAGTCAGTCTTGTGGCGGGACCCACTGGTTTTTCGATTATTCAACGCTCCGTCCGACTCTGCCGGAGGTGATGAATCAACTAACCATCGCAACGACTTGCTCCCTGTCCACTTCATAGATTCTCGATTACATCACTTCTGATCCGTGCTGATAACACGAAAAGCAATAAGCGCGACTTTAACAGGAACCAACCATGATCGCTAAAGCGAAGCCTGATGCGCCCGCGTCCCGCAAGAGACGCCGCCCACGGACCGTCATGGACGATGAGCAAACCCCAGATGTGGATAGTCCAAAAAGAATCTAGCAAATTCACATGGACTCTCAGTATCCAGAGGCTTCGGAAGCAGCTTCGTGTAGCGCAGCAAGTGCATCTACGGCGAAAGGAGATTACGATCGCTAATCTACAAAGTCGCGTGCAAGAGCTAGAAGCAGGCATCGAAAAGCTCAGCCAGTCGATCCTATCATTCAGTGATCTCCTCTTCGAGGCCGATGGTCTCAAGAAACACCCTCATGTCACATCCGCCTTTGGAACTCGAAGATGGTATGACGCACATCAATCCTTCTACGGCCAGAAGCCCAATGTCTCAAATCAAGCGAACACACACCTGAGGCAGAAATCCGTGAATGGCAACCCCTGAGGCTATTCCCATGTCTTCCAATCTCCTTTGTTCTCACAGTAGTTCTCCTTGTTTGGTAGAATTCCTGAAGGCCTGGAGGCTTCTCGAATAGCTGGTAATTGCTCTTTCTATTAGATAGACAGCTCAACGGAACTTTTTGTTTTCTTACCTCTTTATTCGGTAGCACTACTGAACGCCGATTGGTATATTCGCATAAATCTTTCCGCATACACATCACATGAGAGACCAAGGCCTTCTTGAAGGCATTTCTCCTCGAATTGGCTATAATGACAAGCAATTTCATATTTGGAAATGAGACCTGCTCATATATGGACACATAGAAAAGGGAAATCAAACCTTCAATCTCACGCGAATCAAGATGGGAGGGAAGTAACGAGCCCGACTGTACCAGCTGACCAGGATAAAATCTGAAAGCCAGCCAACTGAATATACAGTCATATTCAGATCCTGCTCCTACGGCCGTTGAGTCGTTGAGGCTTAGATCGCGATCTACGACTCTCTCCTGGAGTTCCCGACCTTCCTACCCTTAGTCGCTGGATTTCCCGTTCCAATTTTCTAATGGTGGCCTCATCTTCTTCCGACTCCGATTTTTTCCTTCCTGTAAGCCGGCTTAGGAGATGATCAGGCTCATTGTGGTGTCTCGTGTACCGACTATTGCGTGGCTGCGCGGCAGCATCGCTCTCAGAGTCACTGCCTTCACTAGATTCTTGGCGGAACCGATATCTGGTCTTCGTCTTGGTCGAGTTCGAGTAACGTAATTCACTGGCTCATATGTCGGCGATCATTTCTTTCTTGCGACAGGCTTTCACATGGCCTCAACCGATGGGGTCATCCATTTGCAAGTCGACTCCTAGAGTGCCATCTTCACCTGGGAAGCTGCGATTAACGATGCATCAGCGAGAGAAGATCTAGGTGACCCGTGGTTTGATGAATAATTAGCACACAAAGCATAAGTGTTCGTGAGAACCTTTCCTTCAACTGAGCTTGTACTGTACTTAGCAAGTCTCGGTCAGTCAGATCTTGGATTGTCGATGCATGGGGAGAAGAAATCGTTGCAGAGTCTACGATAGATTTATCTTTTGCGTGTTTGGTTCTGGAGATATACGGCTTGCCAGTGTTTGTGACTAGTCTTCTGTGACTGTCGCCCAATGCTTCGTCTGGTTTTCTCAGGATATGTGCCCAGCAATCATTTGAGTTGGTGCTAGTGTATCTCACGAAATTTTGTGTTTTGTGGCCGTTGTATAACTATGATTGATCATGGGCACACGACCGAGTACGGTCTTCATAGTGCTCTAACACATGGAGGTCGAAGGTGCCAACACCAGTGTTGCCACGTGATGTGAATTTGTCAATCGCGGAATTTAGTTACGCCGTACTGGATAAGCAAAGGAGTTCGGCCCAAGGCGCCGTTCAAGTCAGCCTCGCCGTTCATTTGGCCAATCCTGGGTTGGGATTCGACGGTATACGCAAGTGCCAAGAGACCGCCGTTTCAGCCAGGCCAAGGTAAGCCAATAACACTGTTTCTGAGCCAAGCTGAGAAGGTCAGTGCCGTGGTCGCGCGACGGAGGGTGAGAATCACCCGCTCTCACCCAGCTTCTCACCCTGTCTGTTGAATATCCCGGTCACTGAGATAGTCACGGGGACGGGAGCACGTGCATGTATATATGTCTACCTGGCTACCAGCCTCTTTGTACCTAGAACAACACAACAACACAATCAACTCCCATCAACTATGCAAACATTGAAGCGTCACTTATAACTCAACACTGTCTATTGCGCACTCACCCTATCTCACCCCGGTCGCGCGACCGTAAAGCGGCGCTCACCCTAAACTCACCCGGGCGGCACCCACCCGATTATCTGCCGCAGATAAGCCACACGCTAGCAAGCTAGTAGTTGAGTGACTCGTTGCTCGGCTCACCTGCTGCTAATTCCCTGCCGACACATTTGAGACCCCTCCTAAAGCCATTGTTCCAAAACGAGAAAGGAAAGACGAATGTCGCCTGGCCACTCATTAGACTTTTTCTTCTTAGGCTGTCCCATCTTTGAGTTCAGTGTACCTCAGCCTAGAATTAAGCAGTGACACAGCCCGAACTCGTGACCTTAGCCGTGAGGACCGGATCGTAGTGTCTGTATATCCAGGAGCTTCCGCGACAGCTTGACGACTATGTCACAAAGGCGATCCTATCTATGATTGGAAAGCGGGAAGGATATGTATACGTAAGTCATAGTAACTCCCGCTGGATAATTACTAGCGGGAGCGGAACAGGATACGAAGACGACGGATGCTTTTCGATTGTAACAGTTTCCATAGAAATACGCATTTGATCATTTCTTTTTGCCCCGCCGACTCTGCGGACGGCTTCTTTTGGCTCTCAGGTGCCTTAATTTGGTGGAATAGTGAACCTGCAGTGAAGTGGAAGCACGACCAGGGAAATAGTCGGTGATTTCCTTCCATGTTAACTTCCTTTCCTCCTTCAACTTCACCAACAAGTTGTTCTCGTCCGTTGAATAGGTCCGGCGTTTGTTTTTCCCGCGAGTTGGACGGCTTATGCTCGTTGACGGCTTCAAAACTCCACCTGCTTTCTCGGAGTTGTGGGGAGGATTGGGCGCAGCAACATATGATATCGAGGGGAAGTTGTCGGGCATAAGAGTGAAGAAGAAAGTAGGCTCCGATCCCTGGGTCTCAATAGTGAGAATTGCCCGCCCAACAATATCGCGGCTCTCGTAATAGCTGGTCGATGAACCAAAGGACGTGTCGTTGGGATAGCATGGAGCGGTTGGACTTGGAGGACCGTGATTTTCCTCCACGGAGTTCTCAGCATTTAGGAGTTCTGCTGGGATCGTATCGGTCGTGAAGTCCTCGTCCGAGGAATCATCAACGTCTTCGCTACTTTCGATCTCATATGCATCTAATGCAACAGGTTTTGGCCTTGAGGGTAGAGTCCGTACAGGTCTCGGCCGCGGCGGAGGAATAACCACTGCGACAGACGGGTAGCACTCGTTACGAGTAGTGTCTCGTTTTCTGGTCCGACGCATTGGACATTCTTTTTTTTTGCGTTCTCTCGGATTAGGTAAAACGAGGTTCGAGTCGCTTTGAACGCTAGGTGTTCTCGAGCGAGAATTACCAGACTCGCGCCCGTCGGCTTGTTCGAGATCCATCGAATTAGGCACGTTAACGTGCAGCAGACCGGCCGGTCTAAAGGGGCCTGGCTTAGCCACGGTTCTGGGGGAACAATCTGAAATCAATCTAGCTTGGCTTGCTTCTGCATAGTCATCCGAACGGTCGTCAGGACAATCCTCCGGCTCGAGTGAAGGAATACAGACAACATCTGAGCAGGATGACAGAGAAGAGAGCGGAGTATGGGAAGAATGTTCGATAAATGCGGTAGACACGTCGGACGTATCCCAAGCGTGAGTTGGATTAAGAGATTCAAAGTACGTGCTGTCTGAAGGTTGATTTCGTCTCCACTGAACATCTTCCACCACATGCAATTGCGTAATATCAGGGTGTGAGATTGCTGGATCTGGTGAAAGAACCGCGGTGGAAGGGGGCTGACGAGGCTGTGGAGGACTCGTGTAACTTGGTTGGGATCTCGGGAAGACGTCTGAACTGTCCAAATCCGGATTTCTGCTTAAATTTGCACCGAACGAGGACGGGGCTGGATTCAAAAATCGATTAATAATCTGAAATGCAGACCAGCTCCGACCTTGAACTTACAGTCGTCAGGCATCTGTTCGTCTGACTTATCTCGGCAGTGACAGCCAAGCTTCCGTAGCGAGGGACAGGTATCGCTACCGCTAGCCTCAAGTGTAGCCAACAATGGCGATGCCCCCCAGAACCTCGCCAGTTCGAGGTCAAACAAGGTAGGCGACCCAACTGCATGCTGATGCGTTGTATATTCTTCTGCATTGGCAGCCGGAGGGAGGAAGTCAGTCGGGACTATTGTCGAGTCGTCCGTTGCCGAAGAGACAGGTTCATTGGAGAATGCAAGTTGCTCGCTCGATAGCAAGGTATTGGAATCTTTTGAATCTTTCTTGCTGTCAAAGGCAAAATACGGCGGTTTTGCAGGCTTTGAAGGGCCATTGTAGAATTGTATATTATCAAGGAGTACCGGCATGGTATCAGATCCAGAGATGAAGACAGGAGGTGAAGACAGGAGATGAAATAGGCGAAACAAGGCAAAGTTTGGTTATCATGAGGCTACCAGACTGACCTGGGTACACGGTGCAAAGGACCTCTTTTTATAGTAGACCCAATCAGCCCTGGATAAAAGACATCCGGGGACGCTATTGCGATAACGACCTGCCCGGAACAGGAATTCCCGTTAGTGAACAGCATCGGCCGGCCCTAGGCCGCTGGTACATGTTACTCGTTCCTTCTGGTTCTTTACTTGTTCCTTCTCCTTCTCACACTTGATCAGGGTTCCCGGGGCTGGCTTCCAATCATTGCCGGAAAGCGTGTGTCTCTTGCATAGCATACACGACGCCAACATGGCAGCCTTTTGGCTTGGGCTATCTCTCCACCGTCCCGACTAGTCTTCAAAGATGTCATTTGATTAGATCAGTGCCCGCATCGCCCTCACCCGGCCACGCAACCCTCTGGAAGTCGGCCAAGGCAGACAAGGCTTCCGTGTTCAGCTCCGCCCCAAATGCAACATCGGAGCACTGTGCTCCAAGATTCAGCAAGAAACAAGACTGCCTGCGGCTACTCACGATTGGCTAACAAGCTCTTGTCGTCGAGGATAAAGTACGCACTGCCCACGCTAGATCCGCCCAGATGCAGGAATCATATCGGGAATCCCAGACGAGGGAATAGATGCGCATACACCTGCCGCTTTGACTGAGGCGCCGCTACGTGCCTTGACCAATCCTGCCGTTGGTAGACTTCCGGCCATACCTCAGCTGACGCTGATGGCCAGTCAGCTCGCATGGCACTCCCAAGCGAGCCCTTGTCCCTTCGATACGGGGCATATAAGACTCGTATCCAGAACCAATAGCAAAAATTGCGTATGGCTCAAAACTGGTTGGAGATGATGGTGTGGTTTGCTTGAGGTTCCCGAAAACCAAGCGGGGCGATAGCTGACAGGGAAAGGAGTGATGGTCGTTTGGATGTTCAGGTCAGCGTCAGCGAAGTGCCACGTCATCTAAATCATTCTGTTCCAGATTCCGGGGCGTGTATTGATTCACGAAAGCATCCCTTCTCGAGGATCGCCACGCAACCGGATACTGGGACAAGCTCAAGGGGGAACCGTTCGGCGAGGGAGGCCTTAGAGGGCGCAAAACTTCGCTCCAACGAGATTAATAGAAGACGAAGGCGTAGAAGTAGAATGTGCACGCTGTTGTGGAGATGGCGCCTGACGGGGAAACATGAGAATGAGCAGGCCCAAAGAGAAGGGCGGGCGTACAGCGTTACGGAGGAGTTCCATTGGATGGTGCGAGTGCAGGTCGGATGCAATGCTGCCCAGAAAATCCCTCAGATGGACCGGGTCTCACGATCAGCCCAAGACCGTCGATCCAACCAGACGCATTATGGAAGTGTTGGGACGGGGGAAAGGAAACGGAGGAAGTGGATGGCGACGGTAGAGCGACGCACCGGGGATTTATACATTCGGGACGTCGAGTCGCGAGGCGGTGAAAGGATGAGTGTGCCTGTTGCGAATTAGCGTGACGGCTAAACCGCGTTAGGCGGGCGCTAAACCGTAGCAGGAGGGAGTGGGGGCGGGCGCTAAACCGGGATTGGGGGGCTGCCGCTTCCGGCAGCTCCGGCCCAAATGGAAAAATTACTAGTTTAAAACTTTGGTATGATAGATTAGGCTATATAGGCCTAATACCACTTCAAAGGCTATTAAGCCAGGCAAATATATCTCTATCTAATATAGAAATAAGAGATTATATGCAAAATATATGCGAAATATGCATATAGTCAAAATATGACAGGAAGATTAATAAATCTTCTACTTCTGCTGCCGAATACGGTATAGGCGAAAGAATTTATAGCGATATTGGAGGGCCTATTAGCCCTAAGACCTATAATGGCTATCGCTACTATATCACGTTTCTTGACAAAGTATCAAGATATCTACATATATCTCTACTTCGATTAAAAGACGAAGCTATTAAGAAATTTACCTTATATAAGCAATTGGTTGAAAACCAGCTTAATAAGAAGATCAAAGAGATATTTACCGATAATGGTACTAAATACGTGAATGATAACTTCTATATATTATTAGGAAGATACGGTATTATACACCGAACTACGCCTATCTATACAAAAGAGCCAAATGGCCTAATTGAGCGCATAAACCTGATACTTATGAATAAGGTTAGATGTTTATTAATCCAATCAGGATTAAAAGATGATATATGGGGAGAAGCCTTATTGGCTGCTACCTATCTATATAATATAACCCTATACAGTGCTCTAGGGTTCAAATCACCCTACGAGATATATCACAAGCGCCTACCTGCTATCAGGCATATAAAGACCTAGGGATCTATTGCCTACTATTATATAAACAAAAACCTGCCTAGTAAGCTATCGCCAAGAAAATCTATGGCTATTGTTATTGGCTATAGTGAACAGAAGCACTATAAGCTATATGACCTGAAGCAGAAGAAGATAGTCTGGTCAAGAGACCCTACTATCTTAGAAGGTAGATTCCTGATGAATCAATCTGATCTAGCTAATCAGGAGCCAGGAATCAAAGCAAACGAAAATCGATTTGCTAAGAAAAGATCTGCTAAACAAGCAGCAAACCTAATCAAGAAGATTGCTAGAAATACTAGTAAATCTACTAGCCTATCTACTAGCTAATCAGCTAGTAAGCCTACTAAGCAAACTGCTAGTAAGGAAGCTGCTATTATAGCAGATCTATCTTATAAGATTGAGATCCAAATCCTATCGCTAAAGTCTACCAAAGATAGCGAAGATATATATACTATATCGGATACGCTACTAGGAGATTTTATAAAGACTATTATCAACGATCAGCCTACCGATTATATATTATCGGCAGTAACTGATAAAGAACCCTCTACCTTTGACCAAGCTATGCAATTAGCTAAAAGGAATGAGTGGTATAGGGCCTGTCAGGACGAAAATCAGAGCCTGATAGATCAGGCAACCTATAAAATCGTTGATATACCTCCTGGTGTAACACCTATTAGGGGCAGATGGGTATTCAAAAAGAAGCCTATAAAGAATGCCTCAGGTATCTAGGCTAATTATATTACAAATGCGAACAAAACGATTCGCTATAAGGCTAGATGGGTTATACAAGGATTTAATCAACGATTAGGTGTTGATTTCCTAGAAACCTTCTCTACTACTACTAGAACAGAAACCTGGCATATAATATTGATTATCGCGATGAACAAAAAATGGTATATCAGGCAATACGATGTTAAAAACGCATTCGTACACGCCGATATCGATAGTGATATATATACTATCTTGCTAACTGGCCTATATAGGCTAGGAGACCCTGCCTATCAAAATAAGTGCTGCTACCTAAAGAAGGCCCTATATGGCCTAAAGCAAGCACCACGGCTTTGGTCTGAATTCTTTATAAAGGCTATCGCGAACCTCGGATTCGATAGAGTTCCTATCGACGAGGGTATATATATAAATGGCAGAACCCAGGCCATTATCATCACACATGTTGATGATATAATTATCATACACAAAGATCTAGCTTATATAAATAAGCTAGCTACTGCGGCTAGGTAGTATATTCAATTGGAAGAGATAGGCGAACTAGCCACCTTCCTAGGCAACAATATCAGCCTAAATTATCAAGATCAATCGATAACTATCGATTAAAATGATTATATATCAAAGATCTTGTTAAAATTTGCTACTACTAGTAAACGGCTAAAGAAAACGCCGGGTGAAGCAGGGATCTACCTAAGAAAAAATCAATCAAAAGCTTTAGAGCAAACTATTAATCTCTATCAAAAAGAGATTGGCTTATTACTATATACTAGCCTAAAGACTAGGCCTGATATAGCCTATCTAGTTGCCTATTGCTCAAGATATATAAGCAATCCTGACCAATCGTATATCTCCGAATTAAAGAAGATATGGCAATATCTACAATATCGGCCAAATCTAGGCCTATACTACGATTGCATAGGGAAAGACCTATATATAAAAGGCTACTCTGATGCAGATTGGTCAGGCGATATCGATGGTAGAAAATCCACTACTGGCTATATATTTAGCCTATCTGGAGATCTAGCTACTAATAATATAGTGAGCTGGAATTCGATGCTACAAAAATCAGTAGCCCTATCTACCTGCGAGGCGGAATATATAGCTATGAAAGAAGCTATACGAGAAGCTATCTATCTAGCTAATCTCTTCAACTATCTAAACGATAGATTAGACCTAGGCTATACGCCTAGTAAGCCTACTATATTAGTGGATAATAAGGCAGCTATTAAGCTAGCCGAAAACCCTGAATTTCACAAAAGGACGAAGTATATTGATATACAATATCACTATATCAGAGATCAGGTTAAACAAGAAAGGGTCGATATTTAATACGTCCCTACTAAACTGCAATTAGCAGATTTCCTGACAAAAAATGTCAGAAGAGAAATATTTGAAGACCTGAAGAATCTAGCTAATCTCTATGAGATCTAGCTATATATATATCCAATTTGATATATAATATCATGGATACCTTCGGGTATGGTTTTTACCTAAATAGGTTTTTCTATACTCTATACGCGAATGCGGAAGGAACCACTTAACCCTATGAGATTGAGATTTAGGAAGATATATATCTAGCTATTTGATAGTAGTATATATATATATCGATCCTATCTACTCTATACTAATCTCTATACTCTACTGCCATTTGCACTATAGTATAAAGATTACGGGGGGTGTGAGATATAGGGCAAGATGCCTAAACCGTCATGCAGTATATCAAGCCAGATTTATAAGGCCTATACAAGATGGCTGAATCTCTATAAGCTTTATGCTATACCATCATCACTACGGTCAATAACATCAAGTAAGACGTATACAACAGTATACGATCTACATCATCACTACGGTTAATGACACGATCTACATCATCACTACAGTCAATGACATCGTACAATCAAGCAACCACCGATCAAACAGCTACTGCATGAGATCACTATGCATCTAGATCTATCTGCATGAGATTATCATGCATCATCTAGAATGATCACATGCAAGAGACAAGTTGATTATAAATATGCCCTGCTTTCTCTACCAAGATAATAATAATGTTTAAAACATACAAGCAAGATTTAATACAATCAACCAAGCTTCAGTCCTACCTTACTTTGTCTCATTTCATCTTTATGATTCTAAGCCGAATTGATTTTATCCTTCCTATTCAATCAAAGGAAGAAGATCAATTAATCTTACTTCCTCTCTACCTAACCTGCGCAGCATCGCTTGCTCACATAATCCAATTCTAGTACTTCTGCTAGGTCTTAATAGGTTCTATATCACTAACTTGCACTCTCTATTTATATACAAGCTATTTCCTTTAGGCTTTGTCGGTAAGGGCTCCACAAGCTAATAAGACCTTAGTTCGTTCGTCTACGGGCGTAAGCAAGAGATTAGTGATATCTTTAAAAAATCGTTCGTAATCGCGTAGATACTCTCGAGCTATATTATCCTTGATTTAGCTAGAGTATTCGCGGATCTCTCGGACTTTCTTCAGAAGGGTTCTTCTAAGATATTTAGCCCCGAAATCCTTCCTTCCCTAGGCTGTCTAGTCACTTTCGGGCGCGGAGGGGAACGAGGTTAATAGGGTCTAGACATTTAGAGGTATCGAGATATTACCCTGCTACTACGACTAATAGAGGATTCTAGTCGGCTACAGAACTTCCTAGTGCTGGTTTCGCGCGTTCTACTCCGCGAGGGAACTTGCGTGTCGTTTGACTATCTAGATAAGCGGAATTGGCTCCGTCGCAGACTGGATAGCCGCGCGTATTTCGTCAGCTTAGGGTCCTAGGAAAGTCAGGGCACGTTCGGTCTCGGGCGTAATAGCACGCAGGGGAGCTTGCGTAGGCTAAGGATCCGGATTCAGACCTGCTGGTCCTTATAAAGGCTCCGACCGCTCGTCTATTAGTTAGTTTTCTATGGTAGAGGTTGTTAGAAAGAGATAAGTTATTGCGATTGAGGCGTATTTCCGACTTCTTAGTCAAAATAAGTTACCGAATAGTAGAAGCTCGTTCTTATCGTGAATTTCGACGGCCTTTTAAGCTTCTAATCGCTTCTATTCGCTGCTGGATTTTTACTTCCGCCGACCGGAGATAACGTGTAGTCGTATACACGCGTTTCTCGGCCTTTCTAGCTAGAAGGATACCCCGCGGGTCTAACTGCTTTATCGGCAGTCTACGAGAGTCGGCGATCGGTGTCTTCCTATTAGATTCCAAGGAGACGGGATAATCTCTGTCTGTAGACACGAAGTGCAGATATAATAGAGAAAGGTTCCTCTCTTCCGAGATCGCAGTATAGCTATAGCGGTTTCTTAGGGTCAAACCTGTCTCCTACTTCTTGTAGAGATTTTCCGAGAGCTTTCGCGAGCTCTGTATACGAGATCTCTTCGCTTTTCGCAGCGTATATAGATTAAAAGGGCGCTTCTAGGTACCCTTAGATCAGAAGGGATCGTTCGTAGCGTCAGGAGAGGATTAGATTGTATTAATAAATCGACTCTCCCGGTAGGTGGCCGTAAAAGGTCACCTTTTGGAGGGTTTGCTACCAAATGTGATCCGAAGGGTAGATAGGGCATGCCCTTCTAAGTATAGTAAAGGAGAGACTATATATACATACGCGGCTGGACGGGGCCTCACGTAACCAGAGACCGAATAGGGCCTCACGTGACCGAAAGTGATCGGAAGGGGTTAGTGGATCAGGCCCACTGAAAGGGAGCCTAAGGCAGAAAATGCTCCCGGGATCTCACGGGGCACGCCGAACCCGTTCACGAATAAACTGCCGGACACCGGGATCCTCTAACTACTGGTTCTAGGAACGATATTTCAACGCAATTATGGGCCGGTACACCCGATATACGATATTGTAGCAGCTGGTCGGCGCGCGGTACATACTTACCACGTTCCGCTCTACCGCTATACGCTGAAATAACCGGCTCTCCTTATATAGGGGCAACGTGGCGGTCAAAAACACTATCTGCGCACCAAATCGATGCATTTGACCTAACTGCTGTAACCGCGGCCGGAACTTCTCCGACGTGTTCAACATAATATGGCATTCGTCAACGACAATCCGGTCCAACCGCATATTATCGCGCTGCCGGTTCAAAAACGACTGGAATGCATCCGTGAATACCGCTTCGGGCGTCATAAACACAATAGCCGCGTGATCGGGATGGCGATAACTCTCCTATTCGACGCATGAAATCCCGGCGGCCTCGTATCGGCGCTGTAAATCGGAACGCAACGCGATCAACGGAACCACCACGATCGTTAACCCGCCTCGTTGGCCTACCCACGCGGGCAGCATAAACAACATACTCTTGCCTCCGCCTGTCGGCATCACCGCCACGACCCGGGAATCACCCTGTTTAATAGCATCAATGGCTGCGCCCTAGACGCCCCGGAACTACATCGTTAGGTCCCCGGTTATCCGCTGCAATGCCTCGGTCATGTTGGTCGTCTTAACTAAATAGCGGCGCTGATCACGTATCTGTATATCGTCGTCCTTCTACCGGGGCCGGGCTCGCTTGCCCAATACGCTACTCGGGACCTCCTTGATGTTAAACCCTAAAAAATCATGCCAATACACGCTGCTAGTCCGGAACCCCGCCTGGCGACCTGCTATGGTCCCTTGCTGCTAGGTCATTATACGTCCGTATGCCATCTCGGCGATATAGGTAGTATACGCGGCTTGTAAATCGGTAATATAGCGCACCCACTGCTTATCGTCTATATCGTCCTCGTTCTCCTTGTTATCGCTAACGACCTCGGTCCTATCCTCGCGGACGTTGTGCAGGAACGCTTTGACACTACCGAAATACTTCCGACTGATAGCGATAGCAATGTCCCGATACGCGGACAACGACAATCCGTTATGTAAACACATCTTACTTTCCCGGACTATCATATCCGTCACCCGCGCGGGCGTCTATTCCCGTCCACTGCCGGCATCGATCCCCCATATCTTAGTGGCATACGTATCGGGAACGGCGCCCAACCCGTATGCCTCTTTATAGTATACCTACAATATCTCGACAAATAGCAATACTAACCACAAATACCACACTACTAACTCGCCTACTTCGCGGGGTACGTACCGATGAATTACCTTAGTATCCCCGCTAGTATAAAACCCCTTGTAGTATCGGGTGATAAATGCCACTAATCTATCTTCGATGAACACATTACGGTGCCTACTAGCGGCGCTATTACGGTAGCGGATACTTAACAACTTAGGGCCTCGCGGGGGCTAACCGCTAGTAATATAGACGAGCACGGCTAACTTTTCCTTGAACTCGTTGACGAACACAAAAAACCGGCCGATAGCATCGACACTAAACCGATTAGTCTTGGCTTATATAAATAACCGCTATAATAGATGCTCCTCCTGTACCCGGTCCACTATCTACCGGGACCTATCGACGGGCCACGGCGTGCGCTCGTCCTGCAAAAAACTCTACCCGGCCTTAGGCTAGTTGAAATCATCGGCTATACGGTCCTATAGGATAACGGGAATTTAGTCGGGTTAGTACCGCAAAATCTGGTTGATTATTTGTTGGAAATGCGTCTGGTGCATAAAACCGTAGAAGAAATCGTTCGTGTATACTAATCTTAGTACCACGATTATAGAAGAGAGACGAATCAAGATAGATCATAATCGGCTGATTAGATAGAAGAATCAAGTAGTAGAAGGTTGATTCAGATGGTCTACTATGCCCGGTGATTCTACTTGAGGTAGAAAAGATGTCAAACTTGTTCATTCTAACTAGGAATCAGGGTGCAATTTATAATATAGGGTATATAGCAAATATCATATGAGGAAATCAAGAACATTCGAGGTTATTTTGGAGTGTTACGTAGTCTCCTGCCTAGATAGGCAATGTTGATGCGATCGTTGAGGATTAATCTGATATATCAGGCGGGGTAAACATAATGATATTTCATAGCAGTAAAGGTGCAGAAAAGGTGTATTGAAAAGAGGATACAAGATAGTGTTCCTCCGCGGTAAAATAGGGGAGATTGCTTAGTAAGCAGGCAGAATTCAAAATAGCAATCTAGGCCTAAGGCCCTATATATACCGACACACCCCCTTAGCTCTTAATATGAGATGGAAGGTAAGAGCAAAGTGAGAGCTAAATAAGAGGAAGGGATAGGATAGGCAACTGCCTAATACGATAGGGATACTTCTATACCTAGCTGTCTAACAAAGGCGCTATGTTTTTCGCTGGGTAGGTGTTTTGTGAGCCTATTAGCTAGCATTTCGGTTGTTTTAACCTATTAGACTATCAGCCGTTTAGCCTGAACTTCTTGCCGAATCTAAAGCTAGTGGATATCTACGTAGCGAAGTTTCGTCTAATAGACTGATTTCTCGCGATTTAATAGGTCGATAGTCTGTTTATTATCGCAATTCAGCGTCTCTAATTGGCTAGTTTCGAATTAGATAAAGGAAAAGAGGCGTTTTATCTAATATAGCTACTTGGCTGCGTAGCTAATCGCAAGCAATTCGGCTTCGGTGGTTAACGTAGTAATCGTTTTTTACTTACGAGATTTCTACTCTATTAGTCCACTAAATAGGCAAAAGATAAATCCTTTAGAGCTTCTTCGATCAGGATTATCAGCAAAGCTTGTATCTAATAAAAGGGTAAAGATCTAGTTATCTAATTAGCTACCACCAAAACAGATCGCTAGGTCTTTCGTTCTATATAGGTAGGAGATTAGATGATCTACTACCTTTAGATGCTTCTTATTATACCGAGTAAGCGATCTTGCTAATAGCTAGTTAGCGAATGCTGTGTCTGGTCTCGTCTAAACTACCGGAAAAAGGGTTAATCCGTACTTTTGCTAATATAACTTGATTATCTTAGGATCAATATAACTAGATTAGATTAGATTAATGTTGTAATTAGTTAAAAGAGGCGTTTTTAGATAGTACTTATCAAGAAGATTGAATCTAGCAGCGATCTTTTCAATATAAGCTACTTGACTAAGCTAGGTCTTTCGCTTCTAACGATCTCTGATAACGCGAACTCCGATAAATTAAGTCAATTCGCTATAATCCTTCATCTCAAACCGTTATGAGAGTAGGTCTTTTATCTAGTAAGCGTATAAGCTCTCACTTTTATAGTAGGCGGCTAGAAAATCGTCAACAAACACTATAATAACTATACGATTATTAGTGTAAAGGGCTGGATCATCAGGGTATAGTCGAAATCCGAGTAAGAGAAGCAGTCCTTTAATATCATCCTCCTATCTCTTACTAGTAATTCGTAGGCCGTATACTGCTTTGTGTAGGCGAAGAACTATCGATTTTCGTCCTATTCCTAGAGGGTATTAGTAATAAACTTCCTCTTTAAGCGTACTATTCAGGAAAGCGTTTACTATATCTATCTAAAAGGTTTCGAGGTTAAATCGAGTAATAATTGCTATCAGCGTGCGGAAGGTTCTAGCAGCGAGGGTGCTAGTACGTATATCTTGATTATCGGGGATTTGGGTATCTCCGCGTACGCACAGGCGAGCTTTAAATCTAGTTAAATAGCCTGATTTATTAGATTTATAGGTAAAAACCTATCGTATCTGAACGAATTAGTGTCGAGGGCAAGATGATTGGTCAAGATCTTTGCAATTTGATTGGTGAGTGTGTTTGATATAGGTTATACTAATTAGTTCGAATATATATATATCAAGGAGTTTATTAAATTCAACTTGTATAGCTTGTCGGAATTAGGCTTCGAACGGGTAGCTAGCTAATTGATTATAGCCGGAAGGCGTAGGAGGAATTGATAAGATCAGAATCTTTAGCTACTTAATCTGATTAGACGAGAAGGCTTATAGAAACGTAGTAAGGCTGAAATAAGGTCGTTTTACTTTATCTTAGTCTCGGCTAGTATTAGAATCAGATCGAGGGCGCTTAGTCGTTAAAGAAAGAGGTTCGTAGCCGGAGGGATCAAAGTTTGTATTATTAATCAAGACGAATAGCTGATCTGATAGCTGATCTGATTAGTAGGATAGTTCTAGATCTAATATAGATCCGTCTAATTTTGCATTAAGTGGTAGTGTGATTGGTTAGTCTCTAAGGATTTCGTCTAGATCAGAAGGGTCTTAGTCCGAAGTAAGCTAAATTTGAGGTATAGTATAATCGAAAATAGCCGTAGTAGTGCTTCTACCCCCAAGATCTTGCTATACTAGTATATTAGCTAATTAATTAGCAGGAATTAGTATATCGATATCATTAATAATTCGTGTGGTTTCTTCGTTATCAAGAATAGTGATTGGCTACGTCGGATCTGTATTATCGTATATCCGAATCTTTTAATTAGTCGACGAGGGACTATAGAATTCTTGCTTATTAAATTAAACGTCTCGGGCGCGAATAATGCGACGATTAGTAGGAATCTAGATACGCTAGATATTATAGGCTTCGTAGCCTACTAGATAGCTAATAGTAGCGCGGGGCGCTAGCTTAGCTAATCTTAGTAGCTTGTTGATTCGTATATAAGCTTTATATCCGAAGATTCGTATATTCGATAGATCAGGCTTCTTCTAGAGCTAATATAGTGCTTTGTCACTAAGGTAGGTAGCGAGGGCTTTATACGGAGATTACTAGCTAATCGATCGATAAGGAATACGATTTTGGATATAGATAGCTATCTTAGCTGCCTTAGGCTAAAGATAGCTCGGTAGGCCTGAATCGATCGTTATCTACCTAGCTATCTTCGATATTAATACACCGTATCGCTTAGCGTAGCCGTTTTGGTTAGGTTAATAGGGCGGTGTAGTTTCTAGATTAATTCTAGAAGATTAATCGAAGAATTCAGAGAGGGTTCTTTCGTTATCGGTGTATACTATAAGAACGCGTAGATCGAATTGGTTTTGGATAAAATCGATCTAATTCGATAGAGATTAAGATAATTCAGTCTTAGAAGAAAGATCTTCCGTAATTTGATATTTAGTGATAGGATCAACTAAATGTGATAGGTAGGAGGTTCTAGCTAATAATAGCTTGAAGTGAATAAGATCCTAGTACAGCGATTCGAACGGGCGATTATACTACATAGGTAATCGAGAGATTTGACGCGATAAATTAGCTAGTTTGCATATTTCATAATAGCTGATTAGCGAAGATATATCCTTGATCGTGATGCTAGACGCGTAGTTAGGCAGGCGAGATAGCACGTCTTTGCTAATATAGCCTAGTCGTCGGTGCCACTAATCAATTGTTCCTTCTAGCTATTTCTTGGCATCTAATACTAAGGCAATCTTGCTGATTCGATTAGCAAGAGGGTTTACATGATCTTATAATATAGTAGTAAGGGGAAAGTGAGAGTTCAGTGAGGGATAAGAGATATAGTTAGTAGTAGGATAGCTAGCGTCTATTAATTCGTCCTATCTAATCAGATAGATACCTGATTTCGTGTTTAATCGGTAGATAGGCGTTCTATCCTTCTCTTCTAGTAGGCAATCTCTCCTATTAAGATAGATTCCTGCATTAGCTACGCGTTCGGCTGAAATAAGGTTGACATAGAACCCAGGGTAATAGGTAACTTGTTTCAAGGGAAAGGTAGTACTATCAAGAGATTCAGTTAGTATAACTTTAAGCTCTCCGAAACCAAGGATAGTAGTCTCGGTGTTTCCAACTATAACTAAGGACACAGAAGACCTATAGTTTTGTAGTAGAGATCTATTGTTCGTGATATAAATAGAGGCTCTAGTATCATAACACTAGGCGTTGTTTCGCTCAGCAGAGATCCTGATTATGCTTATAGCTATCCTACTATCTTCTCGAAAGAGATTATTAGCTTCCTCCTTTAGTATAAAGGCAGAAAATGCGTCTCGCTTTCGATCTGATTAGCTAGAATTGTTAATATCTAGCTAGTCTACTTGGTCTGATTAATATTTCCTGATAGCTTCTTCGTACGATCGCTTGAAGGGAGGTAAAGATTCGCATCGAAGATTGAAGTTCTTC